TGGGGTTCAGTGTCGGCTCTGTAGTGTTACTAACATTCTAATATTCAATGTAGTTAATGTAGCATGATGTAGTGTCCCAAATGCTCTCGAATTAGCCCTGTAAATACACCAGCTCGTAGTTTTAGTATTAGTTATACTAATATTAGTTGTAGTATTAAAGTTCGATAGCCGTACCTGAATTGACAGGATGTACCAGACTGAATGACGGTCGTGGCATTGAAGAAACGCTAATAAAAAAATTTAATCACCAAAGCTGCAGATTATTGTTCAGTAACAGTAAACTTGAACGGGTAAACAAAAGAGCAGCTTGTGATACAATGGACTCAGACGAAGGACATTCAAAAATTAGAAGAACTGTGCAGAAACTCCAGCAATGTTTTTTATGTGATAACATAGAAGCAGCTTCTGAACTAAGACAAGCATCAACAATGCAGTTAAATGAGGCTGAATGAATGTGCCAAAAATCGTAATGATGGCAAACTTTTGTTGATAGTTCTTGAGCACATACAGCATTATGAATGCTTCTATTTTAATGGCTCTATTTCTGAAATTAACCTATGTCAATATGTTGCATTTTATTTTAATTTTGCTCGTGTTTTTATTTCTACTTCCCAAATGGTTATTGGGATACTTTTGGTTTCAAATTGCAAGAAAATGTAATGAATTTTGTGCAACATTAAATATATTTTGGTGTAAAATTTGTTGAATACCTGACATTGCATTACTGTATATGTATATATTTGCAAATTTGTGATTTATTCCATTAATTTTGATTAAGAACATGATGACTTATTGTCTTTTAGCTCATACTTATGTGAAATCAGTTGTTTGGTCGGCCATCTTGAAAAATGGTCACCATATTGAATATTTCAGGTGACTAACGGGTTTTTCTAAAAGGGCATGATGTTAGCTAAATATATGAGAAATTTGGTGCTTGTACCACAAACTGAACGATTCTTGTGGTTTGGAGACCTAATCTGCTCCACTACCAGGACAATTGCTTGTTTACAGGATGTGCGCAGGCTGCTAGTTGGTCACAGACGTGGATATGGGTGGGATTTGATTGTGAGTCTTCTCAAACTAGGGTGATGTCACGATGAAGAAGTGAATAATATTAAATATAATGGAGAACGAACACTTTTAACTTTATAACAGAATACCTAATGGCTACCAAGGGAATGTTGCTTATGGATTATATATTGTACAATTTAACACGTCATTGTTGTTTAGGGGACTTCACTGCACCCGCCATCGTTTGATACAACCAGACAGAAATAACAACGTGCACAACTGGGACACAGCTCTCTATCTAAACCTAAGTCTCATTTCAGGACTATAGGTATGTAAACATTTATACTATATGCAGATATTAAAAAGAGGTAAAGAGGTTCATGGTTGCCTGTGTGTTTTTATGCAAGTTTAGAGCAGTGTTTCCCAAACTTTTTTTCTGGGGACCCATATTATAAAAGTCACAAACCTTCACGCCCCAAGTCAATAGATATTATTCATTAACAATTAATAACCATTATTGAACATTAATGAGGATTTTTTTTTATTGTTGACTTGAGTGATCATGTCTTTCAGAACACTTAGTATTACTCAAGTTTTAAACAATGAAAAACAGTCATTGAACCAGCAATAAAGGATCCATAAGTCTCTGGCCGCTACACCCCTGTGACCCCCCACCATTTGAACTGTCCCTATGATGCAATCCTCAAAGGTTGTGATGGCCTATTTTTTAAAATTACTTTTTGGCAAATAATAAAACTCCTGCATCTTGTATTTTGTTGATTTTTTCAATAAAAAAATTTATATTTATATGAAGTATTTATATACGTTTGCCACCAAATTTTCGTCATCTGACAAGCTCGAGATCAAACAGTGACAGTCAACGCACATGCAGAGTTCTGAAGTGCAGTTAAAAAGACAGCAAAATGGCGAGTGTTAAAGTACAAAAAGTTGACAGAGAGGGCAGAGTTTTCAAAGAACAGTGGACGACTATTATTATTATTTTGTTCAGTGTAAGGCCTGTGCAGTTTGTCTGATATGTAAAGAAAGAATATAAACTGCATCGTCAGGTTTTCATCGTCGGGATTCAGAGTCAAATCAACTGGCAAGTCACTTTGCTAAGAATGGCTCATGTATGCATGTAACACAAAACAGAAAGTAATCTATTGGTAAATATAGGCTATATGGGCAATTTATAAGAAATTCTGCAAGTTGTGTAATATAAGTAAAGTGAAATGATGTGATGCTAATATCCTACCTTACATTTTAATAAGATATTAAACCTACAATCTGTCTACTATATGATTGACAGCATAAAAAGGCACAACCTCCAACCCTAATAATTAAAGGAAAAGGAAAAACAAGATGGAAAAACCCTGGCAGATGACCATAACACCAATTCCTTCACACTATTCATCCAAGCAAGTTCAGGAAAAAAATAACTATAGAAGAAAGACAGAGAAGGAGAGCGAGAAAAGGAGAGTTGTGAATATAGTTTAATACATTAGTAGCATTGATACAATTTATAGCACCTATAGAGAACCTGCAGTCATGTGACTGTTTTTGTTTTGGCTACCATAGACAGTCCCTAGCATTCTAGTAAAATGGCTTATCTGTGGTCGGGTCATAAATTCCCCGATTTATGGCAGCCAGTGTGTGAAATATGGGGGGATGATGTTCTATTCTATGCGCACAAATTTTTCTGAAAGAATATTTCTTGAAGCTTTCTTACTCCATAGTTCCCCGTTAAAACCACAGGCCGTCCTCATCTCAAGTTATCACCATGAATTCATAAAACAGCAGCATGTACAACTTTGTACAAACTCACCAAACATCAGCCCAGAGCAGAAGCTCTGAGTTTGGGTAACAGCAGCAGATTCTGGTTTGGATCTAGACCGACTGTAGCGTTTCTCACACTAAGCTAAATGCAGTTCATTTTATAAGTTGAATCAAGTCATTCTGCAAGTTAATCAACTATCCACTTGTCTCGTCTGTCAGCTTCAACCAAGATCTGATACAACTGAACCCTTGTGTCTTTATCTCTCTGCTGATTACAGCTTTGTGCACAACACTTTTCCGGCATGTGTCTTAATGTGAAAATTAAAGGAACGACTCGAAAATGTGCTAACTTTAGAATGGCGGTCTGGCTCACTGGTATGGTATTTTTGACGTGTACGCTATGCGCATATGTGTTATCCCCTTTGGAAGCCTAGAATCGCACCTGCTGAGCAGCTGTGATAGACGTGAAAGTCTGGAAAAGTTGAATTGAATGCTATGCTGCCTGCATCATGGTTCAGCATGAGCAGTTTGGTGATGAGTCTTTGATGGTCTGGGGAGGTATATCCATGGAGAAACCCCGAGACCTCTACCAGCTAGAAACTAGTACGGTGGTCTGACTGCCATTCGGTATTGGGAATGATTCCTTAAACTCAATGCCAGACCCTACGCTGGTGCAGTAGGTCCTAAGTTCCTCCTGATGCACGACGATGCCTGGCGTCATGTGCCAAGAGTATGTAGGCAGAACCTGGAGGATGACGGGATTGATACAACTGAATGGCCCTCACAATCACCTGATTTAAACTCGATAGAACACCTCTGGGACGTTATGTTTGGTTTCATCAGACGCTGCCAGGTTGCTCCTCAAACTCTATAGGAGCTCAGTGATGCCTGTGATGGAAATTTATACTGTGGAAAGATTTCTCTCAATCTGTCTTTGTGTAAATGAATGTGATTTCTACCTGAGAACCAGAGCAGTCATTAGCACGTGTAAAGGTTCAGCAGACACAACTGTCTTAGTAGTCTTCAAATGTATGCTAAGATGATTAGCACCAGCATGTGAAACAAGTGTCACTCTACTTTGATATGTAACTTGTATTTCTGTATAAATACTGAGAGCTCAAATACTCTGGGGCAGAGACTCAGGGACATACATGCTGTTGGAGGAGACGCTGTTGGTCTTTGGCCAGGGCCAAATCTTGGTCTGTATTCCAAAAACTCACCAGGCTTCGCAAATGGATTAATGATCTGTCATCCAGAGATACATAATTTCTTCTACAACATGCCCTTACACCGGCCTGGGAGGACACACAAGACACCATCTGTTGTCTCATTAGGTGCAAGCCACGACCATGTCAAACATGCACACAAGCATGTGGGGGGCACATAACATATTGAGACACATTTAGAGTTGCAGAAATTAAATTTTGGCAAAATGGACAAGCCTGCCACATCATTTCTCTTAGATTTTTTCCATTTCTATAAAATGTTTATAAAATGAAGTTCTTTGTAGGCTGAAAATATTTTTTTTTCTCAATTAAAGAGGTGGCATCTTTTTGTTCCTAAGACATTCCCCTGTTCATATTTGTATAGATATCCAGCTTTTTTTTTTCACACTGAGAGCTGATGTGTTTTCAAAGAGTTCCTTTAATTTTTTTGAGCAGGATATTTAATGTCTCAGCATTTATCATGGGTACATTTTCTTTATAAAATTGTTTTTGTTATTTTGGTTGTTATATGCTAAGATTGGAGCTGTAAAGGTTTGAATAAGTGACTTCTATGGCTAATTATTGCTTAATTGGACTATTAATTTGTTGCAGCTCAAGTCTTTCATTGGCACGGTTTATTTAAAAATGTGTTGTGATTGACTTGTTTTATTTTAATTGTATTTGTGGGATAAAATAGTTTCTAATAGTTTCTTTATGGTTTATTGCAATATATGTATCAACAATATATGTATTGTACATCGTGCATCAAATTTTTTTATCGTGACAGGCCTAGAGAGTGGTGCACTGAAACTTCTGTACTCAGTGATGAAAACTTCTTTAAACAACCAATTACAATTACCTGGCTAGAATTACAAGTACACATTCAAAAATGTATCCTTGAAAAAGTAGGCTACTATTACACCACAAATCTACTAAATTACAGTAACATAAGAATCTAATAAGTAACTTTTTACCCCACTTACCTGTCAACACCTGTTTCCTTGACAGCTCTTTTGGAGATCTCCCCAGTGTCTAGAGGGGTGGTGACTCTGTGTGGGTTGAGAAGTGGCCTTTTCATCGCCATGACAGCCAGAGGGAAGCTCTATGGCTCCGTAAGTATAATTGATCAAATACCTTAATTTGATACAAAAACTGTTCTCACACAGAAGCGCTGTGAGGGAGTGCTTGAAAACAATATTGCTGAAACACTAGGAAAAAATAAATTGTGATCCACTCCCTCCTTCATACTCAAGTGATGTGCTTTTATTACTGTATATGGTGATGGCATCTGAACTAAACTGTGACCGCTGTAGCATTTTAGGCACTGCCCCTGTGGGTAAGGTCTGCAATCTTTGCCTCATTATCATGCAGCAAAGAGGGATGTGGTGAAAAGTTATGTATGGGTACAAGAGCTCTGGAGCCCCACGATGCAAGTACACACCAGTACAGGCTCCAAGGAATGTAGACTTTTGGATGGGCCGTGACAGAACTGAGTTTGTGTTGCGAACACTCCATGGATTCCTGTAAGCCACATGCGCACACGTCAGCCTTTTTAGTTTTCTATGTGTTCCTCCATTCGTAGACCTCATGCACCCCCCCCATCCCACAGCAGACCCGGTCACCGCTGCTCTCCCCCTGGTCGCACCCGCTCCTGCCTGTCCTGACAGTCCACTACCACGGACTCACCTGTGGTACGAGTTTCCACAGCTGCTACTACTGACCAGTCAGGACTGACCACTCAGGATGTGCAGATGTCTGTACAGAGGAGTGCTCATGTGCACTATACGTCTATTAAGCCGCTGTACAAAGCTCTACTAACCGCTGCTGCCAAGACAGCAGCACATACGAGACGTGTGTCTACTCCACTGTCACAGCCCCAAGCTGTCAATGAATGTGCACACTGATCCCAGTCAAGAGTTTGGCCGCTCCATGACAGTTTTCTACGGTTCTGATGGTAGTCTACCTATTGACCACTAACTTTATAACCGAAGCAGCACAATGGGAATAATTTGGTCACAAAATTAAATGGAGCTGATTACAGAAAGGGTACGTGGATGTGAGGAAATCAATAAGGCAGCATTAGGAGCACAGACAGGGTAAAAAAACAGACTTTAGGACATCGCTGTAAACACCCTCATGTGAATAAGCAGCTTTTGTACAGATCCAGATCAAACCAAACTATAGAGCAGAGCTGAGCCCATACAGGGAGCGGGCGAGGGGCTGTGCTCTGCTGTGGGACGGCATCCAGACGGCGCAGGAGCATCCAGCATGGCACATGAACATGTTATGAATATTAAGCATTTATCATCCTAATATATTTCCAAATAAAAGAAGTCTTGAGCATGTTACATGTTGTTTTTCAGGGGACTAGTTTGATATTTACTTTTACGATTCTGGCAATTCACTGCACATGCCACAAAGTGCTTTGTTCCACTTCATCTGATGTTCAGGCACAGAACACCTCTTGTTTAGAGCTCCATGCCCCACACTTGTGCTAGCACTAATTACCATTATGTTCTGCATTATGGTATTAAAGCAATATTCTGCAAAATTTAATTTTCAAAGCTTTTAACCATGATATATTTGCTTCCCCTCAACTCTCCCAAACTTGTATTTGAAGCCATGTTTAATTGCTTATTTTCAAAACCCACATTTTCACCACCACCTACAGTACATAAGCCCAGTGCTCTGTATTTACTTTATTCTCCAATTTTGTTTTCTTAATAAGTGATTCATGCATGATTGAGATGTGTTCCATAATCACTTTGGTACATATGGACAAAAAATCTCAATTTAACAGACCAGTAATTTTTAAGTCAGTCCTTATTATATCTTTTTGCAATATGTGCATCAACTATTGCAATAATAAGTCAATATCTCAACATTGATTTCAGTTTCCTTTATCTTAACAAGTCCTCTCTCTCCTTCTCATCTCAGGACCACTACCAGGATGAATGTCAATTCAAAGAAAAGCTTCTAGTCAACAACTACAACACGTATGAGTCGGCCGCACACCCGGGAATGTACATCGGCATCAGCAAACAGGCAAGAGCAAGAGGGGAAACCGCGTGTCACCTACCATGAGCATGACACACTTTCTGCCACGAATATGAGACCAACTGTATCAAAGTCATGGGTGATATTTGAACAGACATTTTAATGAGTGCTTTAAATCAATGCAAGCAAATCTTCATCTCTTTTTCATAGTAATAAAAAGACTAATACTAAAAGATATTGAGGTTTTTACTTGCATGTATCCACAAGATATTTTCACTATTTTCCGTGCCATCATTCATACAAAACAGACATTATGCCAATAGATGAGGTTCCTTCTAGAGATATGCAGTGTACAATGCAATACATGTTTGTTATTTAATTAAGAGTCAATGTCATGAGGCACGAGCAAGGAACAATTGAAACTGCTCACTTTTCTTATTGTACACTGATAGAGCACCTAGTCACGATTCTAGTATATCGATAGTTCAATATACATATATATATATACATAACACATAATATACATTTGTTTAAGTGTGTAGTTCCTTTGCACTACTAGGAAATTTTTGGTTAGATTTTGGCAATATGATTTGAGCCATAGAAGGCTGAATAAATTAATAAATTCTATGACTCATTTAAGAGTTTACACTGTTAAATTATTGTGTTTTTAAACCATATTGAAGATTTAGAATAGTTTTTGTGGTATAAATCTGCTCTTGGGTTGTGTCAGTGACATAAATCAATTTCAATATTATGGTCTAGATTTATTTCAGCAATGTATAACATCATTATAGCTCTGACCACTGACAAACTAGAAGTCGGACAAATTTGACTGAAATGAAAATATAGATGAACTTGCCTCATATTGAGACATAGGCCATCAAATCGCAACTTTTATCATACTTGCTTAGGTTTGTATGTCACATTTCAGCAAAAATGATGAGTATCTTTGAAAACGCATCAGTAAACTCCTAACCACAATGAGATTCTGATAACTTATATGCACCTATACATCAAATTTTTACAGACATTGCAATTTACAGGGGGAGCCAAACCTATATTACACCCATGTCATATTTTCTATTATATGTAAAGGATTTTTTTTTTTACTTGCCAGAGAGAACTTCCTGTTGTGTGTTCACACTTGTTGAGCTGTAATGTATAAGGTTGCAGGTGTCCTGGGTCTTAAAAAGACACATTACATATTGTGCTTTTGTATGCTATAGTTATAATCTATGACACCCATGGATCATTGTTGTATTCTGGGCATTTTAAATCACAATATTCATCTAACTCAAGTTAATAAAATTACAGGTTTAAAATTGCAGATTGTCACCACAAACCATCACAAGAAGGCATTGCACTAGCTGCAGAACTTAATAGAGAGCAATGGATCTTTTTTTATTTACTCCAAATTGCCTACAGAACAGGCCTAAATGCTACATGTTTCACTGATTAAGACAATACAACTTGACAACAAATTAGGAACACGGCAGTCAGTGTGTACCGGTGACTGAATATGGGGGTAGATCAGAGCAATGGCAATTTCGGAGCAGGAGAATAAAAATTACTCTGAACATGCTAATACACCTTCAGAGGGTAAATGAGAAGTGGAAACAAATAACATTGTTAAAAGTTCTGAAAAGTTGATTTGTTGATCATAATAGATGTCCTTTAATGCCATGACCACATAAGAAAACCCAAAAACATCATTACAATTCTGCACTCTGAAAAACAGATGCAGCCATATTGAGACCGAGATGTCCCAAATCGATTTTATATTGTTTATAGTTTACTGTGTGATTGGACCCAATTTCACAAATTATATGGTTCTCAATAAAATGTTATGTATTAGTCCATCACAAAAATTTTTATGTCATGCCTCTCATTTCATGAATTCAAACCCATATATTATACAGACTCATACAGTGGAGGAAATAAGAATTTGATTCTTTGCTGATTTCGTAGGTTTGCCCACTAACAAAGAAATGAACAGTCTAAAATTTTAATGGTAGGTTTATTTTAACATTGAGAGACAGAATATCAAAAAGAAAAAAATGCAGAAAATAACTTTAAAGAATATATATAAACGGATTTGCATTCTCAAGGCTGCAATCATTTCCTAGTGGCCATACCGGCCTGTCAAAGCCTGATCCTGTCAGATCTCAGAAGCTCAGCAGGGCCGGGCCTGGTTAGTACTTGGATGGGAGACACTGGGAAAATCAGGTGCAACAGGGGGGCGCCAGTCACAAAAACTGCTGTTAGGTCCTTCAGCAAGGCACTTCACCCACATTGCCTAGTATGAAAGTGGTGTATGCGTGAGTGATGGTGGTGGTCGGAGGGACTGACGGCCCTGATCGACATGGCAGCTGCGCTTCAGTCAGTCTGCCCCAGGGCAGCTGTGGCTACAAAAGCAGCTTATCACATCATGAAAAATGTTCTGTAAAGTGTCTTTGTGACAAATGTCTGTGAAAAGCGCTATATAAGTAAAAAATATACTTACTTTTGCACCTTTTCTTAACATATTTTTTTCTTCCACTCAAGTTTGTATGAATCTGCTTGGATACAGCACTCTGAACAACCAGTTCCTTTAGCAATGACCTTTTGTGGCCTCCTTGTGGAGGGTGTCAGTGACATCTGTCCAGTCAGCAGCGTTCCTGTGATTGTGTAACCCTCTGACCCAGACAGAATTGTAGGCTAATTAGCTGATTAGGGTGTGACACCATGACTTTCCAACATTCAGGTTTTTCACACTATTTACATTTTCTGAGACACAGAATTTTTCAATTCTTATAAGCCTTAATTATCAAAATGTCAAGAAACAAAGGCTTGAAAGCTTCACTCTGTGACATGAATCTATATAAAATATGGGTATGACTTTCTGAAATGAGAAATATATGACATATAGAACATTCAAATGTTTTGAGATGGACTAGTATATTGTAAATATAACCTTGAAATCATCTGGCAACTCTAAGCTCATGCATATAATGAATGCCTTTAAATGATAAGACTGCATTGTTTTTTGTATTTTGTAGTTCTTACTATAGTGCTCCACCTATACTTATTGGTGGTGCAGTATACGTTAAACCAAACAAAAAAACTACAGTGGTGCCACGTCATATGTTGTATGATGTGGGTGTGGGAAAGCTGGCATAAAAAGCTCTCACTGAATGTGTACAATTCTTTTGGGTTAGACCTTATTGTTATTGTTATTCCAGGTCCTGGACCAAGTGTTATCTACAGTTGAGTGTTCTTACTTTTTTTAAACTTTATTTTGATGTGCAGGTTTACAGGGGCAACTCCCAATAACAATTTGCAATCTATCTCTACCAGATAGGATCCATAACTTGGATTTTGTCATTCTTAAATAATTGCATTAACATTACGTGCATTAGCTGTCCTGTGTTGCAAGAAAAATGTGAAGTGCAGTCTAGGATGCCTGGCTGGTTCCTAAGCCCACAGCATTGGCGTAGGCCGACAGCAGACTGACCACCTGTCTAGTCTCCAGGGTGAGTCGCACCTCTGTGAGCCAGTCGTCCACCACACGTCGGGCCTCTCCTCTCAGCTGGTTCACCAGCTTGGCAGCCAACTCCAGGTCACCGTGTTCCAGGCAGTAGCTAGCATATGCCAACAGTTTAAAGGGGTCCAAGTCCTGGGCCTTGATCTGAGCGGGCGGAGCTTGGTGAGGAGCCTCAAAGAGCAACGCTGCCTGCAGGTATGAGAGGAAATACTGGTACAGGGAGTTATGAGATTCGTCAATCAGGGCCACCCTACGAGCCACCGGGCGCAGGGAGTGGAAGCGGCTGCGCAGAGATGCCTCACTGTAGATGCCCCTCTCCAAGGATTCTTTAGGCAAAGCTGCTGCCAGGGCCAGGGCAAACTCATTGTTTACGCAGCTCTCACGCACCACCTGTGCAGAGCTCTCCAGGGGAGAGGTTGTCGATTCACCTTGAGCCGTGCCCATGGCATGAGACAGAGCCTCAACAGCCAGCCAGAGCCTGTGAGCCCTCCGAGCCTCCTCCTCTGCTACCACATGACCTGGCAAAGCAAAGAGAAAACCATTTCACATTTAGCAACCAATGTGGATGTCTGTCACTGACAGACATCAGTAGTTTAAACACTTTTAGATGAACTAGATGAAGCATTGGTAATAATTAACAATAATAAATACTGTGATAAAAAGTATGAAATCATTCTCGTCTTAATTTTTCCAAATAAGAATCATTATCAACCAAAAGTTGCCACAAAAAGCCTGGTACCTGACATTTACTGTCTTAAGGCATATTCAGAAAAGTGCTAAAGTCTGCTAGTTTGATCTCAAGAAATTTATTTATTTATTTATTTTTCAGTTGGTTCGGATTGTATTCTCACATTTGACAAGTGGACTAAAAAACGTAAACAAATTCAAGTGTATGACAATCTGCACACAGATTGGACAGAGGACAAGGAGCGGGGCAAATCAGAGGCAAATGCACCTTTTGTTAGGCTCTGATAAATGTGAATAAAAGAAGAGAAACATTATAAAGTAGTCAGCCATCTTTTTTTTAAATCAAAGAAACAAACATCTGGACACAGTTAACGCATGAGGTGAAGTATAAACCAGGGGCTGAGATTCAGAATGAACACAGCAGCTTGTAGCGGGGTGGCAAGTGTCTGCACTAATAGAAACCCTGGGCCAAGAGCGCATGGTAACATGCGATTCATGCTCAATGCAATATGGGTGTCTCTCCAGATCTGGCGATTAACCGTGCCATTTGGCTTTAACAGAGCACAACACAAAGGACGGCTCGAGCTTTAACCGGGAGAGGCATTCGACAGCACTGTTATGAGTCACCGTGTCCCGGTGAGTCTCTCCATCCTTGAGGAGTCCAAAAAGGCGCATGATTTCTATATTTGTTTTGGATCAAGGCCTTTTGTATGCAGACCAGAAACAAACTGCGATTCGCTTGTCTGGTCAGGATCAGTCGGCTTGTCACCTGAAACGGACATTCAGTGGAACTGAACTCTAGTCCTTTTCGGATTGAAGTCTGTAAGTATGAATATGTCTTTAAAAGTGTGAAAAACATAACTAGTTAACACACAGAGGTCTTATTTTTACCTCAAGATCTGCTTATATAATTTATCTGTAAAGGGGCAAGATTAATTTTGCTCAAATACATGGCAACTATCAGGTACAGGCTGGTTAATGGTCTAATTAAAAGCCTACTGTCAATGGCCTCCTCCATGCCCTTGAGCCGCGCGTACGCCGAATTCATGTCCAGGGTGAAGTTATCCAACTGCTCCTGGGTCAGCTGCCGGTACAAGGTCTCCTGCTCCAGTAGCTTGCTGCTTAAAACCTAAAACAAGACCAACCATTTAGCAATAAGCTACAAGTCTACAACAGTTTAAATTGATTACAATATTTTTACATTATCTGTATGAATAAATACTGTAAATCACCTTAATGAAATTAGGGCTGCTCACTTAAATAAATTTCAATAGAGATAGGTGCAACTATTTTATATTGTCAATGATAAGGTAGGAATTTTTTTAGGGAGTTTTTTCATTGAAATACATGGAAAGCCATTTTAGTTTCAATTGAATATATATATATTTGAATATATATATATAATATTGTATATATATATTTATATGAGAGAGAGAGAGAGAGAGAGAGAGAGAGAGAGAGTGTGAGAGAGAGAGAGTGTGAGAGAGAGAGAGAGAGAGAGAGAGAGAGAGAGAGAGCGAGAGAGAGAGAGCGAGAGCGAGAGCGAGAGTGAGAGTGAGAGAGAGAGAGAGAGAGAGAGAGATGGGTGGACAGTGACCTGCTGGGCCTCTGATCTCAGCTCCTGTTCCTGGACTTTGAGCACGTCCTGGACATGGTCTGTGTGAGCTGCAGCTTGTCTCCTCAGCTGTGTCCTCATCTCTGCCTCCATCACCTCTCGCAGCTCTGCCAGCTACAACACATAAGCACACACAGATCCATTTAAACCCCAGGGACAGCCTGCACTTCACTGGACAATAATGCCCAGCAGACAAGTACCTATGAGGGGTTTTAACATATGACAGTACTTCATCTAGCAGTTCCCCAGTTGCTCTTTAGTCAGAGGAATCCCTCTCAGCTTAGCAGAAGCCACAAATGGAGCTCTGTACATTGAAGTTAAAAGGGGTGCATCAAACTGGCTATGAAATTAGCATTTGGATTATGTGGTCAAGGTATGATATAATTACACAATTCACCTCATGGTGTGATTTATTGCCATTAAAATAAAGCGTCTCACAGAATTAAAGAAAACATTTTTTCCCTCTTAAAAAGCCCCGACAAGCCTATTACTGTCACATTTCAAACTGAGATTTACAGTGTTAACACTTGCATGTTGATGCACTGAAACAGGGCAAAAAAATAATGCCAGTGTAGCAGGGAACATGTGAAATGTGCCATTTTGGTATGAACAAACTACTGATATAAAAAAGCTAAACAATCACCACTGCCAGATTTAAAGCAGGCCTATTATGCAAAATTGACTTTTCAGAGCTTTTAACCATGTTATAGCAGTTTTCCCATCTCCTTTACCCTCTCGCAGCTGTTTTTTGGAGTGATTTGTGCAAGTTTGTGCAACTTATTTTCAAGATGACAGTGATATGCGTAGCATTCGGCAGCGTTGCGCAGTCATTTTGGTATACATGAATAAAAAAATCAGCTGCTTGTTCAAGTGATGTCCAGCCATCCATAGGAGTTCCAGTGTTCCAGTTCTCTGAGTGATCATGTTAACATGTTTTATCAATTTTATCTGACATACTGTTTTTATTTGCAGATTCGACAAGAACACCAACCCCAATCAGAGTTGTCCGATATGACTGATAAATATACTGACTTCAGAATACACTGTGTGCACAATTATTAAACAAGTTTTTATTTATGAGGATTAATTTTATAATTGAAAATGTTAATAAACCTATTTATGAAAGTACAAGTGACGTTTTGGCCTTTTATAGGGCAATTACAATTATAGGGAAAATATTAATATGCAGAATTTTTACACAACTAAATGAAAAATGAAAATTTTTCCATTTCACTTGTTTATTTTAATCTGTCAGAATAGTAAACAACTAACAATTTACAAATAAACATTTCTTACATTTCAAAAAAAAAAAAATCTGTGACCAATATAGCCACTCTTCTCAATAATGTTCATAAGCCTTCAATTCATTTAGTCTGTCAGTTTCTTTATCTGTTGACTTTTTGTGCAGCAGCCACCACAGCCTCCCAGACACTGTTCTCAGAGGTTATGTTTCTTGTTCAGTGATGGTCGAGTTTCAATCTTCCATACCTTGGCCATGTCTCTGAGCACTGAATACTTCTGGGCACATCGCCAGATATGTTTAAATTCAATAAGAATTCAAATTTATATAGCTTGGAGTTGGAGAACATGCATAAAAATCATGATATGGTTAAAATACCCATTCCCATTTGCCTAATAATTGTGCACACAGTGTAAAGTAAACAAAGGCTCAAAATTGCACCTACGCCTACAAATTGTTTGGTCTTGTTTATTATAACAATAAACTGGTTATCTAAAAATATAAGTAAGGGGGGTACGTGGACCTCGAACTCACGTCATCTGTGCAGAACAAAACACGCAGTCTGACGACTAAACTAGGCTACATCAACTCAGAAAACTCTCTTTAAACACCTGTATTTGTCCTGCACCTTACTGCCACGGCTCCAGCAGGCAGGTTATTGATATTGGACAAGTTAGCATTGTTAATAAAAGTGTGATTAAATTTTTTTCCCATGTGATTCATGTTTTCTTATCGTTGAACAATAAAGTTTGCAGAAGGTTGCATGATGATGTTTTAAGAGGACCCAGCTTTTAATAAAGCTAATATCCATCCATCCACATTCTTCCACTTATCCCAGGTCAGGTCGCAGGGGAAGCAGTCTAAGCAGGGACTCCCAGACTTCCTTCACCCCAGACACGTCCTCCAGCTCCTCTCGCTCGAGCCACCTCAACTGGCTCCTCTCGACGTGGAGGAGCTCCTCCCGTGTGACTGAGCTCCTCCCCCTATCTCTAAGGGAGCGCCCAGCCAACCTGCAGAGGAAATTCATTTCGGGCGCTTGTATCCGCGATCTCGTCCTTTCAGTCATTACCCAGAGTTGATGACCATAGGTGAGGGTAAGAACAAAGACTGACCGCTTTTTCGTTTTTGGCTCAGCTCCCTCTTCCCCACAACGGTCTGATAAAGCTAATATTTCGTTTTAAACACAGTATCAGTGTTTCTCAACAAAGGCAGAATTTGTACTTGTACCATTTGGCAGCGAACACTAAAAGGGGACAGCTACTGAAATAACACAAGGAAAAGCAAAAAGTCTATAAAGATTCCAAGTACAGTTCCTGGTGCACACTGTATGTGGTACCTTCCTCTCCTGCTCGAGTCGTGCGTCCTCCCTTGTGTGCTGTAGAGCGCTGTCCACAGCGGACTCTAAGGCCTTCTGGTGCTCCAGCCTCTGCTGCTCCAAAGCCGACTCCATGTGGATCTGCTCTCGGACCCTCTGCTCAGCTAGCTCTCGGTTCAGCTGGTCAATCCGACGGTGGGCATGTGCAATCAGTGCATTCAGGTCATCCGTGGTCAGTTTGCCAGCTAACAGAGAGAAACAGAAAACATGATTTCAGTTAAGTTTTGCAAGACTTCTGTCACTGAAATCATCAACTAAAATATTAGGATGTAAGGGCTTATTCAAATATAAAAGCTGTGTAGTGTTTAAAAGGTCCTATATTACGCAAAACTGACTGTTGTGAGCGTTTAGCCATGTTAGAATGCTGTTACCTCATAATTGGAGTTGTACACGTTACATGTTAGAGTAATCCTGAATTATTAGCAATTCATCTAGAAACCACTCACCCATTCACAACTACAGACATTCAGACATCTTGTCTGAATGTCTGTGGTTGGAGGCATACAATGGAGGCAAGCTGGGTTAAGTATCTTGCCTTAGGACACAATGACAGCATTCATTTGTGTTAGCTGAATCTAAACGTCAGTCCTATAAGTTTTGTGAGTGGCATTCATACTGAGGCTCTTCCAGTTGGCCTGAATCTCTGGAGTGAGACTGCTAACTTCCCTCTGGAACTGCAACTTGGCTTCATTCACCAGTTCACTGTACTGAGACACAACCTTGGACTCAGACTCCGCTGCCTGCACCTGGAGTAAGAAAAAAAAAAGCACCATTACACAGTATGACTTCACCAGCAACAGATGAGAGGTCAAACTTAAAACACCCTTCTGCAGAGGCAGATAAATGGTGTCAAGGATAAGAAACAACTGAACCTAAGACTGCCAGTGCCTTAAAAGTTTGGAGGCAATGCCTCATGTAAAAACCCAGACCTTCCAGATTTCACTCACTGAGCTGTACTCACTATCCCTTTTTGGTCTATAAATTTGTGTAATAAGAAGATTTACTGGACAATGTTGGTCTAAACACCCGATGGCTTTCAAAGCAGTTACCTTAAATGACAAATAGCATTTAAAGCACATTTGGACATTGTTTAAAGGAAAAAATATATATTGTCAGTCTCTGCTCTAGTATACAGTATATATCAGTTGTCAGCCAAATTATCAGCATCAGTATTGAAACAGAAAAGGCTGTATTGGTGCATCCCCGATGTAAACAATTTAAAACCAAAATGACCAGGCTCACAGCAGCAGTTACAGAGAGAGGTGTGACAATTTTTCAATGTAACTTCAGCTGGAGTCGATGGAGCTGGAAGCGCATGTAAACTTGAGCAGTTGTAGCTTAAAAAGTCCTCCACATAGGGACTTGTAGCTCACATATTCAGACAGAGGACACTTTAAACTCTGTCCCAGTTTTTATTTCATAGTGATATGATAATACTGATGCAAATAATCAGTACTAAAGCGTGCATCTAATTCACCTGTGAATAGTGAAGAGCATGTAGTGTAATTTAAAAAAGATCCACAAATATATTTAGGCCTTCTTCATCTATAACTTATTTTAAAGTAAGAAAGAAGGAGAGAGAAGCATAACAATTGTTATCAGTAAAAGCTATATTTTATTCAAACATGTTTACCTCATATTTTGGGATGCAGATATTTATGAAATTTTAAATATATATAATTCATATTGCTTCTAAATAAATTAAATGTACCAAACATGTTCTATCATATGAGAATGATGGAACAGGCAGAAGAATTCTGATTGTGTAGATATGAGAGGTACCTTAGTCACCACTTTATCCAGGTCCACTACCATTTTGTGCAGGTTTTCCTCAGCTGCCAACACTAGGGGGCGTGCTGCTGAGACTGTTAAGCTCTTAGATTTGTCGATAACACCCTTGAGGCCCTCCAGAGCCTCCCTGCCAAGGATAAAGGGTACATGCATAAGTGAGCATGTTAGACAAAGCCTCACAGTGTATACAGTGTATATAGGGCCTTACCGAGCATTTAGCAGAGCTGCATGTGCATCATCCACAGCACTGCCTCTGTTTATCAGAGCAGCTTCTAGATCCTTCCACTGGGCAGACTTCTCCTCAGCTGGAACCTAGACAAAAAACAGGCCATTAATATTTGGCCTTAACGATAACTGAATCCAAAATTTGTTTATTACACCTGACAAGAGATAATAGATAGTTGTGCATCACAGATGTTGTACACATCAAAACTGGAAATTGTTTGGTGTGTGCCATGACAATGTAGGAGGATTTGAGAACATATTGGGGAAATATACAGTTATAATGAAAAGAACACATCAAAACACATCAGATCTAAATGTGAGAAAAATCTGTTAGATATCTATACAAAAACCGACAGGGCAATGTCTTGGGGGAAAAAAAAGGCTGTCACCTCTTTTAATGGAAGAGAACAGGTGCACTAGAGTGACAACAATGAGACAACCCCTTAAACAGGACTGGTTTTGCATGTGGAGGTCATTTCAAGTTTCTCCCTCTTGGTCTTTTTTGGCTGCTTTGGCTAGAGTGATTATCACCAGTGGGAATATGAGGCCAGTTCCTTAACCCTACATAAGTTGCACAGATGGTCACACTTCTCTAGGATGGCACATCTGGACATGCCGTTGCAGGAAGATTTAATGTGTCTCCCAGTGCAATCTCCAGAACATGGAGGGGTTTTCAAGAGTTAATCTAGGAGAGCTGCACAGGGTCGTAGAAGGTCCTCAACTCATCAGCAGGAGCCATATCTGCTCCTTTGTATAAGGAGGAACAGGGTGAGTAGGCCCTGTGACCTACAGAAAGACCTCCAGCAGGACACTGTGGCGAATGTCTCTGCCCAAACAATCAGAAACAGATTTCATGAAGGTGTCTTAAGGGAACAATGTCTTGTAACGGGCCCTATGCTCACTGCTTTTTACAGATTAGAGCAGGTTCACTCTGAGCTCCTGTGATAGACGTGAAAGTCTGGAGAAGACAAGGAGAACGCTATGCTGCCTGCAGCATCATTCAGCATGACCAGTTTGATGGTGAGTCAGTGATGGTCTGGGGAGGTATATCCATGGAGGGACGCACAGACCTCTACTGGCTAGAAAACAGTAGTCTGACTGCCATTATGTATCAGGATGAAATCCTTGAACCCACTGTCAGACCCTACGCTGGTGCAGTAGGTCCTGGGTTCCTCCTGATGCATGACAATGTCCGGCCTCATGTGGCAGAAGTCTGCAGGCAGAACCTGGAGGATGAAGGGATTGATACAATAGGCTCTATACACGCTTACGTCACAAACCAGGAAGATGTCTGGAAATATGTCATGACAACTTCTGGCAGGCGCTGTTCGCGTTAGTAACAAAATCAAGGAAAATTTAGAAAATGACCCAGTTTTCTTCATCTACCGAGAGCACTGGGTACATGCAATTACAAGAGATGATTCAAGATTATTCCACAACAGCACATACGTATGCAGTCTTCATTTTACCGCTAATGACATTTACTTCAATGGGTTTTATCACAGTCGCTAAGGCAAGCCCAGTCGGTAACTACACCGCAAATTGTCATCATGTTTCCAAACATCTTCCTGGTCTGTGACGTAAGCATGAATAGAGCCTATTGAATGGCCCTCATGATCACATGATTTAAACCCGATAGAACACCTCTGGCAGGGACATTATGTTTGAGTCCATCAGACGCTGCCAGGTTGCTCCTCAGACTCTACAGGAGCTCAGTGATGCCCTTACACATATCTGGGACGACATCCCACAAGACACTATCTGCCATGCCACAACATTCTCAAACATGCAGACAAGCATGTGGGGGCCACACAAGATATTGAGATGCATTTTGAGTTTCAGAAATTAAATTTGAGGCAAAATGGACTTTGTGGATCTGGAGAAGGCAATCGATCGTGTCCCTCGTGGTGTCCTGTGGGGGGTGCTCTGGGAGTATGGGGTCCTGGGCCCTTTGCTAAGGGCTGTCCGGTCCCTGTATGACCGGAGCAGGAGCTGTGTTCATTGCCGGCAGTTAGTCAGACCTGTTCCCAGTGCAGGTTTGACTCCGCCAGGGCTGCCCTTTGTCCCTGGTTCTGTTCATTGTATTTATGGACAAAATGTTTAGGCGCAGTCAGGGGCCGGAGGGGGTCCGGTTTGGGGACCACAGGATCTCATCTCTGCTGTTCGCAGATGATGTTGTCCTGTTGGCTTCATCAAACCAGGACCTGCAATGTGCACTGGGGCGGTTTGCAGCCGAGTGTGAAGCGGCTGGGATGAAGATCAGCTCTTCTAAGTCTGAGACCATGGTTCTCCACTGGAAAAAGGTGGCTTGTCCTCTCCAGGTGGGTGGAGAGTCCTTGCCTCAAGTGGAGGAGTTCAAGTATCTCAGGGTCTTGTTCACAAGTGAGGGGAGGACAGAACGTGAGATTGACAGGTAGATTGGTGCAGCATCTGCAATGATGCGGTCTCTGTATAGGACCATGGTGAAGAGGGAGCAGAGTTGAAAGGCGAAGCTCTCGATTTATCGGTCAATCTTCGTTCTTACTCTCACCTATGGTCATGAGCTCTGGGTAATGACCGAAAGGTCAAGATCGCGGATACAAGTGCTCGAAATGAGTTTCCCCCGCAGGGTGGACCCGCGGGAAGATCCAGGACATGCTGGAGTGACTATGTCTCTCGGCTAACCTGGGAATGCCTCAGGGTCCCCCAGAGGAGCTGGAGGATGTGTCAGGGGTGAAGGAAGTCTGAGAGTCCCTGCTTAGACTGCTGCCCCCGCGGCCCCAGATAAGTGGAAGAACATGGATGGATGGATGGAGATCTGATGTGTTTTCCTTAAATATTTTTCAGCCAAGTGCAATAAAAAGCTGTCACATAGAATAGGTCCTTAGTATTAATAGGCCATCATAAAGAACATATGAATAACTGTGTATTCAGAGCGTGGAAGTCCCTTGATGTACTTATATGCTGACTTTTTCCATTTGGTTTCATAGTTGACTGAACAGAAATTAAAGGAGCCAATGCAGTCCTTATTATGGGTGGGTTGTTTCCTCATCAAGAACATACCTGGAGTTGTGTTTTGTTTCATTCACATGTTTAAACACATAAACCCTGCACATTTAGGCCCAGTTCTTCTCTCAAACAGAAAACACTTCTACCTTGTGATGTCATGTGGTAATACAGAAGTTAAAAATGTTTGTGTAAAACTTACTCTTGTGAGCTTTAAGTCATGTTAGAATGTTGTTACCTCATCCAAAACACAGTTAGTTTTGTTTTGAATCCTTTATCATTAGTCTGTCTACATCGCCAAAGCTCAAAACGCTCCCTTCCACCTCAGGATGTCATGAAACATCACAATGTAAAAGACAGTTTTCAGCTACCTTTTATATTTTGTTCAGTAGAGATGTGCAAAGTTAGTTTGGACCAAAGTTATTTCCCAGTTTTTTTCATTTCATAACGCATACTAGCATCCTAATTATTCACAGTTATGAGTTTATAAGCATTTGAGTTAATAATAGAAAATAAATTGGGTACAAACACTTTTACTCTTTAATATGCAGCTAGGTGTGAATAGACTAGTAATACTTATTCTTATCACCCTAGACACCCGTCCCTTTTCTGGCAGCATACCTCAGCTTCCATAGCCTCCTTCAGCTTCTGGGTATGCTTTGAAATGGCCTGCAGTGCCACCTCCTGGGCTCCAATAGCTGTGAGTGTGGCTTTGGCCGAGTTTGCCAAGGACTCTTCCAAGTTTACTGAAAGAGCTGGTGAAAAGAGGACATGTGTTATAGATCAGTATATTCCATGACATTTTTCACTTACAGCTAAATACTGAAGAGAGGAAGAATGCAATTTTACAGTCTAAGATGTCCTTTTCTGCTTGGTCCTGCTGAGCAAGTCTTGCTGCGACCTCTTCCACTGGGCGCTCTTTTAATGTTTCTGGGGCCAGTGCTGTATCTAGTGCAGGTAAAGCAGCTTCACACTCATGGCATTCCTCAGGCATTTCTAAAACAGAAATAAAAACATCTGTTCATTTGTCATAAGATCAAGGTTAGACTAAGTCAGCTAAGTTGTTTAATCACATACCCTTCAATACAGCTGCTTCTGTGTCATGTGGAGCTGGGACTGACTGGACTTCACTCATGGCTGAAATGATGTGAGTGGCCTCAGCAGAAGCTTCTGTAAAAATGTGACTTATTTGATTCTACACAGAAGAAATGTTTTAAAATTTAAAAAGCAGATTGTCAAACTCAAGAATGTGCACTACCCTACAGACCGTCACTTAGTGAGTGCGCAGAATTGCAGAGCCCCAAGGAGATTAAGAAGAACACAAGTTTGTGAAATAAACATCCTTATTTTAATTTAAAACCAAATCATAACTATTCAAAAGCAAAATGTAGATAGCTACTGTGTATTATGAAATCGCTATTCAATTCACACCTTATCTTATTTACTGTAGATGTTTCTCAACCGCAGAGATAAATCATTGCAATGTTTTCTTGGGTCACTCTTCAGTGACCTTTACAGCGGAAGCACAGCGTGACACAAACTGCCTTTAGCTGAGATTTGAATCAAAGGCAATAAGGTAATGAGGGTCTGGTACATACTTTATATTGCCTGTTACCACTGGGGGCTTTTTAGCATATCGGCTATTGGCCCTAAATCTCCCGAACAAGCAGATATATTCTGACTGACCTGCTGCCTAAAAATTCACACAAAGCTTTGTTTTAAAACTTTAAAGTGAAGAATTGCACACAATTTGACTCCACAGCTCTCTTAAGGATGAGGGCAAGTTTGTAACAAATTTTAATTAAACCATTTGGGGGAAAATAATAAAAATTGGCCCCCAAAATATCGGCAGAACTTATCGGCCTAATTGTGTTGTAAGTATTGGTATTGGCCTTGAAAAAAACATATCTAGTTACCACATGTAATTATTTGCAGCAGTTTTGCTCATGCTGTTGCCATCAGCTGGTCAGAAATTACATCTGGTAATTGTCATAATAATTTAAAAATTCTAATAAAAATATTCACAGCACAAAAAAGCACCAACTAAGCAAAAAACTGTTCATACACACTTTTGTAGTTTCCAGCTGCTATTTACTGTGGGAGTAAAGGCACAGTATGGCGGATCAGAACTGCATGCAGTCCATTAGCATAGTCTATTATTCACTAGATGTATATAATTGTTTCTCTATGTAAATTTCTACTTGCATAACAAGAAACATAATTTTGATGGGTGCAGATATACTGGGAAAAGACACCACGCTATTATGTTAAAGACATGGGGGCTGATCTTGCCCAACTACTAATCTACTAAAACAACTGTGAATTTCTTACCATGAGAGATGTCTTTTGAGGCAATGAAAATTAAATTTTCATTGCCAAATTCACTGTAAAATTTTTTTTTTTGTTTCACATGTCCTCCTTCCCAAAAATGTCCCTTACCTTCTATAGTTTGGGCTGCAGGTCCCAGGGGCGCACTTGGCTTCTCCATCACATCTTTCACCTTTGTTGCTGGTTTTGGTTCTTTGAGGGTCTTTTCCATCATGCTATGTGGCTGGCTCATTTCCATCTACAATACAGCATGTAAATACAATTAAAAACTCATTCTTGGTTGCTCGGTCCCATGATGGGGACATGGGTGCACATTATTTTTAGCCTTATTAGCTACAGCAGGTTTGCTAATATGTTTCATGTTATGTTTTATAGTGTAATGCTGCTCCTCATTCTCACAAAATGTTACAATGCACAAATAATCTGACTAGAGTAATTAAACTTCAAATTAAGTATTAATTCTCCAACATTTTCACACACTATATAATATTTGGGTGACTACAGTCTGTTCTAGGGCCCGGCCTATATATATCGATATTATCAGCCGATACGGGGACTTGGAGACATATCGGCTATTGGCCTATTGCCTATATGGGTCGAAAGTCCATATGGGCATGTTATACCTTGTTATGAAGCATAGGCTCTCTATATGGAGTCCAATATTAATCCAATTTACAAAGAGATAAATGTCCTAATAAGTGGCATGGTACCAGTATTTATCAGAGGAGTCATTTGTCTGTGACACCGTACAGCTTCGAAATATATCCAGTTAAGGATTTACAATGAATTTTAACATCACAAAATATATTGGCCGTTATATATCAGTTATCGGCACCTCCAAAGCCTGTTATATTGGTATCATATCGGCTCCCAAAAAAATCTGTCATATTGATCTGGCCCTAGTCTGTTCCTATTGAAAGGGCTTCCTGGCATTCCAACCTTTTTCTTTATTGGTAAAGGATCTACAGCTGGTCCCAAAGCTGCACCTAACAGCCAGTCTGCATATGGCACATTTTTCTCCATTGTGGATCTGAACTTCGGGTCCCATTTGGCGTAGAGCACCGTCCCTCCAATGCCTCCCACCACTGAGATCAGACCGGCAGTCACCACTTTAACTCCAGTGCTGTAATAAAAATTAAAAAAAAAACTTTTACAAGAGAAAACCATTAACTACACCATGAAACCATTGAAAATAATATATTTGCCAAAAACAATGTATTAAAATGTTTACTTTGTTACAGTTTTGTTTTAGAAGTTCCCCCTCCCTTTGCTCCCTGCACTAAGTCACACTTCATGAGTGACGTCATTACAATTATACAGTTACAAAGATTACCAATTACAATTGGTGAGTATTACATTAATGAAAATACTGCACATAATTTTAGTGTATTATTTTTGTATATTTATGGAGACTTGCGAGAATGGGTATCGTAAGCTTGTGGGCTTAGCATTGAACGGAATCACACTGGTAACTGTAAGGACGGTTTGAATAAGGCCTGGGAGAGATTTCCAAAATACTCAAACATGCATGGATGACACCTAAAATCTTTTCAATGTTATAACACAGTAGAAAGTTGTTTTAATACCCTGTCTTTAAGAATAAGATTCATTAAGTGTAATTTTAGGTTATACAATTTCATTTTCAACAAGTAGCTGGTATAACGTCGTAATGGTAAAAACATGTTTGTGTTTGAGGTACCTGGTCTCTCCTGTGGTGTAGTGCCGTTGCTGTAGATTGTTAAGGTGTGTTCGTCCATAGTTACACTGAAAGAGATAAAACAGTATTATGCTTTTTACAGCATGCAAAAATCATAAGCACACAAAACTTAAGGGTCACTTCAGTTGAACACTTATTTATGTATTGTTTTCACTTTACTATACAGATGCATTCCTTTTGTTACTTGTGAACACTGTAAATAAACGGGGAAAATCATTCTGTTGTATGATAGGGAAAAATGTATCACTCAGTCCAGTAATACTAACTATAATACTTGACCAGGATAATAATGTCCATTCATGTTCTCTGGTGGAAGATATCATTTGGCTTAGTAAATCACAGTCGCTTTGACATCATACTTCCCAACACTGGCTACACGTGTAACTGAATACATGTACCGAAAGTATCTTTTCAGAATACATATTGTTAGTACTTGTATTCCGGTACAGTTTCTTTTTCATTTGGTTGTATTCAGAATAACAAGTACATTTTCCCAAAATCAAAGTACTACATTGCAATTGACTGATCTTTAAATTTAGACCTCAAACTGCATATAATCAGTGAGAACAACAGAAAACACAGCTCTTGTGTTGAGAACATTTGTGATTTTTCCTTCTCCAATTATTGATAGAAAATGCAGAACAAGTGTCAAAACAAACATGAAACCGTTTTTAACTTATGTTACGTTTTTACACTATAATTTAAACGCAACTCCTTTAGAAGATATATAGTGAACAAAATATATATTTTGAGATTGTGTAGATGATAAAGTCAAGTTTATGGCGCAAAAAATAAGTTTGACTGTAGCTGTTTTGCACCAGGTTTGATTTCATAAATTCCAAACCATTGAGAACTAAACGCGTGAGTAGAGCATTGTGAGAATGAAGTGGGTCATTTACGCTTGGCCAGTGTTGGGAGTAATGCGTTATAAGTTAACTCGTTATAAGTAACGAATTACAGTAATGCATTACTTTTTCCTGTAACGCAGTAATGTAAGGCATTACAGGGGAAAAAATAGTAATATTTTACTCAGTACAAATGTGAGTAACTCGCGTTACAATGTTTTTTTAACCTGGATTGAAGTGGTGGGTTTTTCTTCATACAAATTAGCTAAAATCACTGCGATATCAGCAGTGGTGAAACGCCGGAGATGCGCCCTCGTAGACCGTCAGGTAACTGCGGGTGAAAGGACTGACAAAGAACTCCACGCTGACCTGGGTCAGTTCTGGTTTAGACCTGGTTTACACTCGTCCCTCCCTCTATCGCAGTTCACTTTTCGCGGTCTCGCAGATTATTATTTTTTTGTGCAATTTTGCATGCCCTTTTTTTTTTACATTATATGAATGCGTATTGCGTTCCTCCCGCTGCGTCCTGACTGGCCAAGGGACTCCTGTCTCCTGTACAGTACAGAATGTGTTCAGATGCCAGATTTAAATACATGTTCAATCTCTAGCAGTGTGATTCTGAAGTGCTGTATGTTTGTAAGTTTTCTCCCCGACGAAACCCACAACGTCGACGAAACATTCTGCACCGACAAAGACTCCTGCGCTCACACCCAAAAGACAGAGGAAGATCTAACCATCACACAAAAAGTTGGACTTCTGGACACGCTGAAGGAAGGTAGAAGTTACGCGCTGTAACAGACTCTTGCACCGGCTCGGGTACCTGCAAATAGTTGCTGAAATCAGGACCACGAGCCCGAGCAGCAGTTTGTCCATAAAGAGCGATCAGGCGACAGTCGCTCTTACCTCCATGAGGTGCAGAGCAGAGCCGCTCCTTTCTCCTGCGGTCACCTTCGAGCCCGTCCCGACAGTGAGTCCTGTTTTAGTCCTAGTTCAGTTCTGGTTTAGACCTGGTTTAGACCTGGTTTAGACCTGGTTTAGACCTGGTTTAGACCTGGTTTAGTCCTGGTGTAGACCTGGTTTAGTCCTGGTTTAGACCTGGTTTAGACCTGGTTTAGACCTGGTTTAGACCTGGTTTAGTCCATATACAGCGCAAAAGTTATTTTGGTGAGAGTAACTTAAAGTAATGCAATAGTAATGTAATTCCTTACATTTTAAAATGCAGTAATATTGTAATGTCACGAATTACTTTGAAATGACAGTAATAGGTAATAAATAACGCATTACAGTTTCAATTAACTTGCCCAACAGTGCGCTTGGCCCTGGCCGCTTCAGGAGGTTTTGTCGGAGGGTGTTTAGTCTGTACTCAGTCTATGGAGGGCGTGTTTCCATTATTAGCTATCTGCCATTTTGGTAAAGTAGCAAACGGCCAAACAGTTTTACACAGGCACACGGCCATGCATGAGCCGATTTAGATCTGAATAGAACACAGAATTCACACAGAAGCCACGAGGCAAATGAACGTGTTAGATCTTCGTACTGCTCACGGTCCAGCCCCTATGGCACCTTGAGCAGGCTGTGGGTCACTGAATGAAAAGTCCGCACAAGACGCCCGAGTGCGTTAACAGAGCGCGCAGTGCATAAACCTGCTCTTACCCGGGCGGTGGTCTTCGCCCCTCTCATACAGGCCCGCAGCATGGTCACGGCCTCCGCTTTACTCCGTTAAAGGACCGAAAGTACCCAAAGGACACGGTGCACACTTGACAGGAGCAAGGGGTAATGGTGCCAGACTGTCTGCATGAAACGGCCGAGAGCCCCCTACTGGAGCGGAGTGTTCCTGTCACGCAGTCCGAGACGGGCCCATCGATGTATTCAAATAATAGAGTGCATACAGTTCCCAAAAGCACAAGATAATTTTCGATATAACCAAACGTCATATAAAACATTTATAATACCCCTTTTTTCTTTAGCTAAAAGAGCCATTTGTGAGCCATATGGCTTCACAAATAGCGTCACATACTGTATGATGATCTACAAATGAACCAAGGCAGCTTACTGAATCTTCAGTTTCACCACCCACCACAAGATGGCGCACAGAACCAACGCAATGGCCCAAAAAGATACCTGCCGGTACTGGTCTAACCTATAGGTACACTGTGCACTTTTCTAGTGAAGGGTACGCCATTTGCTCGTCTTCATTAAGATGGTATTGATCTTATATTGAAATTCAATTACAGATGTTTCTATCAATCAAAATTACACTGTCATTTAGTCTATTGTGAGCAGGCTTGCCTCTTCACAGGTCTGACGTGTAAGTGTTGGGGATTACCTGCTTGTCACCAGGAGAGATAGTGTATGTCAAACTATAGAACATTCCAGGCATTTTGTGCATCTTTTTAAATCATATTACACTTTACTAGTATATTGCCCTATTAGTAGGATCGGGACAATCCATTTAAGTCACTCCCGATTTTCAATTCTTTTTTGATAACATTAAATTAACATTATTTCTTACCTTAAAACGCAAAATATACCATTAACAATGAATTTTAAAAAATAAAGTTGTATGTATATATGTATGTATGTATGTATGTGTGTATGTATGTGTGTGTGTGTGTATATAAAAAAAATGTGTTTCTCACCTTCCACGGTGGTATATAAAATTAACCTTATAATTAATAAATAATTAAAATAGACCCATAGACCCCCAATTGGCCACTATAAGATAAAATCCTTTATCCTTTATCCTAATCCTTTATTGTCTTAGGACAGGGGGTAACATGCTTTATCAAAATACTGTGTCTCATAAGGAGAATGTGGTATGATGTACTTAAAGGCTATAAGACAGAAACACCACCATCAAATCTTTCAGTTTTCTGTATTTATTTATTTATTTTCATCATTTCTTTGACTCTACTTCTGACGCTCTCATCTGTTTCCCAGCAGTAGCATGTTCCGGTGGTACGCCCCATGTAGGGGCCTGTCCTGCCATAATGGTCCCTCCAGCTCGTCTTCTTCTGGACCCCACTGTCTGAGACATTTAAGCAGCCAGTTAGCTCACTTGGTAAGTCACTGGACATTCACATGGGCGAGGGTTCGATTCCCCCCTCTGACGGGGGAGGCAATGAGCTAACCAGTGTGGGTCCTTGGGCAAGACCCTTTGTGCTACTGCCCACCTCATACTCAATGAAATTTACGAGATACCGGCTCAGACGTCGCCCAGAACCAGAGTAACTACACCTAATGTGTTCCACAACTGGAGAGGGGAGGAGAACCCGCAGAACCTGTAAGCACTGTGCACTGTTATTGAATATCCAATATCATTGCAAACTCAATGTGGTTGTGGAAAACTGCCAATGTGCCACTTGCACAAGTGTCCATCAAATGTGGCATATACTGTCCCCACTGCTGTTCTGCATAGGTCTGGACCCCCTCAGCCTGACTCAGAAATGGGGCCACCATCAGTCACATGGATGACATCAAGCTGTATGCTGTGAGTGACATTGACTCGCTGATCTATTTGAGACAAAGAGAGGGAAGGTAGTCTACAGGGTACTTGCAGGTATTTGGCTGTAGCAAGAACAAGGCGCAGGCAGCAACGCCCTGCCAGTGATCCTGCAGGAATTGTAAGCTGGCCAAAGGAGACCATAGATGTTAAGACATGAAAGCTCCTGACCATGCATGGAGGGTTCCATCCCAAATCCATATATATATAAGCAAACTAAGTGATTGTGATCGGCATGGAATTAAAAACTTTCCGCAATTTGTTTGTTTCAAATTAAACCCAGATGAGTTCTGTGTCCCCAGTGGATCACAGAAATAATGTTGGACACCCCCAAACTGACTGAATTCTCAGTCATCTGGCCATGGAATCATGGGGCCATTCCATATGGGGGAACCGGTCAGATTTCAGGAGAAAAATTGTCGAGTCTTATATTATGTTATAAATTTGTAATAGGGTCAATTATATTATTAATTACATAATATATATTATAATTATATAATTATATAGGGTCAATTTAAAAATGAATTCAATATTTTTTTTTTAGTTCAATACATTTTTTTAATTGAAGCATAATCTTGTATTCTTTAGTGAAATGTGCACTAATTTCTATGTATTTTCATTTCACTTGGTTCTATCTCAGGTCTAACACTGTGGTCTGAAGTACAGTGTGTAATAATAAAAATGTAATGTTGTCGACAGACTCAGAATATTAACAGCAGAGGTGATCTTGCTTCTGTTCTTTTTTTATTGACAAAAAACAAGATAGACAGGAACTAATGTATTATGGATCCTGCTTAGGTCTCATTTCAGATGACGACTCCATGAGCACACAAACTTTGTGACAGGAATGTGAAATTTGGTACAAATTATCGTGACAGGATTTAAATTACTTTGTCCTTTGAGACAGAAAAAACTTCCTTCTATATTTAGCTTCATATTAAGATCAAAATGACTACTGTACTTTATAGACAACATATGCTGCTACAGAAAATATTTCCAAACCTCAAATCAATAGTGTAGAATTTATATATAATTTAATGGGATTTCATATGAAAAGTATTTTTCCTCATAGCAAATTTTCTCTTTAAAACACAAGCCTTAATCTTAATCTGCAGCACAATCATTGGACAGGTTTACTGATCACATATGACACAGAGATCAGAGTCAGAATGTGACAATATGTGAAAAGGAAATAGTCGCCAGAATGGTGAACTAGGACATGACTCATTCATTCCACTGTCAGTGATGGTAAGCTACATACAGATGTGGACAAAATTGTTGGTACCCCTCTGGTAATGAAAGAAAAATCAACAATTTTCACTGAAATAACTTGAAACTGAGAAAAGAAATAATAAATACAAATTTCCTGACAAATAACCAATGAAAATCAGACACTGTTTTTGAATTGTTGTTCAATAGAATAATTTAAAAAAACAAAGTAATGAAACTGGCCTGGACAAAAATGATGGTACCTCTAGAAAAGACTGTAAATACTTGGACAATAGGGACATGTTAAACTTCGGTGTCTCTAATCTGCCTCACAGGTTCTTCAAACTTGTCCTCAGTCAGTGTGTCTGTTTAAAGGGCGACATGTATCATTGTGCTGTTTGGAGACATGATGGACACAACACTGAACATGGAGCAGAGAAAGAGAAGAAGAGATGGATCATACAAATGGAATCAAAGAGCCCAGAACAACCTCCAAATAAATTAAATGTGAACTTGAAGGGCAAAGTACATGAGTGTCAGATCACACCATCCATCAGTGTTTGAACCAAAGTGGACTTCATGTGAGGACACCACTGCTGAGAGAAAATCATAAAAAAATGAGACTGGAATTTGACACAATGCAAATTGACAAACCACAAAGCTTCTGGGAGAATGTTGATGATGAGACAAAACTGGAGCTCTTTGGCAAGACACATCAGCTCTATGTTCACAGACGCAAAAATGAAGCAGACCAAGAAAAGAACACTGTCCCTACTGGGGCGGTTTTGCTGCATCTGGCACAGGGCGTCTTGAATCTGTGCAAAATACAACAAAATCTTAAAACTATCAAGGTGTTTTGGACCAAAATGTGTTACCTAGTGTTAGAAAGCTTCCAACAGGATAATGACCTAAAACACACAGCGAAAAATACAAGAATGGTTATGAAGAAAACACTGGACTGTTCTGGAGTGTTCTTCTGTGAGCCCAGATCTCAATCCTACTGAACATCTGTAAAATGAGCTGAAACATGCTGTCTGGAGAAGGAACCCTTCAAACCTGAGACAACTAGAGCAGTTTGCTCAGAAGTGGCTCAAAATACCAGTTGACCAGAGCAGAAGTCTCATTGACAGTTACAGAAATCGTCTGCTTGCAGAGTTTGCCTCAAAAGGATGTGCAACAAAATATTATGTTAAGGGTACCATCATTTTTGTCCAGCCAGTTTCATTATTTAGTTTTAATTTAATTTAATTCTGTTTAGCCACAGGTGAAAAACAATGTTTGATTTTTGTTGGACAATTTTCAGTCAAATGTTATTTATTATTGCTTTTCTTAGATTCATTCTTTCATTGCCAGAGGGAACCAACAATTTTGTTCACGTCTGTATAAGGCCACAGCCCCCTGGGACAAACCACAGCTGGCAGACAAGCTTCTACCACACAAGGCACTCTTGGTCTGTTCCTTTCTTTCTGAAGTCATACAAATTCAAAACAAATTATTATACATATAAATCAACACTCCATACAAAGGAATAGACTCACTTCTGATTCCAATACCATAAGGATAATTAAAAACGCTCTTTCTATAGACCAGACATGTCAGACTCAGGCCCAGGGGCCAAATTTGGCCTGCGATATAATTTGGCCCACGAGATCATATCAAATATGTATTAGAGCTGCCCGCTGGCTACAGATAGGCTACAGAGACATTATTTATTTAAAATTTTGTTATTATTTAATATTATGCTTGTTCTGGATTCAATGTTTAAGCAAAACTACTATTAAACATTTATTTTAATAAAACAACGTTTAACATCACCTATCGCAAAAGAAGAGAAAACATGAAAATGTTGAAGTTTTTTTTTTTTTTAGTTTGGCTCACAACTTAGTCCCAGTTTTTATTTTGTAACTTTCAACATTAAATTGTACTATTTTCAAACAAATGACTACTTTTGATACTTTAGTACTGATAAGCATCTGATTTACCATCCTTTAGACAACCCAAAAAGTATATAGCTACAATGGGCAGATTCCGGGAAGAAAAAGTTTCTCTTTATCATTATATGGTTTTTTTTGTAATCCTATGAGGCACGTGTGCAAACGTTGCTTTTTACACAATTGATACTTTGCAGTGACATAATGCTTTGGAGATGTATATGTATGTATATGATGAGTCACCATGGTGACACAATGCACACATTAGCAAAAACAGCCATAAAATGTAGTTTGAAAACGCAAGAAAAAATACAAAATAGATTTAAAACAGATTTTCAAGACACCTCAGTATAAATGTTCAAGGTCAGATGTTTGATTTTCAACAAAAGCTGAGCGTGACTAACTGAAAAAATTATGGCTGTCTGAAGCTATTACAGACAAGCATCACAACCCCAAGGAAGCAGTTGCAAAGTATCAATTAGATGTAAAGAAATAAACTCTGAAGTAATGCTCTAGCCATGACTGCAGCAGTGACTTTTCATTAAAGCAGAAAACGCACTGGTTTAAGATGACACCACACAAACATCCAGGATACAGAAGCGGGCTCTACATGTGGGACAGGGCACTCTGCTGCTTAGCCACGTCTCTGGTCTCTGCTGGTCCTGACGACTAGCAAACCATCGACCCATACACGACACACACCACATGGGCCGACACAGGCAGCGTTGGCAGTCCCCATCACTGTCTGAGCCTGGGGAGAACAGAGATGGGTAAAGTAGCATTTTACATTTTACTCCAGTAAGAGTAGTGTTACTTCAAAATAATATTACTCAAGTAGAGGTACAAAGTAGTGGTTCATAAAATTACTCAAGCAGGAATAAAAACTTATTTGGGAAAAATATTACTCAAATAAGAGTAATGGAAAAAGTATCTGTTGCGAGGTAACATCTGATTTATGAACATTTAATGTATTTGGAAGGACAAAACATTAAATAATGCACAAAATCTGCTATTTTCAATGGAAACCCAAATGATCAAATCATTTCATATTGGCAACATAAAGCTTTTGTCACTTGAAGACTTGCTCACAGTGGGGAGAGTAACCAAACTTTTACTCATGTAAGAGTACTGTTCAATAAAAATGTTACTAATGTCAGAGTAAAAACATGCTACTAAAAGAGTACTCTGAAAAGTACATTTTCTTTCAATTTTATTGCTGAAGTAAATGTACTACTCATCTGATTCTTAGCAAACACACTCTACTCTACACACACTATTAGTTATTACAAAATGCTTTGTAAAACGCAAAGGTCTCATTTAGTCTCAAATTTATGGAGTAAGAAAGCTTTCAAAAATATTTGCGCGCCTAGAATAGAAATCCGTGCATATTTGGGAGATTCGTGCAGATTTGGCTGTAGTTGCACATAAAATAAATATTTGTAAACTCTCAAATGAGTCCAGTCGTACATAAAATATATTGTGTGTATTTTATCCATCAGAATACGAATTGAAAAGTTACGACATCAAGAATTACAATTGCGAAATTAAAATGTACGATTACGCTTTCATCAGTACGAATACGAATTCACAGACTGGACTTTACTGTCAAAAATACATCATCACTTCACAGACATTATTTATCGAGCAGAAGAAACATCGATCAAGATTAAGACTGTGCATGTTTAAGTTTGTAGCAGAGGGTAAAAACAGAGTAATGGCACAACAAGGAGCTACAACAGTGATCAACAAGTGGATTAATTAAAATTTATTGTAAAAATGTCTTGTCTTGCCACATTGAATTGGGGGAACCGAACGCTGCTGTGTAATATTGTGTAGAAACACCTCCTCTGAAATTGCACCTATATGTTAGATAACATAGTGGAGCCAGTTGAAAGCGTAATCTTACATATTCATTTTGTGATTGTAATTCTTGATGTTGTAATTTTTCAGTTCGTATTCTGATGGATAAAATACACACAATATATTTTATGTACGACTGAACTCATTTGAGAGTTTACAAATATTTATTTTATGCGCAACTACAGCCAAATCTGCACGAATTTCCCAAATATGCACGGATTTCTATTCTAGGCGCGCAAATATTTTTGAAAGCTTTCTTATTCCATATAAATTATTCCTCAACACACTCGCACGTGCTTGTAAACTTTGTGAAAAAAAACTGTTCTTACCTTGAGATTGACAAAGTTGCACCAGTTTGATGTTGGCTGGGACCTGCATGCAGCCTATACATGGCTCCAGCTCCTGCAGAGATTATAATGCAAAAAACATCATTGAGTGAAGCTTAAAGAGGGGGTATTTTACTTTTATGGCGTATTAACTGCTAACACATAACATATTTAGATCACCATGTTACCATTTATTGTTTTCAAAATGCTAAATTTTTTGAAAACTGTTAAAAGTCCTCCCCTTATCGCATTACAATAGGTGTGTGCTCCAGTAATGAAACTACTGAGCATCAGGTTTGTAAAGCTGTAGGGTACAGTTTTGTATCATGTTTTTGTATATTTACAGTCATGGACCAAATTGTTGGTACCCCTCTGGTAATGAAAGAAAAATCAACAATGGTCACTGAAATAACTTGACACAGAGAAAAGCAGACACTGTTTTTGAATTGTTGTTCAACAGAATTATTTTTAAAAAAACATAGATTAAAATCTTCAGGAGGAGTGGGCCTCCCTAACTTTGAATGGTACTTAGGGCCCGACCAATATGGATTTATTTTTTATTTTTTTTGGTCAATATTGAAATCACGATTTTAATTTTTTTTTAATTAAAGACAGCAGAACATAACATTAAAAAAAACAAAACAAACATCAACGTTTAACAATTGCAATATTCAACATAAAAACTAAAACATAAAGCAACAACCACAACACCACAACAAATACAAAAAAGCCCCCCCATTTCCCCCAACCACCCACACCAACACAAAGTCAAAACAATATAAATGTGATAGTGCAACATAAATACACCGCTAGGCTCCCTAACATTGATACACTGCGGCCAATTTATAATTGAAGTTCCTTTTGTCTCTCTTCCTTCCCTTTTTTTTTTTTTTTTTTTTTTAATTATAATTTTTTAAATGTATTAATCCCTATACTCAAACTAATATTTATTTTCACCATCATCAGTTCCCCTCCAATATGGATTTTGTTGTGGCCGATCATATCATGTATCATAACGTTTAATGGAAGTTGGAGCTGCCGATAGCCGATATAATCGCCGATATATAGTGATGTAAAAATTCACTGTAAATCTTGAATTGTTTAAAAAAACTTAGGTTTGGCTCTAGTGGATTTTAAATTGGGTTTATTTAGGCAACATTCATTGTTATTCTGCCTCTTTACGTCATATTTACAGACAGTAGGTCGGACTAGTGGCATTTTTGTATCACATTCTAGCTACTAGTGATGGGTATTCCAGTTCTTTTGAGAGAACCAGCTTTTTTGGCTCAGCTCACTAAAAGCAGCTGGCTCTTTCGGCTCCCAAGTGACTCTTCAGGTTGTTTTGTTGCAAGCAGGTCTAAACCAGAACTGAACCAGGACTAAACCAGGACTAAAACAGATCTAAACCATGTGTAAAACAGGACTAAAACAGAACTGAACCAGGACTGAGTGTCGGGATAGGGTCTCTATGTCTCTCTCTTTCGAGCCCAAGATTAGTCCTGGTTTATTCATTTTATGCTGAACTACAGTCAAACATGTACGTTTTTCTATCTTATGCACACGCACATTTCTGAAAGTTTGTTCACGAATCTGCATGCGACGTGAAGAGAAAAAAAGTGACAGAAAGAGAAAACACGGCTCCTAATCAGGAGCCACCTCCCGTTGTTCGCTTCAAAGAGCCGACTCTAAGAGCTGGTTCGTTTGAGACCGACCCATCACTACTAGCTAGTAAAGAAACTACCGCTATTAGCCTTTAGCCGTAAATACATGTGCGCCGTGGTAATTAATTATATGTGTAAATGTCATCATTCATACGTCTATTCACAGCTCATTTACATATCAGTGCAGGTCCAGTAACATGTATACGACCAATATAATCACTTTACAACAGGCCAATAGAAAACAGTCTGTTTATGTGTGGGAGCTACAGCAGCTAATCGATAACCAATAACAAATAACCAAAACTAGCTTCAAAGTCGACATATTTCCAACACTCAGCCTCACACAGGCTCCTCCTCACATCACAAGTCTGCACTAATAAATGTCCTTTTAATCCAGACTCAAACCGATTGTCCATAAAAAGAAAATAATCTCAGTGTTTGGATCTGTGTGTGCGAGTGTAAACAAGAAAACGTGAGCGACGTGACTCTGTGGTGTGTTCAGGGACCGTACGACACACACAGACAAATGACTCCACAGATAAATACTGATGTGGAACCACTATGGAGTAAGAAAGTTTTCAAAAATATTCGTGCTCATAGAATAGAAATCCGTGCGTATTTGGTAAATCCATGCAGATTTGGCTGTAGTTGCGCATAAAATAAATATTTGTAAACTCTCAAATGAGTCCAGTCGTACATAAAATAGATTGTGTGTATTTTATCCATCAGAATACAAATTGAAAAGTTACGACATCAAGAATTACAATTACGAAATGAAAATGTACGATTACGCTTTCATCAGTACGAATACGAATTCACAGACGGGACTTTACTGTCAAAAATACATCATCACAACCAGGACAGTTTGGTAGTGTTTGGTGTAAACTGGGACATTTCAGCGTCCCGAGGAACTTTTGGTGGCATTTCATGCGAGAAATGCAACTGAGATGAAGGTGAAGACCGACTGATGCTCGCTGTGGCTGTAGCTGTGAATGTTTTAATGTAAACATACGGAGAACGCTGATATTTGCTAATTAGCCCTGGGATAATGTTACGGCTGATGTTCGCCAACTGGCTCCACTGTGTTATCTAACATATAGGTGCAATTTCAGAGGAGGTGTTTCTACACAATATTACACAGCAGCGTTCGGTTCCCCAATTCAATGTGGCAAGGCAAGACATTTTTACAATAAATTTTAATGAATCCACTTGTTGTTCTTCTGTTGTAGCTCCTTGTTGTGCCATTACTCTGTTTTTACCCTCTGCTACAAACTTAAACATGCACAGTCTTGATCTTGATCGATGTTTCTTCTGCTCGATAAATAATGTCTGTGAAGTGATGATGTATTTTTGACAGTAAAGTCCAGTCTGTGAATTCGTATTCGCACTGATGAAAGCGTAATCGTACATTTTCATTTCGTAATTGTAATTCTTGATGTCGTAACTTTTCAATTTGTATTCTGATGGATAAAATACACACAATCTATTTTATGTACGACTGGACTCATTTGAAAGTTTACAAATATTTATTTTATGCGCAACTACAGCCAAATATGCACGGATTTCCCAAATACGCACGGATTTCTATTCTATGCATACGAATATTTTTGAAAGCTTTCTTACTCCATAGGCCACATATTAGGACATTTATCTGTCTGTGAAATGGATTAAATGAGCATAATGTGGAGAGTCTAAACTTTATAACAACGTATAACATGCCCACGGGAAATATCGGCCCATATCAGCAAACATATCAGTCCAGTGCCCATATCAGCCGAAAATATCACTGAACCGATATATCGGTCAGGCTCTAATGCTACTCATGGTGTTTTGCATTAAGATCTCTAGCAGCATGGTTAAAATCTGGAAAATCTGCAGCATGGATACCAATTCAAGAGCAGATAATAAAACCTTACACTATGCCCACTCTCTTATACTCTAAATTGCCACACAAAACCATTAAAGGCCATTAGGGATCCATTGTTACACATCTTATATCTGTATGGAACAAAGTTAACAATTTTATGGGGATAGATGACCAATATTTCCTTCAGACATCAATCTTCCATAATTATTCTCTGCTAATTGACAAGAAGAGAGTTCCATGATTTACAAAAATGCTTTAATCTACCAGGTACTTTGTTCTTCTTTTACCTTCAGCTGCGCACAGCAATGCAGTCCCATGGTGTTCCTTGGGGATGCATGCTAAAAAGTCAGCCTCTTCACAGAAGAGAGCAGAAAGCTCTGAATTCTGAATTATATAAACTAATTGTTAAGTGCACACAAAAAATTGTACCGGTCAAGCAGCTTTGGAAAACTGAATTGAGGGATCACTCGGAGTGGGATTGGAACCAGATTTGGTCCAACATTTTGCTTTCATCAAGGAATTCCAATCACTAGCTGATTCATTACAAAACTATTCATAGAGCTTATTTATACCCTAGAAGATTACACCAAATGAAAATAAAAGACAATCCACACTGCGATTTTTGTATAGAAAAAACTGTGGGCACTTTTGTACACATGGTATGAGAGTGCCCTGAGGTGGCACAATTTTGGGAAAACGTCACAAAGAAAATGTATAAATTAATAGGAATAACCATACCTTGCACTCAGAGGTTTCTTCTGCTAAACGACACGTCCAAACTAAATCTGACAATTAACGATCGTTGCATATTACTAGCAGATCTTACAGCTGGCAAAAAAATGTAATATGCTGGTGGAAATCAGTTCAACCTCTGACTGTGAGAAAATGGCTCCTATCGTTCGGAGAAATCATTCAATTGGAGCTTTCTGCTGCTCGAATGCATGGAGCAAAAACCAAAAATATTTCTTGCTGGTCCAATCTATTGATCAAACTGAGATCTGGATCTACTGTATAGTTGTTACCTGGATATTTTTCATTATAATATATGATCTTAGAATGTACACAATATGTGTACTCTCAGGTAACTTTCTCTGTACAGTACATAATAAGTATGTATAACACAATTTCTGCTGATGTCTTTTGCTGGAGGAAACTTGCCTATGTTCTGTACAGAGAGAATATACACCTGGATATGTGTGTCTTTTTGTGTGTGTGTTTATACATGTATATGTATATATAACATATATACTATAATATGTGTATATGGTATGTGTGTTTATGTAGATGCTGTATATATGTATATGTGTGTATTCTGTAAATGTATTTATGTGTATGTATGTGTGTGTACATATGTTTTCTGTTGATGGTTGGAGGGACAAAAATGCAAAGCTAACTGGATTATGTATAACTGCAAATAAAATCACTTGAATAAAAATGTTATTACAAAAAATAAAAAACTAACTAATGAAACTGGCCTGGACAAAAATGGTGGTAGACAATTTTCAGTACATTTTTATTTATTATTGCTTTTTTCAGTTTCAAGTTATTTCAGTGATTCTTATTGATTTTTCTTTCATTGCCAGTGGGGTACCAACAGTTTTGTCCACGGCTGTATATAGAATTGTCAAGAGGGAGCATTGTTGATGCACACTTGTAGGCGGAATAGGGCCCTGGACAGATCGCTAAATTGCTCAAACATGCATGGATGACATGTAAAGCCACTTCAGGCATGTTTTTCATGAGAGAACAATGCTATAACATGGTAGAAAGAGCCAAAAAGCTGATTTTATGTAATACCCCCCTTTAAAGTGAGTGGAGCAGAGAGGCTGACCTGTGCGCTGGGCAGGCTATACGATGGGTTGTCCTGCACCTGAGCTCTGAATGTGTCCAAAAAGAGCTCGCTGACACTTTGGTAGATGACTACATTGGCTAGATTTCTGATAGGGGCATGAAGTTTGTCACGCAGCTCTGAGTATTCAGTGGAGTTCAACCTAGAGAAAAAAGAGGTTCAGTCCTGAAACTTGAATTCACTGCATATTCATTGTTGAATCATTTGACTTGTGTGTGCTGCATCTTACATCTTCCTCCCGAAAACTGAGTATGAAAATAGTGAATAGTATTGTGAACTATATAAACTACCAAACTAAAATGTATTTTAAAATATTTTGCAATTGTGATTTCAGTTTTGTTCCTAGTAATGAGTCATCTCTTTGTAAAGGAACTAAACAAACTAACCATACAGAACATTTCAGAATTTTTAGAATTTCAGATAAATGGCTGGGGCCAATCTCAATTTTGAGCGCAACAACCAAAAATAAAATTCACACTTGTTAAAGGAACTTATTTTGTGTTTTGGTTCTCAAAAAGATTATTCAGTCAGAAAGTAGAATTAGCTTCACAAGAGTCTCTCATTTGGGTTGCCAGTTTTAATGTTGAAATCCATTTGATTTAAACCTAAAATGCCCCTCTCTGATCTGAATGGTCACTACCTAAACCCCAGCACCTGCAGCCAATCATGATTCAGTGCCTCTGCAGCTCAGGGAGGGAATTCTGGAGGCATGATGTATGTGTCCTCTATCTGCAGGTAAAGGCAATCCAGGTTCAGTAAGAGCGCAGGCTATATACAGTTCCTTTAAACTTTATATTTCAGTCCATACATTAGCCCTATTTATTTTGTGAAAAGTCTAACTGATAACAATCACAGCGTTGGGTTTACCTAACTATACCACTTGTTCCCTTAAAAAAAGTTAATTGTCTTCTTCTTACACAGAAGATCTTCACGTAGATAGACATAGTCATTGATTGGACTTAGAATAACTGTGAACCAGGACAGACATTTTCATCTCAACTTGTGAGATTAGAAAGTTATGATGTCGTGGAGCAGTACCTGATGTGAAAAGGGCGCACAGCGCGGTTGGTGCTGTCCACCCTCAGAGTGAGGATCTGTGTGGGGGAGGACGAGTCTGGAGACATGTGGTGCTGACGGGAGTGCACCACGCTCATCTGGCACTGGCTCTGCAGAGCCATGGACACGCCGTAAGTGCTCACCTGCACACCAACATAAGGCATGTGGGACATACACTACCAGTCAAAAGTTTGAATTCACATTTTCATTCATTGTATTTTTTCTTTATATTTATTATTTTCTGCCTTTCTTTCATTTTAGATACATACAGAAGACATTAAATATAACATTCAAGATATAGATAAAGAAAAAAACCATCTTGATCAAGTCTCCTGAAATGATTTCCGCTTCAGTGGTGTGCCATGTCAGAGTTGTAAAGACCACTTAGGTCCTCACCGCTCTCTATTCTCTCAGCTGGGGTGAAATGCTTATTTGTTAATATCTATTGTGTATGGTCCTTTACGTGTGTGCCATTATTATTTAGGACATATCAGACTGTTGGTTACGCCAGACGCATGGGGATTTAAGGGGAGAGGGACGCACGCGCGGGCACGAGCAAAGGGTGTGACGTCACACGCCAACTTGGACACATGCCAAGAGCTGTCAGGGCCGTGGAGCTATTGGAATATATCGCTGTATTTTGTGGATTATTGCGTTTCCTTACGTGTTAGATTATACTTCTTCACGGGAGCTGCTGAACTGTGGGACAATACCGGAGTGCGGGTGGCGTGAGTAGCTCAACAGACTCTACAAACTCACGTCACGCTGCCGTGCGGATTTTGGGAACCTTTTGGGGACAAGTAAAGTTGCTCGGGGCGGTTGCGGTGAAGGTGGTGGACTCGTAACGGACTGCTCTTTCTTGTTTTGTTGCACTGTGATTTGGGATTTGTATTTGGGTTTTGGGAACTGGGTGCGCTCGAGCGTGGGGTGGTGATTAATGTTATTATGGTCTTTCTTGTGCATATCTGGTAATGCCAATAAAAAGCCGGATAGGCCGAACGCACTGCATTTCTACGTGTCTCTGTTTCGCCCCGCTGATGTGAATAGATCCTCCCGCGTCCTTAAATTTGCGTTGTAGCTTTTCGTTTGTCAAGAACAGGAGAATTGTTACAGGGTTAATAGTTGAATAGCTTTAGATCAGGGGTGCTCAATACGTCGATCGCGATCTACCGGTCGATCGCGATCTACCAGTCGATCGCCAAGGTCGTGTGGGTAGATCGCCGTGTCTCGTCTCGGACTCGATCGCGTTTGGACTCGGTCTTGTCTCTTACTCGAGGTCTGACACTCAACAAGTGCGATCATATTTCATTACGGCTGCTGCTGTTGGTAATAAACTTGTAGCGGGTGCAGGAGCGTGTGGGGCGTCTCAGTGCAGCCTGTGCGCTCATTTGAAACCCACGGAGACTCTACTGCACATCACAAATACACACGCTCCCTATGCACGGCTCGTCTGCAACAGCGTGTGCCCTCGTGTACCAGCGTGCATCACAGGGCAGGTTCAACTTCCTAAACATCCTACCTGTCCATCTGCCTCACGTCAGCACGCCGCCCCTCGCCTTTTCACGCTCTCGCTCCTTCCTGCGTACAGCGAACACAAGCCCCTTCCACAGTGCGGCTGATTAGAAGAGCAAGACCAAACGTGAAGCAAAAACGAGTCTAAATTTGTGTTCCAGTGTTGGCACAAAGCAGGTCTACAGCATAGAGCAGATCTACAGAACAGACCTACTGTCACATTTGGCTGAAGTTTGTCTAACAAAAGTGCACAAATGCATCTGTGTTTGTCACGATGTGCGTTTGGTTTGGTAAATGTGCAGAGGCTGGTAAATATCACTGCAAAACCAGAAAAGAATGTAACTCCAGTTTGGAACTTTAAAAAACAGGTTTAAAAATCTTCCTTCACTTTTTTCACAGTTTTGTGTCAAGTGCCAGAGGAAGTTCTCTTAAAGAAGGGGTTCTCAAACTGTGGGTGAGGGTCCAAAAAAGGGGCACAGAATGTTTCAGTGCAGTTTGCTTGACTTTGTATTAAGTAGATCTTTATGACTTGGTCATTTTGTAAGTAGCTCGCATGCTGAAAAAGTGTGAGCACTCCTGATTTAGAATGATCTTGAGCTGTATCAGAACTCCTATAAGGACATATAGCGCAACAACTGCCCATGGACCTCTATGGAACCTACCTGGACAACTGAGGGATTACACAGATATAAGATCACAAGTTAATTTAAAAGAAAATACTATGATTTAACAATGTAAGCCACATTCTAATGTCAAAATAAAGAGTACTTTTATTATCATAGTGGTATCAGAATGGGTATTGACTATTGAAACTATTCCTCCTTCCTTATTTTTTATTTTTGTTTATTCTGAAACCAAGGATAGTCTTATGCAAATGTTCATAATTCTAGGTCACCATTCCAGTTTACCACTTATATTTTGTTCTTTGTTATTACATTGTAATGAATGAATTGCTGTGAAACGTATTCATCCCATCACTGTCCATGGGGGAATAATGTTTTTAAAAAAAAAAAAAAAAAAAAAAAAAAAAAATATATATATATATATATATATATATATATATATATATATATATATATATATATATATATATATATATATATATATATATATATATATATATATATATATATATATGTATATATATGTATATATATGTATAGATAGATAGATCGATAGATAAAAAAAAAACAAAAAAACATTATTCTTTCTATTTGTTCTATTGAACAAAAATTCTAAAACAATTTTGTCCACGTCTGTATAAAGAGGAGCAGCGTCACTCTTAGAGTGTGGTCTGTTTGTTTTAAGTTTAAGTAATCAAGTGGTAGTTTTAAAGTGAACAGCTATTCATTGCCTAAACTGAACTGCTATATACTGCAATACAGTAGTTTTTCCCCTCTCTAAACATACCAGTATATTTTTTTTTCCCTTTGTTCGGGTGAGAAAGCCACAGAAAGGCTACAATATCTTCTGGTCCACAGAGAAACAAAGAGGCTAAAACAATATCTGAAGGTTCAAAGTTAGCCATTTCAAAAGGTAAAACTTGAAAGGTGGAACAGAGCATTTTGAGCTTTGGAGATGAAGAGACTAATAATAAAGAACTAATAATAAAGGATTACTCAAACATGTGTGAAACAAATCACAACTCCAGGTGTGTTTTTGAGAAGGTAGCAGAATTCTAACATAGCTTCATTTCACAAGAATCATTTAGTGTAGTATGGGACCTTTAAGATAAGGTTAGAGTTTGATCTCATCACATCCTTGCTTACTTTCAACACCCAGCTGTCTGTGACAATGACACGTGCGCCGTGGACTCCAGCTGTGAATTTGTCCACTCGGCGGAACTCGGTGTTGAGGCTGGCAGCCAGGGAGCCCCAGCTCGTGTGAGGGAGGCGTGCATGGGCCTGCAACATGCGGCTGATGGGGTGATTCTCCCACTTCCACATGGACCAGTACAGCACCAGAGACCAGGCTCCCACATGTACAGAGAGCGCCACCAGGAGGTACAGCTGCCAACCCTCACTCACCTGGTCACACAAATGCAGGAAATAGACATTTCTTTAGTTTTGTATTTTGAAGTACACTATACAAAACAATAATATTGAAACTAAAACATAAAGCAGAATTATCCACAAACAGTATTCTAAATGTACAATGCCATAAACAAGTAACAGAATACATCACTTAAGTAGTTACTTTGTGTGTGTTATAGCAGTTCCTAATTATGCCTTCTAAGTGAATACTGTCATGTATTGAGCTTATTGTTCAATACATGACAGTATTCATTTCAATACAGTAATTACTGCAACAGGCCTACACTTAGTGTCTTACACTTGCACAGGGGTGAAAAGTAACTCATGGGTCAGTCCATATGAAATCTGCTGTTTTCAAGGAATCTCCCCTATGAGCCATCTCAGATTTGGCTGAAAAAATTTAAAAACATTTCTACAATCACCAAATGAAAGAATCTCAAATTTTAGCTCAATCCCTTAAATCGTTCCTGAGTTATGGCCCTTTGAATTTTTGGGGCCATGATCACTTTTTTGGAAACCTTAATTTATAAGCATGTTTAAGAGAAAAAAATAGAGCTAGGAAGCTGAAAATAATTGTAGATCCTTGGTCACAGATTCTGAGTTTGATGTTAAACATTGTGTATCTTTATTAAGGGGAGCACTGTGGGGCCCCAAAATCTCATATTTGGTGGCTGCTCAGTTTTTTTTTTGTTTTTTTTTTTTCAGTTTTTGAGGTCCAAGATCTATTTCCTCCAAGCAGATATTTACAAATGGAATTTTTGAAAATGAGCTCTCACAGGAGCTTAGGTACTTTTCCACCTGCTAGAAAGGTTCAATTGCCTTTATGAGACTTAAACACTATCTGCTTGTTATAAGGGAGGACAATTAGAGATTATTTGTGGCTACGTTGCTTGGAAATGTGTCATTAATCCTTTGAAAAAATTCAACTACTAACTCTGTGCAAAATTATGAAAAAAGGTTTGTTAGCATATTTATTACGTTTTTATTTGAGGAAAATAATTTGTTATCTCACAAATAAACAGCTTTTCATGGTGTATAAGTAAAGCAACAAAAGTTAAGATAGTATTGATGGAAATTGATCAAAGGCAAATTCCAATTGGAAAACTCATTGCCTGTTAAATCACAAAATCTCTGATTCTATAACCATGACTTTCAGTATCACCATATGTGTATTATTTTTGCACAAAAATATAACAAGAAGGCAGTACCATTAACAAGGAAAAATTTTATACTGACACAAAAGTTACTAAAATATAATAATCTGGTCTGTTATTTTTTTCAACTGCTAGAAATTACATTTTAAAAATTCAAAGTGAAAAAGAACCTCAGTGGAAAATACCAACATACTGGAAAAATCTGCCCATTCTGGTCCCTTTGCCACCTGCATGTAGATCATATCTTGCACACTAAGTGTTTCTAACTGCTAATGAACTTCAGAAGTCATGTTTGGATTCTGTTATAGTCTGCAGTGTCAAGGCGATAATTTTGTGCTCTTCTTCTCTGAATTTCTGATACATTAATACAACTGATTATGTGAAGAAATGGGACCCAACATGGTTCTCCCGATGTTCAGGAGGCCAGATGAGGGTTCTGTCATCTCCATTCATGAATCTCACACAGACATCACAGTGTTCATCTGAACGCTCTGAAGTATTCCCAATGAACCACCTGATGTCATAAATACATGCCATATATTGACCTGCTGGTACAGAGAGATATCTGCACAATCTCATTTTGTATTTCAGAAACTGACACTTCAGTACATAAATGATCTTGAGATATTCTCCTCATTTCTAATTTACCATTTGACACCGGAATTAAACTGTGGTGTGATCTAGTACCTTTCACAGTTTTTGTCTTGGTATAGTGCTTGTCAAGTTTGAAAGTAAGTTCATGGTTTGTAATGTCTTTAGAGCTTGTAAAGAAAAACTTCACATTCTTTATGTTTTGTGAAGCTCACTCAAACCTCTGGGGTGCAGTATTTGATTGCTGTCAGTTGTCTGAAGACTGGCCCTTGCAGCCGAGCGTTTTACTGTGCCACCAAAACCATCACAAGCAACGTAGCCACAAATAATCTCCAATTGTCTTCCCTTATAACAAGCAAATAGTGTTTAAGGCTAATAAAGGCAATTGAACCTTTCTAGCAGGTGGAAAAGTACCCAAACTTCACCAAAAATGACCTGTGAGAGCTCATTTTCAAAAATTCCGTTTGAAATGAAGGAAGGTAATAGTAGATGTTTTCATTACTTTAAACTAATCAGAATATGCCAAAGTTTTTCTGGTAAAAATGTTATCAACATCTAACTGTGACAACATGGGGAACCGAGGCTCCAAAGAAGCATATTTGGGACTCTACACTATCCACATGAAAGCTCAGAATATTGTGAAATTGTTGTCAGAAATTGTCATTCTCTCAAATATTCAGGTTCAGCAATTAGTTTGTAAATATCTGCTTGGAGTAAATAGATCTTGGACCTCAACAACTGAAAAAAAAAATTGAGCAGCCACCAAATTTGACATTTTGGAGGCCCACAGCGCCCCCCTTAATAAAGATACGCAATATTTGACAAGAGATTCAGAATCTATGATCAGGAATCTATAATAATAAAAATGTTCAGTTTCCTAGCTCTATTTTTTTTTTATCAAGTTATGGTCTCTCAAACATGCTTATAAATTAAGGCTTCCAAAAAAGTGAGCATGGCCCCAAAATTTCAACAGGCATAACTCAGGAACGACTCAAGTGATTGAGCTAAAATTTGAGATTCTCTCATTTGGTCATTTTAGAATTTTTAAGAATTTTTTTTCCAGCCAAATCTGAGATGGCTCATAGGGGAGGGTGGTTGATTTCATACGGACTGACCCTCATTACAAATGCTCATGTTAGTGTAGATTATGATTTTACTCGAGTACTGTTTTAAAAACCTAGCTGAAAATGTTACCCACAATAGTTATGTAATTGTGCAGCTGTGTAACTGTAGTTTGACTTAAGTACAAAGTTGAAGTAGTATCTCTGCCACTCGTTTCTACACACAAATTGGGTTGTGTGACAGAAATTAATATCTGAGTATTTTAGTGAGTAGTTACTAAAATGCTAAGACATAATATCTTGGTAAAGGTTAACGCACAAATGTGAATGTCAGTGGCACCAGCTATAATAAACATCTTGTATCTCAGCTTTAGAGCATTTTCTATTAAACGTTGAAGTTAGCACTTTGGACATGATCTTATCAATGATGGGCTAAACAAATGAAATAAGCAATAGCAAATTATATAAAGACATTAATACATGTTTAGTTTAGCTGTGAGACTCTGGTGTGATTCTAATTAGGGTTTAGTAGAGTCATACTGGCCACTGTGGAAGCTCACCTCCTTAAAGTGTTCCATGTGCTGTTCTGGAGCAGCCAAACACATGCCCAGGTAGTAACCTGCAAAAGCACACACAGTGACACGTCAGGGGCTGCTGTAGAGCATGCTGTAGAACATGTGGTCTGCTCTGGTGATGCCAGGGTCACACATATGTTCACTGATTCAAACAGAGGCCAGAGGACAGCTCCACCAGCCAGTAGAAAGTGGTAATCCGCCATGTAGTAGCTGTGCTTTAGCTGGTTTATAAATGTGTTAGCTTTCATCCACGCATCAGAGAAAAGAACAGTAGGCTACTACATTGTCCAGTGCCCGAAACTATCACCACACTGACAGACTTGGGACATTGGGACGCATGAGTATTAGTGATACTTCACTAACTGTAAGCTTCTATAATGACCACTGGATTCCAAACACTGCAAAATACATATCTGAATTTTACAACACTGCACCCTTGATCCCGCAATGGCTGGGTGACAGCGGACAGTGGCTGGGTGACAGCGGACAGTGGCTGGGTGACAGCGGACAGTGGCTGGGTGACAGCGGACAGTGGCTGGGTGACAGCGGACAGTGGCTGGGTGACAGCGGGCACGGGCGGCTCGTACCCAGGGGCAGTCCGGAGTGTAGCAACAGGGTGATGCTGCTCCTGCGAATGTGGTACTGCACGAAGCCCATGTCCTCACTGCCCAGCCTTGAAGAGAAGAGGTTCTGGACGGTCAGGCCGGCCGAGCGGAACTCGTTCGGCGTGAAGACAAAGCAGAAGCAAAAGACCCAGTATGCGAGAGTAAAACTCAGCTCCGGCGTCTCCATGTTTTCAGTTGTTGACATGTACCTACTTCCTGTTTCTGCCTCCGCTATTTGAAGCACTTTAACATTAGACACAACGTTTAGGCTATTATTATAGGATTTTTAAGTCAATATAATGTTTAAAATTGTGATTGGTTGGCTCCTTTTTAATTATACATTTTTTCAAATGCCCAGACCGGTCGGCGTGGCTGCAACAGAAAATAACATCCGCTACGTAGGCTAGTTGGTTCCTGGTTGAGAAATCTTCCCATGGATCTGTTGGGAAATTTTCGTATCCATAAATCCAAATTCTCCAGTTCCAGACATCTTTTTTAAATTAATATCCTAAACATTAAGAATTATCTTATCAAACACTAAACAGTATTTCTAACATTAAATCTATCAAAACACTCAATATTACAGAAGATTTTATTTTTAACCTTTTCCTCAGTTACTTGTATTGATTTCCAAGTTCACATGTATGTCAGTTTTATTTTTGTTTCGTTTTGGCTTTAAATTATATGTGTGTGTGTTCACATATATATCCCTCCACATTTGCCATAATTGTGAACTGGACTCTGCATTGATGTAACAACAATCCCATCTGCACTTTATACTGTATATGTGCTATTTTGTCACGTTGTTGTGTTTCTATAATAAAATAAAATAAAAATCTTCCCATGGATCTAGGAACTTACGAACTTCCATAGATCTTCCATGGTGTTTGTAGGAGTGGGCCGGCCCTATCATTGATGGAAGTATAGGGTAGTGATAGGCCAAACGAGTCGACGCGTTGACACATCTGTCAAGCTGTGTATGACTTTAAGAAAAGTCACGTGACCGATGCACCTACTGTGTAAATATATATATATATATATATATATATATATATATATATATATATATATATATATATATATATATATATATATATATATATATATATATATATATATATATATATATATATATATATAAAAAAATGTGTTTCTCACCTTCCACGGTGGTAGGTCTCTCACCCTCATTCAGCTCGGGTCGTCTACCAGAGGCCTGGGAGCTTGAGAGTTCTGCGCAGTATCTTTGCTGTTCCCAGTACTGCACTTTTCTGGACTGAGATGTCCATTGTTTTTCCCGGTATCTGTTGAAGCCACTCTTCCAGTTTGGGGGTTACAGCCCCGAGTGTCCGATCACCACAGGCACCACTGATGCCTTTACTTTCCAGGCTCTCTCCAGCTCTTCCTTGAGCCCCTGGTATTTCTCTAGCTTCTCGTGTTCCTTTTTCCTGATATTACCATCGCTTGGTATTGCGATGTCAACCACCACGGCTCTGCTCTGTTTCTTATCCACCACCACTATGTCTGGTTGGTTCGCCATCACCATTCTGTCAGTCTGTATCTGGAAGTCCCACAGGATCTTGGCTCGGTCATTCTCCACAACCTTTGGAGGTGTTTCCCACCTTGATCCTGGGGTTTCCAGCCCCGTACTCTGCACAGATGTTTCTGTACACTATGCCCGCCACTTGGTTATGTCGCTCCATGTATGCTTTCCCTGCCAGCATCTTACACCCCGCAGTTATGTGCTGGACTGTCTCAGGAGCCTCTTTGCACAGCCTTCACCGTGGGTCTTGTCCGGTGTGGTAGATCTGGGCCTCTATTGCTCGAGTGCCCAGGGCCTGCTCCTGAGCAGCCAGGATCAGTGCCTCTGTGCTGTCCTTCAGACGAGCCCTCTCAAGCCATTGGTAGGATTTCTTGATATCAGCCACTTCAGTTCTGTTCCGGTGGTTCGCCCCATGTAGGGGTTTGTCCTGCCATGATGGTCCCTCCAGCACCTCTTCCTCTGGACCCCACTGTCTGAGACATTCTCTGAGCACCTCATCTGCCGGGGCCTTGTCCTTGATGTACTCAAGGAGCTTGGATGTTTCATCCTGGACAGTGGTTCCCACACTCACTAGTCCTCGGTCTATATCGGTATATAAATATATATATATATATATATATACATACACATATACATACATACACATACATACATATATATATACATACATGTACACATGTTTATATATTATATATGTGCCATGGTTAGATTCTCTTTAGTTCTCATATTGCACCTACAGCCATGAATCATGTACAAAGCTACACAGAACCAAATGCAGAGGATTTTTTATTTGGCAAGTCTTCAGCATTCAAGACAAAACACTAATATTTTATTAGCATTTCTACAAAATTGTTTTAAAAAAAAAAATACAAACACATTGAAATAAATGGTCAAATATTAAAAACTGTCAAAAGTTGGACCAAAGCAAACCCTTTCCATAACAAGCCTGAACAATTTTCACTGGGAACATTAAACTTAAATTCTATTGTAAATAAAAAGGCAATCATATAAACTAGCACAAATCTGCACAACAGTTTAGTAAAAATGAAAGTAAAAGCCAGGAGAGTTTCCCTCAGGTCAGTCCGAGTCAGCTCTGTGCAGCTTCACTGGAGTTCCCTCACACTCCTCCTGCAACACATCACGCCTCATGTTAGTCACTCACTGTATTAAGGCTGATAAGGATTTTTTTTTGGATTCGATATAATATAGACATAACAGCCTATTTACTGATGAAATTCACTGTGAATCTTCAACTGATTATAAAAGTTAGATTTGATTTTAAATTGGGTTTGTTTAGCTACATTTACAGTTATTTTACCTCTTCACAGGCATATTTAAAGATAGTAGGTAGGTAGGCCTAAAGGCATTTTTGCATGACTAGCCAGTAAACTAAGTAAAAATAATGAATTATTTGCGTAAATGCGGACCACTCACACCTATATTCACAGCTCATTTAGATATCAGTGTGTATTGAGTAAAGTGTATACAGCCACTAGTCACTTTACAGTAGGCCAATACAAGAGAGAAGAGGTTGTTTATGTGTGACAGCTCACAAAGTGCTAACCAATGAGAAATATGCTTAGCTTTATAATAAGGCATAATATGCCCATGTGGCCTATCGGCCCATATCCGCAAGATTTAGGCCGATAGCTGATATGTCTCTAAGGGCCCATATTGGCCAATAATATCAGCCAACCAATATATCGGTCGGGCCCTATACTGTATGCTGCTGTATGCACAGCAATTCAAAGTTCAATTTAATCATTCAACATTTGAGAGATGTTTTCACATCAGTAATTAATGTTACTGGTAAGAAATATGATTTCCATTATTTATCCAGTATAATAAAAATATTTTGCATATTTAAGGACACACAGCACTTGTGTCTGTTATATACTGTAGTTATAACTGACACCCATGGCTCATTATGTTATAATTTGGATATTTTAATATCATAATATTCATCTTAATTAAAGAATCAAGTCCAGTGGCTTGAGAAAATGGAGAAAATTACAGTGAGGCTGTACTGAATTTTTAGAAACAGATTTTAAATAAAATTATAAGTCTTTCTGGTCAATAGTTATAACAAATCTGATTAGCCATGAGCTTTCAAACTTTTAATTATTGACATGAGAAAGCGCCGTTAAAGTGGGTGCCAGTGGAAGCAAGAGCTGACCTGGACAGAACGGCTGTGTGGAGCAGAGGAGGATAAGGTCTGCTGGGGTTCTGACAGGGAGGGGAATTCCAGTTCAATGTCCATCACATCGTCCAGCGCCATCTCAGTACTGTCGACACAGCATGTAGGAAGGTCAATACAGTGCACAGATGCATTCAGCAGTCAACAGAACACACACAGGACTGTATTAGATTTGTTTGTATTATAATTAGGGCTGCAACAATTGCCAATTGTGTAATCTTATGATTAATCAATTAATTGTTTAGCGGGCAAAGGGCTGTGATTGAGATTTTTCCTACACTGTGCACAGATAACGCTGAAGTGAAGCCACTTGAGGACATCCTGTTGGAACAGATTTACAGATGAAAGAGTGCTTTCATCAAAAACATTACAAGTGCATATTTTCTGTGTCATTTCTAATTCCTGAGCTGTAAACTCATGACATGTTCTGTAGCATATGTATAAACCAGTTAACCAGTATTCTCAGCATTAAAACATCCCCTGGTTTTACTTTATGTTGTGCAATGAATTGTCCATACATGTTATCCAGGACTTGCTGGTGGCCCTCTCCGGTCGGGGGGTCCCACATATGCAGTTTTACCCTCCACAATTTGATCTGCTGGTCCCAGGAGCGCCGGCTGTACTTCCGAAACTTGTTTGGGGTCCTTGGATGCACTCCCGGCTGCCGCAGATGTCTTCAAGTACACATTGTCATTAGTTAAGACTCAGTCAAAAATCAATAAAGCACAACCATCATTTTTCTCCCACAAGATTTGATTCTCAAGGGCATGAGTGAGATTTTAGTTAGAAATGACTGGTAATTTGAGATATGACTATAAATCACTACACATTGAGAATTTAAGTCCATATGATAGGTTAGAGTACCCATTTCACCAAGGCACAACTTTTCAGGTTTGGGGTCTGCCACCATGGAGATGTTATTGCTTTGCCTGTACTGTTCCACAATATGGTATTAAACTTATATAAAGATGCATTTATTCAATTATGTGTGTTTTTATTGCTCAAAATGTCTTTAAAAACAAGCATTCTTACCGTCAGTGGAGTCACCACAGATCTCACCTGTAAATTGGCTAAGTGGCATCTCCTGCTTGTCTCTTTGGAGATTGATAAATTTAATGCCATACTTTGAAATATTGTAGGCAAAGCAATAACATCTCCATGGACACTATTAGGTAAGGAAAGAAAAGTTACACAATGCACCTTAAGACTTGACTTAAAGGTCCTAAATTAGGCAAAACTGACTCCTGTGAGCAATGTAGGAATATTGTTATCGCTACAGTATCTGGAGCTGTGTTTTCTCTTCAGTTTGAGAGAAGAACTCAGCCTAAATATGCAGGGTTGGTTAACAAACAAAACACAACTCTGGGTATATTTTTGATGAGGAACCAACTAAAAGCAAACCAAAAAGCAGAATTTAAAAAAAGGACAGAAAAATTATATTTTGTAATATTTGGAAGACATGACATGACATGGTGCTGACCAGCTTAGACAACCTGTAGGGCCTAAGTTGGCCCCAGGTCTTCAACTGAATTGGCCTGCTCTAGTATAATATGAGGAGGAAGCTTACTTAGGAACCTCCCTGATGTAGCGGTCATAGGCCAATGTGTTTTTCCCGTAGTTGATCTGCTTTTGCCTGCGAAGTAAGACCGCCTCGTCTGTCTCCATGTTCTCACCTTCCCTGGAATCACCGCTGAAAGAGAACATAGTGTAGAGCTTTTAACAAAGGAAAGTGCTATTCACTATTTGGCATACACAATCCTACTTCATACAATTGAAAATACAGCCATGCACATTAGGAAAACCGAATGGCCAAGTCCGATTCGAATATGAAAAGGTAGACATGTGTTCGAACATGTACATAGTAGTACTCACTTTTAGTAAACTGGAGCTGGGTCAAACCAGTATGATCCTCTTATCAGAAAGCTGTATTTCAGACCTCTACAGACCTGTTCTGAAAGTGCAACATTAAGGCTACATTTACACATAGCCGGGTATTTTGAGAAACAAATATTTTCCTCCCTCTGTTTTCCAAAATAACATCGTGCACACAGCATCGTTTTCAAAAAGTTTTTGTTTACATTAACCCGCATAAATCCTCCATCGAGCGCCGTCAGAACTACACTGAGCCTCTGGATTAGATTCAAACCTGTAGCATTTATTTCATTACAGTTACAAGTATTACTCAAAAATACCTTGAAAAATGTGCATTAGTGAGCGGGCTCGCCTCTCCACTGATCTGTTAAAGAAGTGGCAAAATCACTGCCCTCCGAGCCCTTGTTCATCTCTGCTCATGGATATAATACATCAGCTGTGTGTGCAAATTCAAACATATGAAAAGTGTTTGCACCAGAAGAAATAGATGAGCTAAAGCGGGGAGTGGTGTCCAGTACCTCCACCTGAGAAGCGCTTTCCCCAGGAAAAACAACACGTGCACGGACAGACCGCTCAGAACATCATATAACGAACCAAACAGGATTCAAGCTTCTATCCGGATGCTTTGCACCACCTCGGAACAAGCCGCAGTCGAGCGAGGAGGACCGGAGCAGCTCGCCCGGACCTGTACTCCACAGCGCATTCTCGCTTTCCCCACATGGAACCAGCCCACACATGACTGCACTGAAGCACTTGAACCGATCTAACCAACACTGGACCCCCAGCCCCGTCTTGAGGGGCTGAACTACGGTGAGTGCTCCCGTGTGTTTAACGCTGTTGCCCAAACTCAGAGCCTCTGCTCTGGGCTGATGTGCAGTGAGTTTGTACAAAGTTCTACATGCTGCTGTTTCATGAGTTCATGGTGATAACTTGAGATGAGGCCCGCAGTTTTAACGGGGAACATAGATTCCTTTCACAATTGGAGGAACATTGAGAACATCGGTCTGACCCTGTCCAGATTCGTATGGGATGGCGTCTGGACTATATCTATATCAATCTATCTATATCTATCTATATTTTTACCTCCGCCAAGGAGGTTATGTTTTTGCCGGCGTTTGTTTGTTTATCTGTTAGCAACATAACTCAAAAAGTTATGGACCGATTTTGATGAAATTTTCAGGATTTGTTGGAAATGTGAAAAGGAAGAACTGATTTAATTTTGGGGGTGATCCGGAAGAAATCCTGGATTCTGGATCACTTTGAAATTTTTGTTAACATTGTGGTAAATGGGGCCAAAAATTTTGTTTCTCAATATCTCGGTTAATTATTGACCAAACCCCATGGAATTTGACTCAGGGATGGACAATGGGATCCTCTTTCATATTCCAAAGGCTGATCCGGATCTGATCCAGAAGACTGATTTTATCGCAATTTATATAAAAAATGGGGGTAGTCCTTGGCGAAGGTGTGCGCTCTCTGAGTGCTTTTCTAGTTATATTTATATATATCTAATAAAATTTTAGCCCCCTCAAAATGTTCCTTTTTAAGCTTTTTAGGGGGTGTGATGGGTTAATCGGGGGTGTCGGACCCCCGCACCCCCTGTATTTCGCACACTGTCATCATCATAGCAAAAGGTAAACATTGGTCGCACTTTCGGTGCGTCAGCTCTTAAAACTCAGTTTATCTCACTTTACACGCAAACATGAAACCGGAGTTTTCAAAGAATCTCCAGCTGGAGTTTTTGGAAAGAGTCGTTTTCAGAGGCGAATTCGCTGTTTGTGTGTAAAAGATGTGTACAAACAAAGGGAAATGCATGTTTTTAAAAATACCCATGTACAAGTAAACGGGGCCTAAATCAGAACCTTGCTACAAACATCAGACCACTGACATGTTCATCCGATTAGAAATTTCATCTGCTACAGGTGACGTAAGCTGTAACCCAGATTTCCCTGCTCTGTTGTCAGGTTGTGTGTGTTTTGGGTCTGGTGGCCAGAGCCTTTCCAAGTATGTGTAGTGGGTAGTGTGCTCTTCTGCTATCACATAGAATCATATAGGAGTAGAGTGGAGAAGACGACACAGATGTCCTTCCTGAAAGAGCAGAAGAAACGAGGGAGCGATAATGTAGGCCAGTGCCAAGAGACAAGTTCTTCTGGTACCAGAAACAGGTGGAGGTACAACAATAATTCTTGTAAACACATGTCCACATAGGAGTAAAAGCTCAGTTTTTTTAATGCAATGAAAATGTTCAGGCACTATGTGCATGTGGCTGTGAAATTTGCCCATCCTGATAGAAAAAAAAAAAAAAAAAGACCATACCTTTCTGAGGAGCCAGAGGAAGCCTTTCTTTCTCTATGGGTGGTGTCCACACCCAGTATCCTGCGCCTGTACCTGCACACACACTTGGTCAGAGATGCTCAGAAGTATACATGGGGCTGGGTAATGTTGAAATTTAAGGATCCAGACAAGAAGACACTTACCGCTGCATGTCCCTCTGTTGGTCTCTCTCACTGTCCTCCACCAAACTGTCCCAGTCAATGGGAGCACAGCGAGACACTGGGCCTGTGCTCTCCGGAGTGGTGAAGCTGAAAAGCAACATATTGCTACAGTCTGTGCTGACTGGAACATTTTAGATCCATCAGTTTTTCTTCTAAATATACTTTGCACTAATAAAAAACAATTTACAAAAAAAAAAAAAAAAAAAAAAAAAACACATAAAAAAGTCTGATTACCTTTGTATATTTAATACTGCAGATAGACTGATACACATTATTATTACTGGGCCTATTGCAATGGTGATCACTATATAGTATTTTTTTAATTGTTCACTAAGGTATGCAAAAAAAAAATTCACAAATGTTTTTGTTAACATTTATGTTTTAGTAAGTCATATACCATAATTTAATTATGTATATATAGATACTGTATATACATATGTGTGTTGAGGGTATCAGCATATTTTTGCACACCTGAAATTAATTTGACTAATAATATAGATGTACACACATACACCCCCACACACACAAAAATTCTGAGGATTCATATTTTTTCAAACTTTATTTAGAAATTTTTCTTTTTCTTTTCTTTTTTTATTTGCTCAACAAACATCTCATCTTTTTATTCATATTTTAAAATTAGTATTTTCAATATTTTTAACCCTTCATTCCTCAATGTTTTTTCATAATGTCACTGCATTTCACAATTCAAATATCACAAAAAGTGGACCGTTTTAATCATCGGCCGATATGTTTGCTGATATGGGCCAATATTTCACGTGGGCATGTTATACCTCATTATAAAGCTTAGACTCTCTACATTATGTTCATTTAATCCAATTTACAAACAGATAAATATCCTAATATGTGGTTCCACATCAGTATTTATCTGCGGAGTCATTTGTCTGTGTGTGTGTCCATACTGTCCCTGAACACACCACAGAGTCACGTCAGGTCACTCACGTTTACACCCGCACACACAGATCCACGTGCAACACTTAGATTATTTTCTTTTTACAGACAATCGGTTTGAGTCTGGATTAAAAGGACATTTATTAGTGCAGACTTGTGATGTGAGGAGGAGCCTGTGTGAGGCTGAGTGTTGGAAATATGTCGACTCTGAAGCTAGTTTTGGTTATTTGTTATTGGTTATCGATTAGCTGCTGTTAACTCCCACACAGACTGTTTTCTATTGGTCTATTGTAAAGTGATTATATTGGCCGTATACATGTTACTGGACCTGCACTGATATGTAAATGAGCTGTGAATGGACGTGTGAATGATGACATTTACACATATAATTAATTACCACAACGCGCACATATTTACGGCTAAAGGCTAATAGCGGTAGTTTACTTTCTTTACTAGCTAGAAGTGATGGGTCGGTCACGAACGAAGCAGCTCTTAGAGTCGGCTCTTTGAAGCGAACGACGGGAGCCTGCTGCTTATTGGGAGCTGTGTTTTCTCTTTCTCTCTTCACATCGCGTGCAGACTCGTGATAGTTTGACAGCTGCAACGGCTCAAAACAAAGCTTTCTGTGTGTGCATAAGATAGAAAAAACGTGCATGTTTGGCTGTAGTTCAGCATAAAATGATGATAGAAACTGAGTCCTGACACTCAGTCCTGACACTCAGTCCTGACACTCAGTCCTGACACTCAGTCCTGACACTCAGTCCTGACACTCAGTCCTGACACTCAGTCCTGACACTCAGTCCTGACACTCAGTCCTGACACTCAGTCCTGACACTCAGTCCTGACACTCAGTCCTGACACTCAGTCCTGACACTCAGTCCTGCTTGCAACAAAACAATCTGAAGAGCCACTTGAGAGCCGAAAGAGCCAGCTGCTTTTAGTGAGCCGAGCCAAAAGAGCCTGTTCTCCAAAAAGAACTGGAATACCCATCACTAGTAGCTAGAATGTGATACAAAAATGCATTAGTCCGACCTACTGTCTGTAAATATAACGTAAAGAGGCAGAAGAACAATAAATGTTGCCTAAATAAACCCAATTTAAAATCAACTAGAGCCAAAGTTAAGTTTTTTAAACAATTCAAGATTTACAGTGAATTTTTACATCACTAAATATATCGGAGATTATATCGGCTACCGGCAGCTCGAACTCCCATTTTATCGGTATCATATTGGCCACAACAAAACCCATCTCGGTCGGACCTTAGGTTTCAATTCAACTGATGCAACCTGAATTTTTTTGGTCCTGGTTACTAAACCCTGATTATGAGAAAGTTCATCACTAGCAGCAACACTTATTTATTGGCACTCATAGCTTTTTTGCAAAATCAAAACACGTTGGGGGTGCAAGTGTACAAAAGTGTGCCCAATGGTACCCATTCAAATCACTGTTTCGGACCTGCTTTAATAAGGCATTCTAAAACGTACGTATCTACAGTTTCTCTACATCATCTGAACCCTCTGGCTTTAAATTAATGTTCTGAGGTACTTTTGCTGTTTACGTAATTTCTTTGATATTTATCGCAATAATAAAAATAATATTATTCGTAGTAGTAGTGTAGTACTAATAATAATAATAAAAGGAAAAGTCCACATGCTTCCTACTTGGAATTCAGCGACTAGCGCATTAGTTATGTACATTTATGTAGACAATCTCTGGTCAAATGCTTTTCTCCCTGGAGATGGTATTGCTTTGTCTGGAATGTTTCACAATAGGGCTGTGCCAAAAATCGAAAGATCGCAATCTCTACTTTGGTCGATCTCAATGGCATGCGCATTTTAATCGATAGGTCTACAACCAATCATGTGGAAGTAAGAGAATGTGGAGCTGATGAGGATTTACACGCTCTTGTTCAGGAAAAAGTAGCCTGAGCAGCGTGTCCTTTTGTCTTCTCACACATTCACAAGTTTTGACTTAAATCTGCACAGTTTGATTAAACGTTGTTTCTCTCGCCCTCTGCCTCTGTGTGCGCAGTGCCGTTTGACCGCTCCCTCTCCCTCTTTCTCTCCTCTGGTGCTTCTCATCTTTATAATCAAAGTTAATCAAAGACTATTCTCTCACTGTTTAGGAGTGAGAAGAAGCAAGACCTCATTTAGGGCACTGACATCGCACGTGTTTCTATGTTCTTTGATAGTGGCAGCAAGCGTGTGCAGAGTGCATGTACTTCTGCCGCTAGCAGTACCGCTCGTGTGCATTAGGTTTAATATATTGTACAAACTCATTCCAACTTTTAAATGTGAATGTCTCCAGAATTACTGGTTCTTTATGCCTGCAGTCCATGCGTTTATGTTATTAATAAGACAGAGAAAGATAAAATCGAAAATGTGGATTGATCAATATGGTGGGGAAAAAAATCCTTTGATGTGATTCTTTTTCCCCCCTTATCACCTAGCCCTATTTCACAGTATGGTATTAAACCTTTTAATGTTCATGAAGACCAAACCAGATCAAGTGGCAGGTCAGATCTGGGGAGAAGCAACCTAGCTCACTTTCAGAATGCATGTTTTCAATAAGACTTGAGGGAATGGAGTATTTCGTCACCATCCGAAACAGCAGAGTGGAGTAAGAATGTGACTTTTTCGGTTGTGTTCACCTGGCCCCCCCTCTCTTTTTTATAGGTATTTCTGAGTGATGAAACAAACTGTAATTTAATAAATGTAAGGTAGAGCTGTTTACTGTCATACTGTAGAACATTCCAGGCAGAACAAAAAGTTACATAGTGCACAACAGGACCCATTAACTTCTCTGTGACTCATTATGGATGCTCTGCTCTATATTTGTGACAAGTTTGAACCATTTGTTTTATAAACAAATGGAAAAGGGTTATTAGTTTGCTCTTTGGAATAAGTGTAAAAATATATTGCGCTTCAAAAATTGTGATGATATTGTGGCAAGCCAACACTACAATACTTTCTCAAGTCCCCAGTGGCACATCAATGCAACAGGGGAAACAGAAGCTGTACCTGTCCGGTCTTTTGTCCGAGTATCTCTGGCTGCTGTGTGTGCGTGGGCTACTGGTGTGATCACGGGAGTCCTCTGCTCTCGAAGCCCTCAGATGACCATCGATGCCTCTCTTTCTGCAGTGTGACCACCGGGAGGAGCTGCTGGGAACACGGGCACAGCACAATACCATAAAATAAAATACAACACAATTTTATCTGTGAAGAGTTCTAGATCAATAGGTTGCATTCATGTGACATTACAACATTCTATAGAGTTTGAAAGTGTGCTGGAGGGCAGTTTCAACTTCAATTGAAGAATTTGCTTTTTAACCATCACATTGTAGATTTGTTTACCTGACTTACGGTTATGTGGGGGGCCAACCAGGAAAATGTGATTATTGGTGGTTTTCATGTGATGATGTGATGTAATGTCATACTCTCAGATGGGGACAAGAAACACATTTTCTAATGTTTTGTGTTTTGTAACATTTAATAATATTAATTAATATAGATGGGGACAGCTAAAATTAATACTGACCTATAGAATGCCCTGACGTCACATGAAACCCAGCAATAGTGTAGTCATGACAAAAATATCATACTTGGTGTAATTTCATGTTTACATATTTGCATAAATAATTAACAATTCATAATAACTCATTTGTGTTTTTGTTTAAAAAGGGCAATTTAATATGTTTCAGTACATGATTTATATGTTTGATTTAAAAGAAAGAAAATTGATACACGATTTGAACATTTGGGGGCGCACTAGTGCCTATCTTTTGTAATCTCATGTAATTACTTGTGAAGAAATGCTGTTCTTGAACTTGTTAACAATAAAGAAAAGAGATGCTGAAGCAACACGGTTGTTTTACTGCGCTGCAACGACATTAAGTTGTAAACGCGTAAGACAGGCTCATTAGTCATCTTTCTCTGTGAAGAGGTTAAATTAGTAACAAGGAGAAAACGAGTCAAAGATTAGCCTCTACACTTGGTACTCAATATTGATTCTGATACAATGATAATAAAAAAAAAACAAACACACACTTCTATAGACAATAAAATGTGATTTTCATTAACTGAATTGACTAAAAGAAATCTTGAGGTATTATAAGGTAACATTATCAACAAGTTAATCAAAACTGGACTAAGCTTAGTGACATCAATGTTGATTAAATTTATATTTTAGCAAATCGTTAAAATAATTAAAAATAAATAATAATAAATCTTAAATAATTGCCTTAAAGTGATGGATTACTTAAAAAAATATATTTTACTTGAAAATAGCAGGTTGCATCTTTGTACTATTTTGATATGTATTTTCCATCGAATAAAGACTAGGGGTGTACAAAAATATCAATATATCGTATCGTTTAATGTCATGATCGTGGGCTGCTGTATCGATATATCGCCTAGAGTAGTTTTCGGTATATTTTACTAAATTATTTTGTTACAGTGCTAGTTTTGTTGCTTGTTTAGAGGACGGAAACTCTTTTATTAAACTTAAACTTGTCAAGACTTTGGAGAAGCCATTTACGTTCTGCTTTTATTCACATTAGCCGGATAACACCGGCTGTGACGTCAAGGGAAGCGTGTTACCTTTGTCCTCTCTTCCCTCCACTTGTTGCTCTTTTGTTTGGTACGTTAAAGTGCCTAATATTACGTATTTGGACAGAAAGTCGCAAGAAACGTTGTACAAGTTGTATAAACGTGTAGTTTATTGTTTGCAAAGGATCTGACCAATCCCCGACCCGGTCCATAGTCCTAAGCCTTAGCTACAACCCTAAAGCCAACGAACTGCGGCTGGTTCCGAGAATACATATGGTGGACAATCAATGTAGGCTACCGAACAAAACGATGATCCGTAAATAAAAGACGTACCGGTGTTTGTGTCCAGGGCTATGGACCTCTTCTCCTCTGGTTCCAGTGGCATCCGACATGACTGGCTGCGTTGGGGAGGAAGGACAGGAACTGCTAAAGTAACCGACCGTGGCTGTACACCCGTGTGCTTTGCTCGGCTTGGAGAGGAGAAATAGCGGGGGAAGTTTCGGTACCCGCTTGGAGAGGTCGGTGGGTCTGGTGGTTTGGAGAGGAAAAGAACCGGGTGGAGAGAGTAGTGTTCCCGCTTGGAGAGGTCAGCGGGTCGGGCAGGTCTAGAGAGCTGCGCGCCAACAAAAGACGCGCGCTGCAGCCCAAACAGTCCACGCTCACGTGACCGGAAACAGCAATTCTTCCGGAAACAGGATTTTGAGAAGGAAATTCGCAAAATCCTACACTCCATCCTTAATTGGGGAAAAAAACTATGGAAGATAATTTGTTTCAATAGTGTTTGAATTTCTCATTTTTAATTGTTTAACTCTGAAAAAAACATGTATGAATTATTTTTATTCAGAATTTTAGTTGCTGAATTTTTAAGTATGCTTTTTCAGTGTTTTAAATTCAAAATAAAAATTTAATCTTTTAAATATTCAGCACAAATATTTTCAAGTCCTTAAATTCGCATTGAAAAAACGCCCAGATTGTCCTTTTTGTTGACCTTTGAGAGCTACATCATGAGGTCAACTATAAGGACCAAGGACTAGGAAGGAGCAAGGATAAGGAGCTATTATTACTTTTGATCGATCTAAATCCTCCTAACAAGTGGCAGGAATAACAGCTGGTCAGTCACAACTACAATGCCCAGAAAACAGACTACAACAAGCGCACTACCCACCACTCATAAAGTGATTGTACATAAGTGAAATTACTGATGTTAAAAAAGAGCACAACCTACATACATAGATGATATGCACATGATCTCTGAAAAGTTTAACATGAACCACCTCCAACACAATAGAAGCACAGAACAGACTCCACTGAGTCCTGTCCTTTAGCCCAACAAAAGCTGACAGCATCAGGGAACAAGGAGCGAGTTTATGCAAATTATGCTTTATATGTTGTAAACTTGTGTTTATTTATGCCGAATTTATGCATTTTAACTGATAAGTGATAGACTGATAATTACTCCTCCCTAGCCATGCCTCATTTCTGTTTCCTCACTTCTTTCTCCTTGATTCCTCTCCTCGGTTCAGCAGGAAACTAGGTGAGGAAGTCACCACAGAGTCCACAGAGACGACACAGGCAGTGCTACATTTCTCTTTCCTCACTTTCTTCTCTTGTGTCAGTTCTCTTTCCTTGCGTTCCTCGGCCATAAACTCCTCACTGAGACCAATATAGTTTTATCTGCCTCCTGAAGCCTCCCTTATGTTTTCTCCTTCCTTCTGTGGTTTTCTTTGGGATGCCACTTAATATAGCAAATTTGAACGACAGCTGAGAAATGAAGGATAGAGGAAAGATGTGAGGAAAGAGAATTGAGACACAGCCCCTAACTTCACTGATCAATTGGGATTGTTCATGACATGGCTGACAATGATGCACAAGGACAATAAGGAAAGGAATATCCTAAGCGCTTTTAACCAATTTCGGATGGACTTCCGTGTGTATGGATCTTTAGGGCTACCTTCTATAAAACTGAGAAAAAAAACATAGCATTCTGAACATCATGTTTATTATTAGAGACAGTCACATGGACATGGAGGGATGCCAGGTCAGTATTAATGGTAACTGAATCATCTTTGTTAAAAGTCAACACAGTGAGGACAGTGATTCAGTGAAATCACACTGGCACATGAAAGTGTTTAGCTGCAATTAGGTTAAAAAAATACAACAAAAAACTTAAAGATTTTGTGCTATTGTGTCTTCTCCCCTTACAGGCAAAGGGCTGGGTGCATGTACACCAGTGTTAGTCATGCTCATTCTGCATTAGCAGGAATTACAGTTCATCATAAATCACACATCCAGGCCTGGTGCAGGAGAGCCAAGACCGGTCAGTGGAAGTGTTGGGGATACTTCAGGCAGAATCTTTCAAACGCATCATAAATGGCTTGTCTGAGAGAGATACACACAGATTGGTCAGATTCAGATGAATATTTCTTGGAGCCACACTGCTGTAAACAGATGAACAAGAAATGTAGTGAGTAGAGAGGTAGAAGAGTCAGACTTACCTGAAGACGTTTTGTTTGAACAGGTATGCACTGATGTGACCTCCTTTCAGGTAACGCACCTCACAGCCAGGCCAGATGTCCCTTAAGCTCAGTACTCCAGTGCGGGGCACATAGGCATCCATAGTGGCCTGGACCACAATGATGAGACTGGGGTCTACAGGAACTGTCACAAACATGAACATGCGGGATTAGGTTTTTGTCTAAGCACATGTACACATGTATGTGAGTGATGAATGTAATGTAAAAAAAAAACATGTTTTATGGCAAAAACCTATGGAAAGCTTTGTTTTATTATTATACCCTTTGTTTAGCATATTTTAAAAAGCACTATATACACTATATAAATCAAACGTATTACTATTATTACTGTGTTCATAAACTTGCCGGAGAAGTTTGCCATGTGCGTGCATTCATCCATCACTCCTTTCATGAAACTGATAGCCTCACTGTGCAGCCGGGACCCTTGAGAGGACTGGAATAAGCCTCCTGGTCTCTCCTTCAGCTGCGCCTCATTGACCTGTATACTGTTAAGAGCCAAAAAAAAGAGGAGAACCATAAACATACTTTCTTAGTCTAATATGTAGAAGTAAATGTCAACTAATGTAAACTAAACAGAATATAAGAATATTTTCTGCAATACAATCACTAATAGAAGACACCTAAGTCTTTCAAAATTTAAATGATTGTTGGGAATAGTCTAAACATAAACACACTGTGCAAAAAGCTATCACCTTAAACAGCATTAGACTATGCCTCTGCCGGGACACTGCGTAGACCCCTTGCTATTGGTTTTCAGGACATTAAAAGGAAATGTAGAATAGGCATGTAAATATATAGTTTGATGGAGCAAACAGCAGCTGTGAGATGCTTCTCTTTCGTCATTTGACAGTCAAGCCCAAGGTGTCACAAGTACAGTGTGTTTTAATTACTCTGCTCCAAAACCACACGCAATTGTTTTAACTTTGTGAAAGAGCAAATATAAAGTATTGCATAATTATTATTCATTAAGGCCCATCTAGTATGGTCACAATACTCAATTTCGATACTAAGGAATAGCTTCTATTCAATACTACGGATCATAAAACACTTTCTTTACACAATAGAATGCGGTTTAAATAGTAGTACTTCCTTATATTTCCATATGACATTGTATCTGTGTAAACATCTGTCATCCAGGTAGGTTCCATAGTGGGCCATGGGTGTATACTAGTCTATGTGCTCTTATACTTGTACTAATACAGCTCAAGATCATTTGTAAGCTATTCAGGAAAGGTTAATTTCTGTCTTGTGAATGTGATTTTTTTTTTGTATTGATACAGCTCGACTTGCTTGAGTGTCTAGTTTCAATACTTGTTTTAACAACACCTTCATTTCCTGTTTCTTTGATGACTTCTCATGCCCACAGGCATTGGCCTACAGAGCTCAAATTCAAATCACAATCGCGTGAATCTAATGGACTATCAAGTCTAATAAAACTGAACACTATAGCATCCCCTACCATAGACATGAAATGTCAGCATTATCAGATTTGTACAACATTTGAGGATGAAATTCTATGCATGACAAGAAACAATAAATATATATATAACGGACATGTTCCATTTTTCACAGTTAGCCAGAAGAGGAGCAAACATCCCCTATTTTCTATAGTTTTGTCTCTAGAATCATTAATATTTTCCTATTTTAAAGGTGTACAATATAATTTTTCTGGCGGAGGATCCGTTGGCCTGGGCAGCTCTCGGGAAGAAAGAATGGCACATCAGGGCAGTCGCGAGTCCTCAGTGGTCGCGTGGAAGGGGCGTGCACACCAGGGCCATCATCGCAGCAAAAGGCTTTAATATCAATTAGTATCTGATTTTTTTTTATACTTATGACAACCCTATGGGACTCTTGTGCTTTTTCATACCTTTTCTGAGGATCAGGGCTCATTCCAGTGTTGGTTATAGACACTCTGTGTTGTGAGTCTGTTTGCCCAAAATGTTGAACACAGTCACTTCCACTTTCCTGTCTCCTGTTGAGCCTGGTGAGTGGAGAGAAGCGGTCCATAGACAGGAGGCCGTATCCAGTCATGCCCAGCAGCTGGTCCCCAATCTCTGAGCTCCCACGGCTCGCAGGCTCCTGGGCCATCTTAAAGGAATCCACCTAGTTCCACACAACATTTAGCTTTGGTTAGAATGCAGCACACTAGTGGTGAAGAATAAAGCAGCCATACCCCGCAGTATTCCAAAAGCTGGATTATCTCCTTCTCATATACCGAGTTGAAGGTGTATTGCTTTTCCAGCTCACTCCAGTTCACAGCTCTACTCAGGACACCCTAAAACACACAAGACGTTGTTACATCCCGCTTTTTAAAGATTTTATATTACAAATTAGACTATTGGTTTTATGAAAACATCTTTAGATTATTATAGGTACATCTTAATAAAAATAGAATGTCATGAACAAGTTCAGTATTTTTTGTCACTCGTTTCAGGAAGTCAAACCTAACATTTTATGAATATGGCTTACAGTTAATGAAAACCCAAAATTCAGTGTCTCAGAAAATGTCAATATTGTGATAATGTTCAATATCAGAAAGCCATGGTGTCACACCCGAACCAGGTAAATAGCTTAAAACACATGCAAAGGTTTCCTGAACATTTACATAGCCTCTCAGTCTGGGTCAGTGGGCTACACAATCATGGGAAAGGCTACTGACAAGCAGATGTCAAGAATACACTGACACCCTCCACAAGGACAAAGCCACAATAAGTAATTTCTAAAGAAACTGAATGAAGTGTTGTATCCAAGCATATCCACGGAAAGTAGGAAAAAATGCAATAGCAAATGGAACGAGTGCAGCCTTGAGAGGCACAGACATAGCCCATGGGACATGAGAAGATGTCAGAAGAATCTTACCTGGGCTGTGGAGAAAAAGAACTGCAATTGGACTGTTGCTTAGTGGTCCAAAGTCTCTTTTCAGATCAAAGTACATTCTGCATACCTTTTGGAAATCAAGATCCCAGAGTCTGGAGGAAGAGTGGGGAGGCACAGAACTTGATGTTCAGTGTGAAGTTTCCATAGTCACTGATGATTTGGGCTGCCATGTCATCTGCTGGTGTTGGTCCACTGTGTTTTCTGAAGTCCACAATCAACACAGCCATGTGCCAGGACATTTTACAGCACTTAATGCTTTCTTCAGCTGACAAACTTTATGGAGAAGCTGATTTCATTTTCCAGCAGGATTTAGCACCTGCCCCCACAGCCCAAGGGCATCACAAAATGGTTCAATAACCATGGTATTACTGTGCTTGATTGGCCTGCAAACTCATGGCACATTGATGCAGTAATTCATGCCAAAGGAGGCCCAAGCCAAGTATTGAGTGCATAGAACCATCACAATTTTCACTATGTGTCATGAGTCTATAATATATGTGTTTTGGCTTCCTGAAATGATGGTCAAAAAATATTGAACTTTTTCATGATTATATGATTATATTGTGCAAAATTTACTCTTGTTAGCTTTAAACCTCATCAAAAACATACCTGGAGTTGTGTGTTTTTTCACATTTTTGAGTAACCCTTTTAAGCTCAAAATACTTTTTACTTTTTGTTCATAAGGGAATGGCAACTCCATGGCTGAAATTATGTAAATGATTCTAATGAAGGTGAATGGAGTTTAAAAACACAATTGCTACATTACCAAATGACATCACAATCTGGTAGTATTTTCAGAGAACTCATCCTAAATATACAGGGTTTGTGTGTGTTTTGTGTTGTGAATGAAACAAAACACAATTCACTCATAATGCACTCTGGTTATTGTTTTGATGAGTAAAGAAGTCCATCCTGGATAACCCTCAGCACCCTCTGCACAGCACCATCACTGAACAGGAGAGCATCTTTGGGCACAGGCTCTTGTCTCTGTCCTGCTCCAGACAGACTCTGGAAGTTGTTTGTCCCACATGCCATACGCCTGTACAACGCATTACTATAACTGATGAATGCAAAAGGATGGATGGTGTGTTGCTATGTTTCTTCCATTGTTGCTGCAGCTGAAATTTGAATTTCCTTTGGGATTAATAAAGTATCAATCAATCAATTTAAATTGTAGCTACGAATTCTCCCTACTGTGATGTCACATGGAACTCTCTAAACTTTCACTTTCCTGTGGTTTTTCAATATTTTTCTACTTTGTTTGGTATCAAATTATTATTTATATTTACAGCAGGTTTTACTCCATCAGATAATGTAAAAATGAGAGAATGATCAAAACCTGTCATACTCGCACATTTTAACCTTATAAAGATGTTAGGAAGAGGATGTCTTCCTCAAAAAAACAAACCTCAGTAGGGCTATAAGGACTAGTGAAATGACTGATCTAAAACATCTTAACCAATAAAGGTTGAAATATGCTGACTGAGAATATGAACAAGAATCAGTATAGCGCAGATGAAGATAATAATGATCAAAATGCAAATATTTTTATAGTTGCCTAATCACAATTATTTCAATTAATCTTTGTAGCCCTACACCAGAGCTTGTGTTTTGTTTCATTCATGCTTGTTTGAGAAATCCTGCATATCTAGCTTTAGTTACAATGTTCAGTTCCACATTGTCATTGTGAAGTTGTGATCCAAGAAGTGCTCTTTTGTCCATACACCTTTCCCAGACCAATACAAATTCAACGTGATACAGAAATTGCATGGTTTTTGTGCTTACAGTGGTGAAGACACTGGAGGCTGTTGACCAGGATAAGCAGGGAATCAGCGGGATCGGCTTTGGCCAGTTTGTTACTGCCAATGATGCCATCTGAAAACAATAATATACAGGTGTGTACACTTGATTTAAGAGAAGAATAGACCCATATAAGAAACAGTGACCCATCTAGGGAGCTGGCCAGGGACATAAGAATAAGAAGTTGCTTACATAACCTCCCATTGAGATGCCAGTCATTCCCAGTGGCCAGTATCCTTCTTTTTCAAGCCAGCGGAGGAGCACGGTGGACTCCAGGATCAAAGCCCCTCCCATCACAAACAGGTCTGAGACATTCTTTAGACAGGAGCGCCTGTGGAACACGTCACACTGGGTTTTCATTCAGAGAATCAGAGCTCAGAGGTGAAAAAAGGAAACTGCTGGATGTGCAACAGTTATTACAGCCTAAAAACACATTTTCTACCCCCAGTTCATTATAGTAGATATTTTGGTTTGTGTTTGTGTTGTTTGTTTGTCTTTGGGGTTTAAATTTCAGTGTGTCAAGAGTGTTCAGAACAGGACCAGGAGATCAGCCTGGTCATCTGTAAATACATAAAGTCTAGAAGAAAGTACGTAGCTGCTCCTTCTCAAGTGGGGCCTGTGGTCAGGGTTTTTTTTTTGGCCCATGAGGTAATGAAATGTGTAAGTAACATCTATTTTGATAACATTTGGCTGTGAAGAACATGTTATGAGATGGAAGGGAAATCAAACCAGTCCATCCTTTAAAAATGAATAATAAATTACACTTGCAATGAGCTTTACAGGCTTGTCAAATCTCAAAAGCACTTCACTGTAATCATTATTCAGTGTCTTGCCTTAAGACACAATGCACAATGACAGAACATGGTCTAAGGACATCGGGTTTAGGTACGAATGCTAAAACCTCTGAGCAAAAATACAATGTTGTGATCACTTTTAATCCATTTTAAATTGCACTTCATTAAATGTTCATGTTTTACATGCAAAACCATATTACATGTATGTCTGGCCCTTCACTGTATTAAATGTGGCTTGGCGAGGAAAACTATAGCTTGCTTTACATGTTTAAGAGAAAATGCTCCCACACAGATGGAGTGAAAGCACCAGCCAAATGTAAATTTAAATATCTTTAAAATGCACAAACATTTCATAAAATAAAATTCACTTTTAAAAGTCTGAGGATCATTTTGTGAAGGAGCAGAAATACTTACAGCTGGTCTTTGGGTTTGCGGAAGCCATGTGAGGAAAGAACTTAAGGAAACAAAGGGCAGAAAACATCATGGAGGCACTCTGTATACTGATGTCTGAATGTATGAGGACAAGCAGTGTTCATTCAAAAGATCCAGTAGCATTAGCCCAAAGACATAAGGAACAGCATTATCTGGACTAACGTCTGATCAGACAGATGGAAGGATATAATACGGATTCTCCAGGAGTAGTGAGGCCATCCCTGCTTCTTTGATCATAGGTCTGGCCATAAGGGTCCGCCGCCTCCAAAAAAACTGCAGAGGGACATACAGTTTATGGTTAATTAGAAGCTGATATAAACACAAAGCCTCAAAACGCTCTAAAATTTGTCAGGAGTCAAGATAGACCCATGCATTGGTTAGATGATCAGCCTAAAATGATATCTCTACCATAGGTAAATAACTGCTTAAAGAGGGGGTACTGTACTTCTCTGGGGTATGAACTCAATGTTACATTTTACTGTTTTGAAAATGCCATATTCTAAAAACAATGCATTAATATGTTTGACAAGTTTCAGTTTTGTTTTTGACGCTCTGTATGTCTCCTGCCTTTATACTCCACGCTATGCCACTGGCCCTTCAGTGTGCTATCACGTCACAATCAATGTGCCTCCTGCTAATGAAACTAAAGCACTTTACAACAGATTTGTCAAGCTGCTGTGTACAGTTGTGTTTCATGCTTTTGTATATTTATGGGAGCATGAGTGATGTAGGCTTGTGGGCTGAGTAGTGCACATAATATTGAAGTGAACCATAAGGTCGCTAAATTACTCAAACACACACGTTACAACATCTTAAGCAGCTCCAGTCCGGAGGCTGCAAGTATTTCGTATAATTAAAAGTAGTGAGCATTAGCATATTTTGAGGAAAATTATGAAAAACAGCCCTACACATTAAAGTCAGGAGTCTTACATGATCTCCGGTCCCTGCCAAGTGGACACAGACTGGCCTGTTCTTCTGCCACCTTTTGGGAACAATGAACTGGAACCTGACAGGGAACAGGCACAGGTCAGAAACACTTCCAGCACAGCCTCAGTAAACACCACAATCCATTCTAAACTGCTGTACCAATAGGAGACATATCAGTTCCATTATTAGTCGATAGTATTGGCTGATTGATTCTTCCAAATCAATATCATCTGATACTCAATATTGATATTCAATTAATTTTTACATTGCCCCATTCTGCGTGTGCCTTTTTTTAACGAATGAGTCAATGAGTGTTATGTGTCTGTAAGTGCCGGTCTTTTAGCCTAATTGATTTAAATTTTTTTTACTCACGAGTCTGTTCAAAAAGACAAATCTGATGTGTAGCTCTCTGAAAAGAGTTCTACACCTTAATCTTCCATTTCTCTTGCTGAAAGCGATTGGAACTAAGGATCGGAGAATTGAAAACAAATAACAAATAACAAATTGGTGGAAGCATTACAACAGCAGAACATCCTCTCCATTTCTAAACAAGAAATGATCCAAATGCAAAAGTGGATAAAATGAACTCCAAATGAGATAAACCCACAAACTGAAGAGCTGTCCCAGGTCCCACCTGAAGGAGCTTGTATACCACCAGCTTTACATGTACCACAGTCTGAGAGGCACTGATACATGGTGTTTATCAATGAACACAGGAGCCTGTTTAAAAGTCTCACTCTGGACTATGGAAAGGCATTATGAAATTAGACTTTGTTGCTCATTCTCTTATGACGTATCTGGGGCAAAGCATATTTGCTCTTAGAGATCAATGTAATTTCTTTAAAATCCTGGTTCTAAATAAAGAAAATAAAGAAAACTAACTTCACTGGTCATAAAGAATGCTTAAAAATGAAGTATTGACACTAAGTGACATACAAGTTGCATGAGCTGAAATTATGCACACACACACACACACACACGCACACGCGCACACACAAAGTCTCAACAAAGTGTATGGGAAACACTGTTTTGCCCATCCTTAATTGTGAAATTCACAGTCTGCTGATTTCATATAGAACTTCCATTGATCTGAGAAATTCAGAAATGAGCCAATGGTCAGATTTGAGATGTTTGATACCTGGCATTGACGGCTTCACGTGGAAGTATTCCAGGGACAAGATGGACCAGAGGAGAAATGAAATAGCCATTGTGTATATGGCAATCAGAATGCTCTTCGCTCTGCACAAAGAACATCACACAGATGTTATGTTCACTAGAATCATGCACTGGAGTAACTGCACATTCACCCACGGACCTTGTCGATGTAAACTGGATAATCCTCAGGCACCAGGCTCTTACATTTTTCCCTATCTCCAATCAGCTTACGGAATTCAAAAATTCTAGAAAAAAAGAGGAGAAAAGGCTGTAAGATGTGGTCACATTGTCAAAGGAAATAACTAAATACAGGTATTGAAATTTGAGTATTTGAGTAATTGTATTTAGTTACAGTTACTATTTCATTAATTTGTTTGTTGAAGAAACATACCTAAAAATCGAAGTAATACAGTACATGGTGTAATTCCAGGTTCAAATTGTGCATTACATTAGGTTAAGGTGTTTTAATAGTATAAAATTCAGGTTTCATAATATCTCAGTTTCATAAAATATTTTTCTATTTTAATGTTATAAAATAAGTTTTTGTAAATAATTAACAGAAATCAGGCTGTAGATTTCAATGTCCTTTACCACTTAAACTAAATTGCAATAATCAAGTTTCTTTATAAAACCACAAACGTAATATATCAGTATACAGTATTTGTCAAAACAAACTACAGTTGCAATCAAAATTATTCAATCCCAACTGCAAATTAGGTTTATTGGTAAAATGTACTAAACTAGCAGCTGTTTCCAAAAAGAAATCAAACAAGAACAATTTAAATAGCTCAACACAACTAGTATTACAAGTGGTTTCTCCAAATTCAACAAAAATGCTACTTTAAAAGACTACTGCAGTCTCAAAATTATCCAACTCCTTCATGACAAGCATCTTTAGTAGAGCAGCCCTTTGCTGTTATGACCTAGTGCAAACGTGATGCATAGCCAGACACATCTTCTGGCAGCATTCCTGAGGACTCTTAGCCCATTCCTCATGCGCAAAGGCCTCCAGTTCACTAATATTCTTGGATTTGCATGCTGCAACTGCCTTTTTCAAATCCCACCAGAGATTTTCAATGGGGTTCAAGTCAGGCGACTGTGATGGCCTCTCTAGTATCTTCCAGGACTTCTTCTGAAACCAAGCCTTAGTGGACTTTGAGAAAAGCTTGGGATCATTGTCCTGTCGGAATGTCCAATAACGCCCAACCTTCCAGGGGTGTGCAAAAATATCGGAATATCAACAAATTGTATCGTTTAATGTGATGATACAGTATCGATATCATGGGCTGCTGTATCAATATTTCACCAAGAGTATTTTCAGGTGTGTTTTACTAAATGATTTTGTTACAGTGCTACAGTTTTGTTGCTTGTGGAGTGAAAGGAAAATCATTTATGCAACACATCTGACATTTTTACTGTTTTGAGGATTAAAATGTTTGTGTTTCATATGAACTTTACACAAGAAGTGGTTTAAGACTTTTAGTATCACAGCCACGCTTTAGACTTTATTTTTTATTGAACCGTATCGAATCAATTTGAAATATATAATATCAAATCGAAAGTGCACTGTATCGAGATATGTATCGTATCATGGCCTGTGTATCGAGATATGTATCGTATCGGCACCTTCTTAATGATACCCAGCCCTACAACCTTCAGTTTCCTCACAGATGGCATGACATTTTCTCCCAGGATTTCCTGATATTTGATTGAATCCATCTTGTCCTCCACACGCTGCAAGTTTCCAGTGCCAGAGGAAGTGAAGCAGCCCCAGAGCATCACTGAGCTACCGCCATGCTTCAGCTTCATTGTAGGCAGGGTGTTCTTTTCAGCGCATGCTTCACTCTTCCTCCTCCAGACGTGCTGCTGATCCATCAGCCCAAAACTTCCAATTTTGTTTCTTCACTCCACAGAACAGAATCCCAAAACCTCTTTGGCTTATTTATACAGATTTGAGCAAATTGGAGCCGACTTTTCTTGTGCCTTTGGGTCAGTAGTGGTGTACGTCTTGGAGTTCATGCATGGAAACCTTCAGCGTTTAGAATGTGCCTAAACTGAAACCTCAGTGCAGGCTGCCACCAAGTCTTGTTGCAGGTCTTTTGCAGTCAGTCGAGGGTTTCTTACCACCTGCCTCTTCAGGACTCTGGTGGCAGCCAGATATGTGAGGGGTTTTATATCAAGTACACCTGATGCAAATAATAAAGCCCTTGATTTGCAAAAGTGTGCTCTTATGAGGAATTCTATTCAGGGGGTTGAATAATTTTGAGACTGCAGTAGTCATTAAAAGTAGCATTTTGTGTTGACTTTGGAGAAACCATTTGTAATATTAGTTGTGTTGAGCTATTTCAACTGTTCTTGTTTAATTTCTGTTTTGTAAACAGCTGCTTTTTGTACATTTTACCAATAAACCTAATTTGCAGTGTGGGTTGAATAATTTTGATTGCAACTGTATATTAAAAGGAATGTGCTAATTCTCTTGACTGAAAACATCTGAAAACAACACATTAAAGGTACTAGGTAAAGTATTATGAGGTTACACCTTGTCAAACCAGATTCTGTCTTTTAGTGTTTTATCTTGAACCTTGTCCAAGAGCTTGTAGGGCATGTGAATATACATTACCTCTTGAGATCCTCGGGGTTCCCCCATCCTCCAATAAAGAGCTTGGTGAGGAGCAGCCTTCTGTAAAAGACATCCAGACGACTCACACCCATGGACCTGGCATCTGTACACAAGGACACAGTGATTCATTTCAGCGTACCATTACAGTCACAAGTCACAATATTAATAATGCCATACAACTATAACTTGTAGCAACTGTCAAAATTGCAACTAATAATGTGTTTGATTTTATATTCTTTTTGTGGCAATTGCCATATTTGGATGTCATGTAGTTTGACATCAAAAAGAAAACAATAATGAAGTTTTATTTACAAATGCATTTTTTTTTTTATATGAACCTTTTGTGAGAAACCACCTTGTTTTGTTACAGTTGTTAATGCTACGCCTGTAAATTTAGACTGAATCGAAAAATCATGTGGATCTTTTCAATTACTCACTTATATTGCAGAGTTACATTTTTTGTGTTTTTAAAGTTATTTTCATGATTAAGACAAACTACTGATTCATTTTAAAAGACTTTGACTGTTTTTTTTGTTTGTTTGTTTGTTTTTAAATTTTGGAGTATTTTTGAGTATTTCAGGAACAATGAGTTGTAATTCATATTTATACAGTATAATGAAAAAATATATAAAAATAAGTGAGATGTCACTTTGACAATATATATTTATTTTTAACTGTTTTTAAATCTATTTTATCAGATGCCACTGTCAAGCAAAGTAGACGCCTGCCACAGGGAGCGGGTCAATTCTGACCCTGTAGAAAGAGCAGAACCAGAGCCAGGAGAAGACACAGGTTTGTTCTGAAATGTGGAAAAGGAAATATTAATTTGAATAGCAATACGTACTATTTAATAAGAATGTTGTGAAAAATGAATATGACAATGTGTGTAAAGGAAACATGGAAATGAGTGGCAATGAATGAAAGAGCAAGTGTGACAATGAAAATGAAGTGTTATGAAAAAATGACAATTAGAGTAGAGGTGAAATAGAAATGATGAACAATGTTTGATTTTGCATGCAGTTATTTGTTTGGCCAATATGAGGTTTTCCTGTCATTTAGTGCCACCATGTATCATATGATGTGACTAATAATAGCAGTAATTTTATTAAAATGAAAATATGGTATTTCAATTCTATGGCTGGAATTAATAACTGACAAAATATACTTGGACGATTGGTATTATTTAGGCATTTTTCTTCATTCTATGCATTTTATAGAGAAAAGTAGTATGTTAATGAAACACAAGCAGGTGACTGTCATATTGGACATCAAAAGAAAATATCAATATACTTTAAAAATCAAATGAAATGCCAACAGTTTGTTTCTATACACTTCATATTACTCAGAACTTAGATTAATATCCCAGTCATGTTTTAGAAAATAGAAAAATTTAAGGTTATTCTCGGTCACACCACATGACATTTTTTAAGGTCAGAGCCAATTCATGTCCATAAAAACACAATAAAAATGCTTAATATAAATGCTAAACATAGATTTATGCATACCTGACACTGTAAATATTTGAAAAAATTCTATAGAAAGTAACATTTTTTAGAACCCTTTGGTCGAGGTCCAAGCCATGCGTGTTTGGGTGCAGGTGTCTGGTAGCTGTGGACCAGTTTGTCATGGACAGTAGAGCACCTTTTAAAAGAGAGGCCAAGAGAGGAGAACGCAAAGGCAAAGGGGGAGGATGAAACCCAGAACCCAGAAATACCCGGAGCAGAACCAGATACATGCAGTAATTAACATTTCCAATTGTCCTGTCAGATGAGAGTGTTCAGCTTCTGTCCAAGGGATTATCATTTGCCCCTCCGTACTGTGCTCAGGAATTTGACACTAAAATTGATCTGTTCCAATTCTAGGAAAGTCTGCACTTAAAGATATGGTGTAGATTGAATCCTGCAACCACTTCTTCAAATTCAGGTCAGACTGCCTTAAGACTCTCATTTAAAGCCAACTCTACTTTTAGCCCTGTAGTACAAAATGCCACATTAAATACTTTTGCAAAAAAGTAAACTTTGAGATTGATAAATTGTTCAGTAACCAAAGAAAACCACTGAAAGAAAGGTGGTGCTGTAGTAGTATGGGATAAAGACATGTATGTAAAACAGGCTTATCGCCCACTTAACAATGAAGAATTTTATAACTGTCTTACATGTAATCCCACAGATGACCTGAAAGCAGAGTTAAAACAGTTACTTACTGAGGCACTGGAGAAGAACTGGCTCACTGAATTAGAAGTGAAATTTCTTTTGAATGAGCACCCTAGCATGGCATCTTTTTATATGCTGCCTAGAGTTCACAAGTGTCTCACTAACCCTCCTGGTAGACCAGCCATATCAGGCAATAGTCTTACAGAACCGGTTTCTAAATACACAGACTATTTCATCAAACCTTTCTTGCCTTCCCTCCCAGCTTATATCCAGGACACATCTGACATCCTTTGAAAATTTAAGTAACTTAAAACTATAGGCCCAGAGACCTTTTAAGTTACTATGGATGTTGAATCTCTATATTCAAATACTGAACACAAAGAGGGATTGGCAGCTTTGGGGTTCCATCTGAATAACCGCCCCACTAATGCCACCGAATGAGTTTTTAATCAAACCCACAAATTGGACATTAACCAATAATACTTGTGTATTTGAAGACAAAAATTTCAGACAAGTAAAAGGTTGTGCTATGGGTGCCTGTTATAGCCCATCATATGCAGGCCTATACCTGGGTAAATGGGAACATGATTTTATCTTTAATACTGAAAGAAATAAGTTTCACAATTCTACTGTTTGGTGGGGATGGTATATTGATATATGTCTGTTTTGGTCTGGATCAGAGACAGAGTTACAAGAATTACATTGCTTTTTAAACAACATCAGCTCTAATATAAGACTGTCTTTGGAGTATAGCCAGGAAAAAGTGAACTTCTTGGACACTACAATTTATAAGACAACATAGGAAATGTACATACTACTTGAAAACAGACAGGAACACCATTTTACATGGTTAAAGCTGCCATCCAAAGTGGCTTATTAAATATCCCGTATGGACAAATGTAACGTGTGCGGACAATTTGTGACCAAGACTGAGATTTTGAAATTAAATCTTGTGAAATGATGTACAGATTCCAAGATCGGGGATATAAGAAAGAGATCCTCCTAAAAGCTTACCACTGGGCAAGCCATCTAAACAGAGACGCTCTCCTTATTAGAAATCCACCAAAGACTACCAAGGAACATGTAATTTTAACACCAAATTCAGCAATGAGGCTTACAAACTAAAGCAAATTATCAAGAACAACTGAGACATTATTGAGAGTGACAAGACACTTCATCGCAGAGTCTCCCTTGGTTAGTTTTAAAAGGTGCCCTACTATCCATGACAAACTGGTTCTGGCTACCAGCAGCCTGACCAAGAACCAACGGGTTCTTATAAGTGTACTTGTCTCCACTGCACCAATATGTCAGACCAAGTCATTTCTGGGCTATCATTCATAAAAAGAATATATAATAAAACACTTTACCAGTTGCAAAACAACATTTGTAATTTACACACTTATTTGCCCTACCTGCAAGGTTTTCAACATAGGAATGACCAAAAGGGGCCTGCAAGAGCACTTGGCTGAGCATAAATATGCTATCCGTCCAGGCAACACAAACCATATGGCCAGACACTTTTTGGACTTTCATAACAGCAATCCATCTAATCTGCAGGCCCATGGAATTGATCATATACCAGCCTCTTTGCGAAAAGGAAACCATATTGAAAAATTTAACAATGTGAAACTTTCTGGATTTATAAATTACAGGCAATGAAATATCCTGGGCTCAATGAAGATTTGGACTTCTCTGTGTTTTCTGTATATATTTTTGTACATATGAGTGTTTATATACTCTGTGGCAGGGGTGTCAAACTCAAATTCACAGAGGGTCAAAATTAAAAACTGGGACAAAGTTCTGGGCCAGACTAAATACACTACCAGCCAAAAGTTTTAGAACACCACAGTTTTTCCACTTTTTTACAGTTTACTGTTGATATTCATATTCTAAACTTTTGACTCATCAAAGTGTCCACCTTTGTCAGATAGAACAGCTGAACACACTCATGGCTCGTTCTTTTTACAATAAAAATCAAATATTGTTCAGAAAGTTCTTCCCAAGTCTGTTGCAGTATTTCCATAAATGTGTGGCACTTGTAGGTTGCTTCACTCTTCTGTCCAGTTTGTCCCAAACCAGCTCCATGGGGTTTAAGTCTGGACACTGTGCTGCTGCTGGACACTCCATGTTTTCAAGCTCATCATCGTTCTTTTTACCTCAGGTAGTTTTAGCAGAGCTTGGATTTGTATTTCGTTCTTTTATCCTATGTTAACCACTGTATGTTCAGTTTTTACCTTTGTACTGTTTCAAGCTCTTCAATGGACTTGCACGACTTGAAATGCAATAAATAACTGGAAAAACTAGGGTGTTCTAAAACACACAGGTCGTGTATTTATTGAAAAATTCCAACAACAACTGCATGTTTTCTCTTCTTTCGAGATATGTAATGTTAAATATTTTCATATTAAAATAAATGTTTAATAATAGTTTTGCTTAAACACTGAATCCAGAACAAGCATAATATAAAAAATAAAATAAAAATGTTATAATATTATATTGTGGGCCAAATTTGTCCCTCAGGCCTGAGTCTGACATATCTGCTCTATGGTGTTCCATGGTTCTAACACTGCCATCTTGTGGTGTGTCTCAGGTAGTGTCCACAGGTGAATCTCCACTCCTCCTCTTCCAGCCCTATTGGTGGGCTTCCTGTATTTAACTCACATGGTTCACTCAGAATTCAGTTTGTTTGTGAGGAAAGCCATAGGCTGAAACACGTCTGGACTCTGTAAATTGTCCATTAAGACATGACATAAATTGAATTTGCCGCATTACATCAAAACAACAGGAATTTGGCAATTAGAAGAGAGGTGGCTTTTGCTGTTTTCCAATTATCCAAACTGGTTGGGGAGCCATAATACAATTTAAACTCATTCATAAATCAAGAAAATGGGAGTATGTTCCCTCTCCATTTACTACAATGAATATGATAGTTCCCTAAAAGCAAAATAATATTTACAACCATTTCTGTTGAAGTGCCCAGACGGTCCATATAAAATAAAATGTGACAAGTTTTGAATACAGGGATTTAAATTTAGCCAGCTTCTGACATCTGACCAGAAGACCTGGGAGTGAGGACATTCAAAAAACAAATGATTCAAAGATTCTTTTTCTGAATTACAAAAAATACAGAATTCAACCTCAAATTTAAATCTTCTTTTAAGAAAAAGGCCCACAGGGTAGATACTCTTTAACATTTTAAAATGAGTCTCTTTCACTTTTAGAGACAGCGGAAACTTAACAAATTTAGAGTATGCTTTAATTTTCTTGACTGATTATTAGAGCTGGACATATCCTTAGAAGAAGTTCTATTAAGGTCATTGTGAATGTTTTGTTTCTTACCCTCATTATTGCATGTATTGTTACATTTAGAATCTAATAAATTACAGTCATTCACCATCAGAATGAGAAAAGATATCCTAACATCAAAATACTGAACTGTGCTCAAATGAAGTAATGGTGAATCTCAGCTGGTCTAACAACACCAGTTGCATAGTGAAAAAGGGACACCAATGCCTATACTCCCTTAGGCGCCTCAAAAAAGCAGGTGTGCGCCCCTCTGTCCTGAAGGCCTTTTACAGGTGTGCGGTGGAGAGCATCTTCACCTCCAACATGACTGTGTGGTTCAGCAGCAGCACCAAGGCAGAGAGGAAAACTCTGCAGAAGGTAGTTAGAGCTGCGGAGCACATCTGCGGCTGTAGTCTGCCCTGCACTGAAGACATTTACATCAGCAGGTGCAGGACAAAAGCCACAACATCATGGAAGACTCCACCCATCCAGCACATTGACTTTTTACAGCTCTCCCATCAGGCAGATGATTGCGCCACCTACAGGCCAGGACCACCAGACAACGGAACAGTTTTTATCCTGATCCCGTGAGACAGATCAATTCTGTCAGAAAGCCCAGACACGAATGCACCTTACAAAACACCACTGACTTGGAACACACTTTAGAAAACAGGGGCGGGTGGGGGCTGTGTTTTTTAAAGACTGTATTTGACATACAATATTTTAACTATTTATTCTTATTATTATCTATGCTGCTGTTGTTGACCTGGACCTGAGTGCAGTATTTTGTTTCTGTGTATTTTTTTATACTGAAATGACAAATAAATTCTGATCATTTCTGAAGGGATTGCTTTGCAAACTGGAAAAGTCTATACTCACAGTTAAGATATTTTTCTTCGAAAGATGAAAAGTTTAGAATATTACCATGACAATATGGCGCCACTTTCTGTAGTTGATTGAGACTTTGCAGTGAAATCATACAGGGGGTTGTAAGCACAGCCACATCATTAAACTACAGAAAGGAATTAAACATAACAACATATTTTACAGAACCTGTGATGATCAATATGAGCATTCATAGTCCTGTTTGTTCAACAAAAAGGAAAAAAATGTTGGCTAACGATAGATAGCCTGTGACTGTAAAGTTTTTTGAGAGGGACTTAACAGTAAAAATCAGCTCTCATACCTGTCATCAGCTCTGGTCAGATTGTGCTGAAACAAAGCTAAAGTTTAACAAAGCCTCAGACTCAGGGTGACTAGATTTTCAATATTCTAAACTGGGACAAACCTGGGTTGGGATAGTTGGTATAAATAAAACAGTGAAAAGAGTGTGTAAGATTGTGCATTCTCATGTCAGTCATAATCGGAGGGACTGCATTTTTTTTATTTATTTTTTTGCTTTATGGTCATTCGCAAACACGGTTTTCTGCATTTTGGCCAAACAAATGACAATTTATGCTCCTCTTTACTGTTGGCGGGGATCAGATTTGTCAAAAACTGTGATAGTTCTGTTTTAGTCCTGGTTTAGAATTGATGTAGTGCTGGTTTAGTTTTAGTTTAGTCCTAGTTCAGACCTGTTTTAGATCAAATTGGTCAAAAATAGGGACACCTAGACTATTTCTTGTATAAAACTGGGACTGGTTTTGTATAAATCTGATAGAACAGGGGACACAGGGCTCGAAACCGGGATTAAACCTGGGTAAATAAAGACGTCTAGTCACCCTACTCAGACCGAGCATCACACCCCGGGGAATGTTGATGACATCAGATGCAAAGTATCAACTGTGAAAAAGTTATTCGTTTCTTTATGCATAGAAGACATTGAACTTTGTACCAGTTTTTTGATTCATGTGATAAGACCAGTAAATGCAGCCTCACTGACCATAAACCAGGTCAATAAATATCCAAACTAAGAGTAAAACAGCAAATACCACCGGAGAATTCTGACCTGTTCAGTTTTTGATGTCACATGAACATTTGTATTTTGTTGACAGGAGTGTGCCAAAGGACCGAACATGCTGCTCTACAGAGGAAATGAGGAAGTTGTCCACCGTTACTCAGGTCAGGGACAATACCAGTCATTTATCTGACGCCGATTTCAGACTTGTCTATCGCGGAGACATCAGAAGCAATAGTTAATCTAGTTGCTCGTTACCTCAAACAGTCTCAGACGCGTTTCCAGCCCGCAGTGCCGAGTCTCCTTCTCGCGGTGAACAGCTGAGGTGACCGCGCAGGCACCACACATCGGAGCAGGAGCAGTGAAGCTTCCGCCGGCGCCATGGACGTACAGAGTGACTACTTCCGCCCACGGGCCAAAATAAACCGAATGAAACGCACCAAAGAGAATGCGCTTATTGTGGGAGCGGAGGTATAAAAGATAATCATAGAGTACACTGATCGTTACATTATTTGCTCCCATCAAACATCTCAACTTGTATATTTGAGTTTTTGTTTCAAATATAATGGGATTTTTACTTCCGGAATCAGAAGTAGCCTACCCGCCCACTTTTTGGTTCGTTCATTCATTTTTTTCTTTAAGTAAGAATTGCTTCATTTCTGAAGACAGGTGGAACAATTACAATTGTGTCAACTATACTAATTCATGTGAATAACCAGCAGTCAGCAAATCCATTCCACTTGCCCTTCATCTCATTTGAAACTTTGGACTCCCTCTTTACGTAAACAGCATATTCATGTTTTTTTTTTTTTTTTCTTCATAAAGTATTTCAAATCAAATCCATTTAGCATTTCACTGAAGCTCAGCTCACCCATGGTTAACAATTACTAACTTTAAAATGGCCAGCATTTTTAAACAATACATAGCATATTTTCTCCATTAGGATGCAGCACAACTAACAATCATGGCCAAAATCACACCCTGGTCAGGCAGAAAGTGATCCTGCGTTATGTGGCAATTAACAAACATTTAAAGGTGCAACTTTTCTTGCTTGCAATCTAGAACACTCTTCATTACTTTACAAAGATGGGAATCTGATAGCCAGCGAATCTCTCAGTTTTCAGATGGCTGTGATTTAGAGGTGGATTAGGCAATCAGGGACGTACATGGTTCATTTGAGTTAGAAAAAAATAAAGGAAATAAAACATCACTGACTGAAAAACATGGCAGATTTCTGCACAATCACTGAGTGAATCACTGAATTCTGTTAATCTGAGGTGACAGAAATGTAATTTTGTTGATAAATGACAGGTGACCAATAAGCTCGTTCCTTGCATCAATGGGGAAAAAAAAAAAGTAAAGCAGTAACTTCTTTATAACAAAGTTTGACAATTAACACCAAATCACAGATAGGTCTGTTGGTAGTCCAGAAAAATGCTGGGTGCAAATTCTAGCAATGAGCACAATGTAGTACAGTTGTGTAGCACTCACAACACTTTTGATCCTATTCTCAAAAATGTGGCACATAGCTGGGTGAAGGTGTGAAATGCAATAAAAGAAGTGGGAACATTTTGTCAAACCTTTAATAAAATGACCTCAGGAAATACATGAATGCATGGTTTTGTTCAGATTTTTTTCTTTGTTCAGCCCATGTTGTGGCGGTTGCCGTAGCCTCTTCGGTGAGTGTCTTTATAATCGTCCCAGCTGCGGGCTTTGTGCAGACTGTCTGGGTCATCTGTTTCGGCCTGCCTCTCCTTCTCCTCCTCTTGAACCTCTGCTGCGTCCCTGTCCTCCTCCACAGCCACTCTGCGCGGGATGCCCTGGTCAGGGAGGACACCGTGTCTCTGGTGCTGCGAGTACCACTCGTCTACTGTCATGGTGGGCAGACTAGGGTAGCCCGCCCCAAACACCTGCGCCTGTAAACACACAAAGCATTCAGCAGAGCCCTCTACCTGCATGCTGCACTAAGAGGACCATATACAGTACTTTATGTCTGATCACACTGATGTATGTGTGAGAAATCAAGGGAGATAACATAGACAAAACTAGATTAGGGTTGGTGATTAGCTTCTGACTATTGTATTTGTATTCTATTCTATTCATTTATAAAAGGGACTTTACAAGGGGATCAAAAATAACTCACATGTGAATTAGTCCATTCTTAAGTGGTTCATTATAATCAAGTTGTAAGCAGCGTATCATGTCCCAGTACTTCTCTGGTGCCTCTTGAAAGTGTCTTGAAAGTCGCTATATGTATAAAATGTATTATTATAAAAATAAGCCCATGCTCCCCACAGGCTTGAGAGCAGAGTTAGTAGTACTCAGTTACATTTACTTGGGTCTGTAAAAAAAAAATCCTATTATATAAATATCTTATAATATAGAGCCTGACTTCAAATTCTCCCTCCTCCCCACAGTCACGAGCTTCATTTGAGTGGAGCTGACCTCTGTAGGTGGAGTCAAACTCACTTAGTCCACTTCTTTATACAGTCTATGGTTTGTATCCATAATGAGTAATAGAAGTGATTTACTCAACTCTCTACAGCCCCAATCTTATTGTACAGAAGGGTTAATTCAAGTTACACTCTAGTACAAAAAAAAAACGTATTTAACTTTGATAAGTCAATGTAATATTTATAGTGACAGGCCTAAATCTGCCTACTGCTCAGTTCCCTAGGGCCACAATAAAGGGTGCCACCTTAACTTTATCTGCTCTGTTTACACAGGCTCTGACCTGGACTGCATCTTTGGTAAGGATAAAGGGCTTCATGGGTGGTCTGCTGGGCTGGGGTGGGGGCCGGGGTGTGTTCTTCAGGGTGCCCATGTTCTTGAGGATGGGGAGCTCCTGGTCAATGCTCTCCACCTCCTCCAGACTCAGGCTGATCCATCTACGCAGATGAAGCAGGTAGAAGCGGCGGCTGGTTTCCTCATCTGCCTGCCCGCCATCCACAGCCCTCTTCACTGCCTCCAGCTGAGTCTCCACTTCCTTTTTCTGACGATAGCGCTCAATCTTGGCCTGTCTATGTGCTGCCATGGCCACAAGGTTAGGCTGACCCAGTCCCGGCTAGAAAACAAAAAACATTTCTTGTAGTAGCTCAAGTATGAACTTAATACCACCAAGTTTCATTCAGAAATATGTTGCTTGTACAGAGGCATAAACACGTTGAGACCACAGCATTAAAAGAAAGCAGAAACATTGAATAGAGGCTTATATAATGTAATATCTCTCTTATAGCTATTGTGTTCCTAGTTTGCATGTTCTATCCATGTTGTGTCGAGAGGGGCCGCTGGTCACTTCACTGTTCCAGTGATAAGAACCAATAGAAGAAGCTTTTCTGTGTTTGTGTGTGGAGTTAAGTCTGGGGCTATATCCAGTGTTGTGCAAAAGTTATAAGCAGGTGTGAAAAATGCTGCAAACTAGGAATGCCTTAAATTAATCATTTATTTTCACCAATCAACAAAATGCAGTGAATAAACAAAAGAGAAATCTAAATCAGATCAATATTTGGTTTGACCACCCTTTGCCTTCATAAGAGCATCAATTCTTCTAGGTTTACTTGCACAGGGTTTTTGAAGGAACTCGGCTGATAGGGTGTTCCAAACATCTTGAAGAACTCACCACATATCTTCTGTGGATGTAGGCTTCCTCACATCTTTCTGTCTCTTCATGTAATCCCAGACAAACTTGAGGTGGTTGAGGCCAGGGCTCTGTAGGGACCATACTATCACTTCCACTTCCTGGTTTTTGACCTGTGACATGAGATGGTCTTCCACAACCTCACCCTGGTCGCAGAGTTAGTCTGTTCCTCCTAGTTTTAAGCCTCCTACATAGCTCTTTCAGTTTCAGTTCATGACTGTATCCCAACCTATGTGTGACACTGATGATAATTAACACCTGTTTGGTATAATTGGTTGATCATACACCTGACTATAATCCAACAAAATTCATGACTTTGTGTGTATCCCTTTGATTGATCTGAAGTGGTGTTGGTTTGAAGGCAAAAGGTAGTAACACCAAAAATGGATTTGATTTAGATTTTTCTTTTGCTTGCTCACTTTGCATTTAGTAAATTGATAAACACAATCAATCATTGTTTATATTTTTGAAAACATTCTTTGTTATTTTTTTCTGACAGGGTTACTTCTTCTCACTCAGTTTCTAACATCAATGTTCATTTGTCACTCTTAGACTCAAACAGTACAGATTGCATTAATCTCTGTAGCACTGTTTGTTCTGCTGTGACATGAAGGCTGTGGCTCGAAATAAAGAAACTATAGTGTGTTCTGTTCACGGTGAGCCGAGAAGAACACTAGTTTGTGGATTTTGAGAAGCGGGGCTCCGTTCTTAAATTGTATCCACTGTGACAGCGGTCCTGGGTATAAAACACATTAAGTCAGGTCAAGTGGGCTAATTCATTACCTCTGAGTAGGGTCATTATAATACAATATTGGAGTTAGTCAGAGCCAGGACAGCTTACCGCAGCAGTGGGATGTGCGCTCTCCGCTTCAGCCTCTACACATGACCTGGGCATGTTGAACTGAGATACGTCGTAGTTTTTGCACCTCTGCAGATAGTCCACAAAATAAGCTCTAGCAGTCTGTAGTATCTCCAAGCGGCGCTCCCGGCTCGTCTGTTTCAGGGTGAGCCCCCCCAGAAGTGCAGGCAGCAGCAGGTACTTGAGCTCGGAGGTGCACACCTCCTCCAGCTCCTCATTACGGCTGAAGAGCTCGAGCTGCGCCACCCTCCTGGAGGCGCTCTCCAGGCCGCGGATGGCCCGCTGCACTCGCTCCTGGACAGCGTGACTAGCCAGCGGCTCTTGCGTGCTGTCGAGCTCGTCTAGCGCTCTCCAGCTGCGCTCGAACAGCTCGGACAGCTTCAGAGAGTCCGGCTCGGCGCTGGGTTGCGCAGATTCTGCACTGGACTCACATTCCGCCATCTTTAACACATTCTGTTCCGGGTGAACTGTCCTTCGCTTTTCACGTTATGCAAAACCAACAATATTTACTGCCACCTACTGGACAAAGAGAATCTTACACGTTATACTACTGATAACACAAATGAACCCAACATCAAAACCATAAATATTGCTTTTATTTTAAATAATATTTTAAAAAGATAGTATGTAAGATTTTGAATTTCACAAACGTTCAAAGGTTGATTTACAGAACAATTCTCTTTGGGGACACACATAAGCCTATAACATTTTCTTTAATAAAAGATTTTCATAAGCACACTTAAGAAGAACACGTGTACAGGCTTAAACCATACAAACACATACAATGGAATCTCATCGTTTTAGAATTATAATTGGATTAGGCACTTGAGTAAAATATATGCTTTTATGGAGGCTTCTCTCATGGACATGTGTTTTTCCTTTTTGCATGTTATGGCTTTGACCAGGAACTTGAGGTTAAAGGCACTGACTGGCACCAGCAGGTGGCATATTATGCCATCAGAAAGCTGCAACACACACCAAATCAGATTGAAAAAAGATGAGATGAGGGCCATTTCAAACATATTGTTAAAATGCAGATTTGTTGTAATATAGTGAGTTCTAGAGATCAGGTTCAACTTTTGTTCATTCACCTTTTAGTCATTTCTTCTGAAAATACCATGTATTAATGGGGGAAAATGGCTTTTGTCCCCATCTGGGAGAATGACATGCCATTCTGAAATATCAAAAAGCCACCAATTCATATATTTCAGAATGATGAGAATCTAGGACCATTGTCATAGTGATTAACAATTTAAAACAAAATTGAATATCTCTTGAATGAGGAAAAAGTCCTAAAAATTTTCATTTTTTTGAGCGTGAAAACAACCTATTGGGTATCAGAGTATTGATTTGTTTTTTATTTGAAAGATTTCGTGATTTTTTTCATGCACATTTGAATATCTTAATTGCTGTGGTCACGGAGGACAGTAGCCATTTCACAAAACTGATGAACAAATGTTTTCAGACTAGGGATGGGCATGATTAATCGATAATTGATCATTAAGAATTTCATTGATTACGTAAATTTTTATCATCAAACTGAATGTAGGTTGCTGTGTGTAGTGTGACCAAACACGGGTCTGTACATGTGTCTCTCTGCACTCAGAAGGAGCAAACAAACACAAACATTCGGTCAGCCTGCTACGTACCGAAGCACAAATGTGTATTTATCGATGACTTGTACAAGAAATTCCACGCTTTCTGTTGCGTTCGGGTGAGTCCATGTGCACAGTGTACAAAGCAGCACATATGTTTCGGTGTCCAGTGGGAAAAAGTTTTTCCAGGTGAGAGTCGCGCAATGTCAATGATGAGTCCCCACCAAAAGAAAAACGTTAATGATTAATCGATAATCGATCGTTAATTCTTCCGGCGATCGATTAAGAAAATTTCATCAAATGCCCATCCCTATTTCAGACTACAGAGTCTGATGATGTCATACTGCCAGATGACATTCATGGGTTTTAGGCAAATGAAAACTTGGCACCATTGTCATAGCAGTAAAAGAATTGAAAAACAATATTCTATCTTTTGATCGGCCAAAAGTCCTCTAAGCAGGAAGCTGAAACCCATAATTAATAATGTGGTATTTTCACAAGAAATATCATCTCAAAAGGTTAATGTTGAACCTGATCATTTTTGCTAGTGACTAAACCCTAGAACTCTGTAACATCAGAAAATGCATTTTAACAGTATTCATTTTAGCAGCCTATAAAATGTTGTGATGGATCAGACACAGACCTGTATGGATATCCATGGTACTTAGCTCGAAATACAGACAGCAGCCAGCTGAAAAACAGCATCACCAGCCCGATCCCCGCCACACACATTACTGCACACAAAGTACAAAGTCATCTTTTCAGCTTAACACCATGTAGTGTCAAAATTCAAACATTTCATTATCAAGAAGACCACAGAACAGCGATAGCTTCTCCTTCCGTTGTTCTACAATGACTCGAGCTCTTAGCAAGAGGTTGTGTCATCAGATGGTTATCAACAATCACTGAGGGTTTCAACCCTTAACCACAGAGGTGAGTAGTACTCAGTTACATTTAATTGAGAGAACTGTTAAAGAAATTCTTACTTGTGTACTTTTCCATCAGCATTATGTAACTCCTACTTGACTAATATTTTTATTGAAGTAACAATACTCTTACTTGAGTAAATGTTTTCCTCATTTTTCCCACTGTGAGGGACAAAGGTGGTATTTCACTCACTAGCTAAAGCCCAAGCCTGGCCTATTTGGACAATCTAGGCTTGTCAAATCCTCAGTTCCGTTCCACCAAAGTGACTAACCAGAGGTGGCGCTGAGTAGTGTGTAGTAACAGGCACCCTGGCACAAACCCAGTTGGGACCAGGCTAACTGTTAAGATTATTTTAGCCTTTTCTCCAAGAATGACTAAACAAAACACCTAAGTCAAAAGTTTCAACACATGCTATAGTTATGTGTCGATTGCCTGAGACTTTTACACTTTACACACATCTGAATGCTGCACTTATCAAAAAGGCACAAATAATATGAAAACATATGGCCGTTATTTTATAAAAATTATCTTATACATGCGTCTGTTGTGAGAGGCAGTAAATTAGCCTTCATCAAACTGTGGGTTATTTCTTTCATGGAACAACTTGAGGCTTAAAACTGAGCTCGTTTCAGCTCAGGAACGTTGATGGAATACTCCCCAAAAGTTTTATGTTGTTAATATGAAATGATTTGAACATTTGTGTTCGAAGGCAGAGACATACTTTTCCTTTTGCCGATGTCCAGAGGTGACGTGGCAGCTTCACACAGCAGTACCATCCCCAGAGTCACCGCCGCATCTGGAAGAGCAGGTCAAGGAGCCAAAAGCCATTTGGTTCATTCTAAACCACAATATTATGTATATAAATAGAAGAGCAAGTCAATTAGTGCAAAAAGTGCATTTATAACTATATAGCAGACAGGAGCACAATATGTCTGCTTTAAAGTTCACAAACTATGACACCCATGGATCATGATGTAATTTGGATATTTGAATTTTGCAGTAGATGCATAGCTACAGGTAATGCTAGAGAGCAACACATTTTTTTTTCATCTGAACCAAAATGGCTAAGTGACGTGGCTGAATTTTATGCATATCACAACAAAGTAACAAATTACTCCCATACAACTACAAGTGTGTAAATGGCGAGGGGAAACTATTATAAAAAGCTCTGAAAAGGTGATTTTCCAGAATAGGTCCATTTTAATAAACTTAAAATGTGTTAACAAACTAGACATGGATGATCAGAAACCAAAGTCAAAGTCAAAATGAGCACTGAAGCATAATTTGTGAACCTGTTGGACACTGAAGGATACTAAACAGGAGCACAATGTGTGTTTCAGCCACAAACTGGGCTTGGCTGCTGCCGTGGATGTAACTCTGTAGAGAAAAACAAGTCAGGTTAGAAAACATGCAAGTATCTATTCATGTATCTGTCTTAACCATAGACTGTAAATGGACATAGCTAAACCCCTAGATACCGCGTTCCAAATAAGAAGTGAGCATGGGCGTGCTTCCGGCCCCATAGACTCTGGTTCAAATTGACGTAATTTTAGTCTTAAAATAAGAGTATTAGCGCACCCTACATGCTCTACGTAATAATCAATGGCGTTTTTATTTCACTATTTTTTCTGTAAACCAATTCCAATTCCTAATATGGAACTCAGCTCCAAATTCGCCCCATAACTGCATGCCACCTGTGAGCTTCATTTGACTGGAGCAGAACACACTCCCATAGTACACTTCTTTAGAGAGAGATACTTTATTGATCCAGAGGGAAATTCAAGTTTTGCTGCAACAAAGCATGAATTACATTTAAACCCTCTTCAGGCATCTTTTTGATAAGAGAAAAAACATTATAATATGGTAGCTTTTGCATAATACCCTCTCCTTTAAAACGGGGCAGTTAGATCATTATTCAACTAGTATTATGGACACATTTAATATATTTTTAACCTGGCAAATTTGTCATCAATGTCCTGCAGTATCAGTGGGGTGCAATAAATTAATTATAATGCATGCAGCTATCGACGAAAATGTGCTTTTTCTACCCTCAAAATAGTTTGTTTACAGTGGCTTTTGGATAACTGAAGCATGACCAGCATATTCTCCCAGTTACAATTAACTTTGACCGTAAATACAAGTAATGTTTCATTATGACCCAGAGAATCTTAGTTATGACTGATGCCAAGGAGATGGTGATGCCAAGTGTTATGCTGGGTTCCTTACAATCTGCCCAGTGCTGGGGTTCTTGTGGGCATAAGGCGGCCCCCGGATGTGGTTCCACATCTGTCCTGAAGTCATGATCAAAACAAAGCACTGTGGGCAACGGAGAGAGCATGTTAGGCCATGGTTCCACCATAGTGTACATCAGTGGTAAGAAGAGAGAGGCTAAGGAGCTTTGCATTCAGCTCATTTTAAGGTTTGGTGTCATTGTCATTACACATTTGGACACATCCTCTCATTAAATGTTTTGTTTTTTTCCTCCTCCTTGTTTCATATATAAAAGATATGAAACAAGATATATGGAATTATGTAGCAAAGAGCTAAGTGTGTTTTTTCCGTATCCACCCTGTTTTGTGTGCTGGAAAACCTTGGCCTTCTCTCACTGAGCTTCTTGGTGAAGTTACCTGAAATGTTTTTCACTTCACAGCCTTGTCAGTGTCAAGAAATAGGAGTCAAAAATGCAAAATAAAGGGTAGCTATTAAAATTTTAAAAATGTACATTCCATATGTGTCATTCATAGTTTTGAATCCTTCATCAAAACTCTACAATGGAAAAAATCATGGAAATTAAGATGAAACATATATGAAAGTGTGTCCAAACCTTTGACTGGTGTGTAAACATGCATGAGATCTCTTTACTCCATGTTATGTAACTTCCCATAAAACTAATACTGTTAACATACATTTTGCTACTAAAATATTGTGTTCATATTTTACACCTATATTGCCCTTAGAAATGTGTACATCAGAGCTGTATTATGAACAGAGGTGAATAGACAAAAATTATACTCAAATAAGAGTGACTGTAAATATGTCCGACGTCGGGCCAACCTATGCAGTCCACGGTGCAAGTAATGGTACTTGAAATTGGGTAAAAAAAAGTGCTTTATATGAAGGGACGCTGCAAAGCTTCTCTTTGACCTCCTGCCCCAGTCTGTTCTGTCTGCGAATCACTCACAAAGCTTGTTTTTGCGGTTACCAATGCGTATAGCCTTCAATGTGGTTATTAACCTCAGACGAATACCGCGAGAGAGTGCTTGCATATTCACATGACTCTGTCTGTACTCTTGAAGTACGTTGACATGGAAATAAGTTCAGCAATCAGCTGATGGCCAATCATGGAGCTCTTGGTGTGTGTTTGGCATGAATGATGTGCAGTATATGTGAAATAAAGTAAACAGAACCAAATCTATTTTGCACTCTGGTCCAGAGTGTGTGGCAAGTCATCAAAACTAGAAAAACAGATGTGCAAGATTGCTCATACATGCATGAATCACTCCAAATACAACTATGAGTGAGGGGACACAACTATAACATGGATAGCTCTGAAAGGTTGATTTTGCACAATAGTTTTATTTGTGTGTATTTACCAGTGCAGAGAATGCCCACATGTTCTTGTTGAAGAGGAATTCCAGGTTATGTCTGCGCAGATAAGCCAGTCCTCCGATCACAGCAAGCAGCAAACCTAAGAGCAAAGGCCCTGCATAGTTTGGAGGCCGGATCACACGGATCTGAAACACACCATTCACAAATCCTGCATATTTAGGCTGACTTCCCTCTGTGTGTTTGTGATGTCATGTGGTAATGCAGAAAGCTCCATACATCTTAATGTGTATAATTTGGATAATTTCAGCCATGGAATTTCCAATCTCTACTTAAGAAAAGGTAAAACTTAGCTAGCCAGCCAAAACCATAAGCTTTGAAAAAACTTGACAAAGACGAGTGGATCTGGAATTGTCTTCTTGATTTCAGGGGCATGATTGACAGGCAGATCAATCAATCAGAGAGAGACACATGCTTCATTTGTGTCAAAACACACATGGATCCTTACATTAAAAAAAAAAGGAGGGAAACAACACGGAGGACTGAAAAAAGTTTGAAAATAGGCCATTCTATTATTCTATGTGCGCCTTATAATCCAGAGCGCCATATAGTGTGGAAAATACAGTTGTCAAGTAGGAGAAAAAGTACCGTATGCTGCTAGAAATGTACTCTCTAAAGTATTCTGTAAAGTACAATTTGTTTAAAAAGTTACAAGTAAACATAACTGAGTACTACCCACATCTGGTCTGGAAAGGGTTTCATATTGATACTTTGCAACTGCATCAACATTCCCTAGATGTGTGATGCTAACTATAGGCTCTGCTCATACCAGCTTGTCAAAGCCTGATCCCATCAGATCTCAGAGGCTCAGCAGGGCCGGGCCTGGTTAGTACTTGGATGGGAGACCACTGGGAAATTCAGGAGCCACAGGAGGGCGCCAGTTGGAAAAACTGTTGTTGTGTCCTTAGGCGAAGCACTTCACCCACATTGCCTAGTATGAAAGTGGTGTGTGAGTGAGTGATGGTGGTGGTCGGAGGGACCGATCGCACATATTGGCAGCTGATCTTCCATCAGTCTGCTCCAGGGCAGCTGTGGCTAAAATAGTAGCTTATCACCACCAGGTAAATGAATAATGAACTGTTTATAAAAAAAGTGTCTGTGACATATGTCTGTGAAAAGCTCTTACTCTACCAGTTGACTCTACACCACACTTTTTCCATTTTTTTACTGTTTACTGTTGACCAAAATGTATTCTAAACTTTTGATTCATGAAAGTGTGCACCTTTGGCAGATAGAACAGCTGAACACACTCAAGGCATTCTTTTTTCAATTGAAATAAAACATTCCTCAGAAAGTTCTTCCCAAGTCTGTTGCACAGGTTTCCATAAATGTGTGGCACTTGTAGGTTTCTTGGTTACTCTTCTGTCCAGTTCTTGTTCTTTTTTTCTTGAAGTAGTTTTGGCAGAGCTTGGACTTTGGACTTGTTTTGTTATCGTCTATTTTTTTTAAACCTCTGGCTGTTGAGTACCTATCTTTGTACCATTTCAAGCTATTCACTGGACTTGCACGACTTGAATTGCAATAAATAACTGGAAAAATTTGGGTGTTGTCTCCTAAAGTGAAGTGATGTGCAAGTAAAAGTGTCTCGGAGTTGGTACTCACCATAACATCAGTCCTGTCTGCTACCCAGCGTGCTAACTGCTCCGCTGCAAACCCTCGCACCTGCAGCTCATATGTGTCTGCTCGCCGCGGCCTCCCTTTGGCCGGGAAGTGCAAGAACGTAGGAGCCGAATTCATGTTCAACTGAAACGCATAGGTCATCACATCACTATGCACTGTCCAATGGAGCTCAACTGTGACTGCCACCCCCCGGTCCCGGAACTACATTTCTCATTCATTCTAAAACTCTATATAATATCATTTCAATTAAGCTGTTTGCCAAATCTTCCGTTTTAAATTTGCTTTTTGGACTTAAAGGGACAGTTTGGAATTTTTGACATAGGACGTCATTTCCTAGTGAGCCAGAGTGTTGGTGACGTGTGGAGACACTTTTAAAAATATTCCATCCAGTCCTTGTATTTGCAGAGGTCACTGGTGCTAGACTAGTGCATGTCAATGGCCACTGTTAGCCTGCCACTAAAAACAATCTTACTCACTCCACAGTGTACCCGAGGCAAATCTATTATTAAACCAGACTGTCCATGTGAATGTCTGTGTCGATAGAATCATTTTAGATGTAAAACCAACCTTACATTTGAAGGATTTATGTCTGAGCAGCAGCTCAGATAGGAAGCTCGACAGCGGCGAACTGATATCACCTGGCACCAACTGGCTCTGCAATAATTTGTTTACCTGCAGCTGCCATAGCAACACATTATTCTATTGACACAGACATAATAGATTTGCCTCGGATGCACTGTGGAGTGGGTAAGACTGTTTTCAGTGGCAGAATAACAGTGGTCATTGACTTGCGCTAGCTTAGCACCAGCAACCTCTCTAAATACAAGGACTGGATAGATTATATCAAAAAGTGTCTCCACTCATCTACAACACTCCCTATATCCAAAAATTCCAAACTGTACTTTTAAAAGAATTGGATTGCATATTAATTAGCACATATCTGTCTTCACAAGCCTCCACAATGTCTTTGAGCTTTTAATATTTGAAATTTCTAAAAGTCTATGGGAAAATGAAAGGAGAATTTAAGTCTGGAACTGGAGTAGGCAGTCACTGTTGAGCTCCATACTGCTATTAGTAAGTGTTGTTGTAATACTAAAATTTCAAACAGAATTGACTCAATACTTGATAGCAATTAAAATGGCACAATGAAGATAAAAAAATGATGTCTTATACTTGTTCTGATAAAGCTTACATATTTGCCAGAATTGTTCAGGAAAGCTCAAATTTGGTTTAATGTGACTTTTTATTGTATCGATACTTGCTCAAATGAGTATCTAGTTTTTATGCTTAGTATACATTTTCAATACTTATGACAACCCTACTGTCAGGTGGAGTTCATTGACCATTCTTGAAAATTTTGCATTTCAAACTGTATATGTATTCATATTCAGACTCACCATTTGGAAGACATCCGACCCTTCATCAAAATCCACTGAAGCAAAAAAGACTTTGTTGGTGAAGGCTGAGGAATAACGCCAGGAATTAGCCAGCACCTGAAACTCTTCGTCAGCTTGTCTACAAAAACAATCAAGAGTCAGCAGTGTAACAGAACTCTATGTGCATGTGGTTTAATCGTTCCCTAACAATAAAAATGATGGTTGACTTGACTCTTCTGCTCTAGAATAACATATTTCATAGTACACGGTGTAATCGCTCATTTAATAGTAGTTCATGAGATATGAGGTAATTAAGGTCTGGAGAAAGTTCAGTGAATATGAGATCGATGTCCAGGACAGAATCTAGGACTGCACAAGCTTTACTATTTTCCCATTCAAAGGGCTCACTGTAAATGGCTCCAGGGGCATTAAAAGAACTGTATGTAGTCTGCTCTCTTAACCCTTTTTAATAAGGTACGACAATCACAACTGAACCTGTGTTGACAGAGCCTTAACCTGCAAATAGAGAACACAGTTTTTTTCATTCTCAGTATATGGACAGACCATTCTTCATGTGAAAGCTCACAACCTAGTACTAATAAATGAATGACTGTTGTTTTATTATTACAAACTGTGGCAAATATTTCTTTTGCCAAAATGTAGCATATAACTAATAAAAATATGATGACTCAGTAGCTCTAGCCACATCATATTACATGTGTCCTCTAACAGAGTTTTAGATTTTTGCTATTTTTGTATTTTATGTTTTGTCTCTTTCAAGGACTGGTGTTGGTAATTAGCTCTAAAAGCTACAGTCTGGTACAAGGCATCTCTTCAATGTTTCTTTGATTAATACTACTGTACATGTCAAATAAACTAAATAAACTAAACTAACTAACAAATTTTGATCCTGTCCAGTGAAGACTTTCTAATGTGCCACTCCGTCTATCAATTTTCTTCCACTTTATCTCAGTCCAGGTCGCGGAGGCAGCAGTCTGAGCAGGGAGGCCCAGACTTCCCTTTCCACACACAATTCCTTCAGCTCTTCCAGGGGGATCCACTCCACAGAGAGACACAGCCCCACCAGCGTGTCCACGGGGCCTCCTGTGGGTGGCATGGTTCCGTAACACCTGCCCATGGAGGCATTCCGGAGGCAACCAGAAAAGAGGCACCTCTTCTGGCTCTACTCCGAGCTCCTCCCGTGTAACTGAGCCCCTCACCTCATCTCTAAGGGAGGGTCCAGCCACCCTCATTTCAAACTCATTTGAACTGCTTGTATCCTCCATTTTGTCCTTTCAGTCATAGATTGATAGATTGACCTGGTAGACGGGTTGCGATACAGCAACCGCATCACTGACACTGCTGCATTGCTCTGCCTAACAATCTCGCACTCCTTCCTTTCATCGCTCGTTAACAAGACCCCAAGATACTTGAACTGCTCCACTTGAGGCACCCACCTAGAGAGGTGCAATCTTTTTCCAGTTGAGGACCATGGCCTTCCCAGCCTTCTTCCTAAACTGTGTGTTGAAGTGAGCCCAACTACATCTAATTGTACAATTTTTTTATTTGATTTTATAATATAAGAGATTGCCCTAGGGACATTAGTAAATGACTAAGACATGTGCCAGGGGCTCTGTCTCACCTGCAAACCCCACACTGCCTCTGAGGCTGCAGGGCCGTGAACATGATCACCATGGAGTAGTTCCGAGGAGGAGCTTTAACAAAGCGCCGGAATTTGTCCCCATTCATTCTGATTACTGAACGCTTGGAGGTCCACTCCATGAGCTGGGCCACCTTCTCCGACATCAGCGCCTGGAGAACAACTGGAGTTAGACTCATCTCAAACTAAAATCCAAGTCTGTATCGGAGGGGCCGATGGCACAGATGGGCAGCTTCGCGTCCATCAGTCTGCCCCAGGGCAGCTGTGGCTACAATAGTAGCTTGCCACCACCAAGTGCTAAGTATGGAATGAATGAATAATGCTCTGCAAAGCGTCTTTGAGTGTCCAGAAAAGCACTATAGAAAACTGATGGATAATTATTATGATTTAGCTCTGTATGCCCTGCAGTAGAGACCAACCAGTGCTACGAGCAGCCAGAGAGTTAAAAACACACACGCAAACGTACAAACAGACGTACAAGGCACAGGCAGACATACAAGGCACAAAAAGACGTTTAAGGCATAAGCAGGCGCAGAAGTAGAGGTAAAGTATAACCACACGTGTTATCAGATGTATTCACATGACACTATAAGCAGATTGGTTTTGGGAAGATGATGAAGCACTTCCTGCTTTCTTTGTTAAAGTCGCAGCAAGGATTTTGGATATAAAACAACAATAATAAACAACAATAAAGTACTGTGTGAAAGTCTGAAGATATTACGACAAACACCCAAAGTAGGCTATACAAGAAAACTATGTTAGCAGCAAGGAGGGACCATGACAGAAAAAACTGAAAACAACTCCAAATCATGCAGCTGAGCGCCGTAAACCAGCGCTGTCTTTTGGACTTAAAGTTCAGAGTACATGTGCTGCTTCACCTCTTTTTTCTTCTGTCCATCGGCAGTGGGGATCTGCAAAAGCGCGCACACACACAGAGTTAGCAAAAGTTTGGACAACATTTCCATTGAGCTCAACTTGTGTTCCTCTGTGCTTCTGTCCTCCGCGTACTGCTGCAGCGCTCGCACCACAGCGCCCCCCTCACGCACCGCACTGTTCCATGCGCCGCACATGTCCCAGGGAAGCACGTACAGAACATGCCCAGGGAATCGCATTCAACATTCGGACATGCCACACACAATATCACCTCAAATAGTAGGCTACAAAATAATAATAATAATAATAATAATAATAATAATAATAATAATAATAATAATAATAATAATAATAATAATAATAATAATAATAATAACTAGAAAAGCAGTCAGAGAGCGCAGACCTCCGCCAAGGACTACCCCCATTTTTGATATAAATTGCGATAAAATCAGTCTTCTGGATCAGATCCGGATCAGCCTTTGGAATATGAAAGAGGATCCCATTGTCCATCCCTGAGTCAAATTTCATGGGGTTTGGTCAATAATTAACCGAGATATTGAGAAACAAAGTTTTTGGCCCCATTTACCACAATGTTAACTAAAATTTCAAAGTGATCCAGAATCCAGGATTTCTTCCGGATCACCCCCAAAATGAAATCAGTTCTTCCTTTTCACATTTCCAACAAATCCTGAAAATTTCATCAAAATCGGTCGATAACTTTTTGAGTTATGTTGCTAACAAACAAACAAACAAACAAACAGACAAACGCCGGCAAAAACATAACCTCCTTGGCGGAGGTAATTATTACTATTATTACCTTCGCCAAGGAGGTTATGTTTAATATAATAAATAAATTGAATAATAATAAATATAGCCACAAGCGGTGATGATCAGCCCTCGCTCGCGCCTATGCCGCGCCCACGTGCTCTATGGGGTTCAGGTCAGGGGACAGTGCTGGTCATACCATATGAGGCACTCCGACTTCCTGAAGTTGAGCTGTGACAATTCTGGCAAGATGTGATGGAGCATTATTATAAATGAACAGAAAGTTGGGAGTGTGCTGGCGGAACTGGGGGATGATGATGGGTTCTGTGATGTCTCTGAGGAAAGAACATGCAGTGACTGAGCCATCTACAGTAACCAAATCTGTTTTGCGCTGACTGGTGATGCCTGCCCAGACTGTTGCACCTCCTCCACCAAAGCGAACCCTGAGGACCATGTTGACCTCGGCGTATCGCTCACCTCGCCTTCTCCAGCTACACTCACGATCATCATTTCTGTGCTAAGTGACCCGACACTCAGCAGTGAACAGGACGGTGGACCACTGCTGCATTGTAGAGGTCACATGGTCTTGTGCCCACTGCAGACATTCACAGCTTTGTCTTGGTGTCAGTGGAGTCACCTGCAACTGTCGTCTGGCATTCAAACCAAAGCGGTGGAGTCAGTTTCAAATGGTTTGTCTGGAAACCCTAGTACCCCTCACATCTTGAAAACAAACCTGCAGCTGTGTGGCAGTTGCATAACGATGTCTGAGTGCATAGGTCCTTAGTTACTGGTCATCGTTGTGGTCTGTCACTCATGAGGCTTCACTCCTGGGTCTGTCTCGAACTCTGCCAGTAGTTCTGTGTCTTGATGCAAGTCTGCTGATGACACTTTGAGACACACCAAGTTCACGAGCAACATCTGACTGCCACTGACCCTGAAGGAGCGGTATGACTAGGTGGCGCTACTCATCTGTTAAGTGACTTCGTGTGTTCATGGCCGTTTGAATTGTGAACTTGGAATGACTTCACAATACCAGCTTTTTATACCTACAGAATGTTGAAATTGATGCCACATTAAAAAGGGTTTTGGCTCCACTATGTAAGGCACACTGTACACACTGAGACCATTACATGGAAAACACAAAATGAGGTTTGTCTATCACCCCAATACAATTGCCTCCCTATCCCAAAAGTTTCTGAAGTGAAACAAACACCGTATATATGACATTCACTGGCTCTCTCTCAATATCCCTAACTTATTTATTGTGAGTATATATATATATATAAGGGCCGGGCACGATTTATATAACTTAAGGGGACTGATAGTTCAACTATCAGACGATGACACGATGTTGAGACGATGAGGGACGCTGGGTGATGTTAATACTTTGATATTCTCAGCTATTGAAACTAAAATAAATAATTGGTTCTTAAAATTTCCTTCAGCTAAAATCATTTGGGGAGGGGATTTTAATATTGTCACGGACGACAGGGTGGACAGGTTTCCCCTAAGGACCAAAAGTCAAATGAACTTTATAACATATACAGCAGAATGAAATTAATTGACATTTAGAGACATAAAAACCCAGACACCAAAATGTACACGTGGAGCATGTCCTTACAGTCACGATTAGACTTCTGGCTTGTCTCAGCAAGTATTATTGATAATTTGGAAACAACAGAAATTACACCTACTGTATTTTCAGATCACAAAGCGATTATTGCTGAAATAAATTTATCATCCAAAAGAATAAGATAAAACTCTACTCAGTAATGAGGATTTTCAAAAACAAATAGAGAAACTTACTGGAAAACACTGGAGAATGGCTGCTACTACATACTGTTATGGGGAGGTTTATGAGCTGTTGAAATTTGAAATAAAATTGGCAATTTTATTTACTAAAAAAATGTCTAAAGCAAAAAAGGAAAGAGAACTGTAAATTGTTACTAAAATTATGGTACTGGTTTTAAAAAGTAATCTTAACTGAGAATGAGCAAATAGAACTAGAACTATGTCAGACCGAGCTGGATCAAATGTATGAGGGAAAAGTGAAAGGCGCTTTCATCCAATCTAGAAGGAAATGGCTAGAGCAAGGAGAAAAATTTAATCTGGAAAAAGAAACTTTGAAATGTCCTCGATAAGTAAACTTAAAATCAATGATATATCTCATTGACATATCTCTGATATGATAAGCACTATAGAAACACTGAAAGACAACAAGGCTCCTGGTAATGATGGGCTGACCAGCCAATTCTATAAACACTTTAAAGAAGCTTTAGCTCCCTTCCTTGTCCAAGTTTTGAAGAAGCTATCACAGAAGGACATTTACCAGCATCACTAGGACAAGGTTTTATTAAAGTAATTCCTAAACCCAAAAAGGATAAATTAAATTTAGAAAACTGGAGACCAATCACTCTGGCACGGTGGCTGAGTGGCTAGCACTCATGCCTCACAGCAAGAAGGTTCTGGGTTTGATCCCCGGGTCGCCTGGGTCTTTCTGTGTGGAGTTTGCATGTTTCATCCGGTGTCTGGATGGGTTTCCTCCAGGTGCTCCTGGTTTCCCCCATTAACCCAAAAAACATACTACAGGTCTCCATAAAACAGTTGATAGTCAAGGTCAGTTAAATACAATCAATCCAATCATTGTGTCCTTAGGCAAGACACTTCACCCACATTGCCTAGTATGAAAGTGGTGTGTGTTTGTGAGTGATGGTGGTGGTCAGAGGGACCGATGGTGCTGAGTGGCACGGCAGCTGTGCTTCTGTCAGTGTGCCCCAGGGCAGCTGTGGCTACAATAGTAGCTTACCATCACCAGGTCTAGAGTGAATTGAATTAATGCTGAATAATGCTCTGTAAAGCGTCTTTGGGGACAGAAAATGTCTGTGACTCTGGGGGTCTGAGGGTCTGGAGGTCTGGGGGTCTGAGGGTCTGAGGGCCTGGGGGCCTGGAGCAGTAATGGGTCTTGGCTCACACAGACCTGTGGGGAGAAACATTTGTGTCAGACACAGGAACTAAAAGGACGCACAAACGAGCACAGCAAACCCAGAGGGACAAAAGACAAACTGTAGAAACCAAAATGTTTCTCGCTTACTTTTCTTGAATTTAAATTGAATTTGAACCAAATGGCCAAAAAGCAAATGTTTACAAATGAAGTTTATTACTTTTTATATTCATAAAAGTCGTCAGTTTAAAGCAGCTCTATGCATACATGCACTATTATGCTACAATATATATAGGCTACATATGAGTACTTGGGGGTGTAATGCTTTTTTTCTGTACTGCGGTGTGACACAACTTTGCAACAAAATCCCAAAATGTTTTTCAAAAACAAATTAGTTTTACAACAATTGTAAAGACATAAAAAAATATTTTTTGTGTAGCTCTTTTAGGGTGCATTCACATTAGGACTTTAGAACCGTGCCCAAGCAAGGATCGCCCCTAAAAAATACCACAGGAGGAAAACAGTGAATAAAATCTGCTTTAAACCGCACGGCAAACCCACACTCACCTTCAATAAGACAGACAGAAGTTTAGCTGTCTCTTGTCTCCGGCTGTCATCACTGTTCCGCTCTGTTTTTAATCTCCATAAATTCATGGAGGAGCGTGTATCATAAAAGGACTGACATCAACCTGACTATTTAATAGATATTTCTGCCACTGGACTTTTTTTTCTCTGCTAAAAGCGTTAGCACCTGTAAACAAACAGCTCCATGTGATGACATCAACAGGCCGTGACCTGGTTCGGATTATTATCGGTTATTTTAATAGATCCATGGTTCAGATGTGCAAGTGTCAGTGTGGAACATTGAACCCACAGCAGTTGTGCCTGAGTGTGAGTGTGCCCTTAATTTTAGCCATTTTAACATCTTTTTTAGATTTAAAGTAGTGATAAATGTGTAATATTATTAAATCATAAAACCTTTAACTCCTGCTGCTCCAGCTCGGACCCTAACCGACTGATTGTCCTATCGTTAGGACCATCTCTGGATGTTGCCTTATGATTAGAATTTTGCATTAAAAGGAATTTCTTTGAATTTACTCGTAATCACGATCTAGGTATTGTTCAAAGAGTAGTTTGCTCAAATATTGATTATTTTTTGTGTAACACAAAATCCCAAAGCGATTAATATGGTTATGGAAAGTCACAAAACTCCGTTTTTTTTCCTCTCAAGAGTCTTGTAGTCGGAGTGAGGGGGCAGTCAGTAGCAGTCTGTGTGCATACACACACACAGTGTGTGCATACACACACACAGCTTATGGATCTAAAATACACAGGCTTTATATATGATCGCGAGCTCTTGTTACCAACGCCAGCACAACAGTGTCCAGTCAATTTGAGCTACCTAGCACTACTGTGCACGCACACGACTGTTCTAAGTTTAAATCCCG